GAATCTGCCGCGCGTGTTCTTACATGCTTTTTTGGTTTCGAGGCAGCGGCAGTTTTTTAGCCACACCGGCGATCCACGGCCTGAGTGGGCGGATGGTCGACAAACGACGATGACTTGAAGCGCGCGCGGCAGGCCAACATTGTTACATTAGTAAAACAATATATCATAGATCTCTAGATCTCATAGATAGATAGATCTATCAAGGTCTCAGCTCTATTTTCATTAGTCTAGAAACGCAATGGAGGGGGAGGGGGAGGGCGCATCAACCCCCTTCCTATCAGTCCGCGTTTTGGAAAACGGCAAACCAGAGCGGGGTAGGGCTCAAAACCCTAGACGCGTAAAAGGCAACATGTTCCAAGTATGTGCAGACTGGCAGTAAAAATACCTCAAATATAAATAATCCAAATAGACCATTCAAGATCTCACGTATAAATATCCAAACAGGGGCTGTAAAACAGCCGAAATGTTCATTTAGACAACGTCATTCAACTAATGTCAGAATAACTGTTGTTGCAAAAAAGCAGGCACACTGGCCCAACATGATGGGGTCGTACAATCACAAATGCAGTCTTCCTCCACCCTCGGGTTTCCTTCTTTTTCTTCCACCCTCGGCGAAGGACCTCGACAGCCAGAGCAGCTGGGTACATGGCAAAATTCCAGCCGGTGGCAGGTAGTACTGGGGGATGTCATAAAACATGCAGGCCCCCTCGACTCCAATTGTCTACCACGCCTCAGGCATGATCCAAGCCTAGCGCGACATGTGTTGTCTATCGATGCGCTACAGCAATCGGTATATGCAAGTCTAAACTGGATTTCTAGGCTGCCTAGAAAGGAAGGAGCAATATATTTGGTTCCAGGTTCGGCTCATATTGAGGTAAGTGTGCATCGGGGTCACAGAAAGGTGGGATTACAGAGCTGCTTGAGGAAAACAAATACCAGTTGTTGCATATTCTTGTCGCGCTACGCAAAATCCCTCTCTAAAAAACACAAAACAAAACAACAAAAGCAATCATTTGCGGCTGCGGTATAGCTTAAGAAGACTGTTACATGCGTTGACGACCCGAAGGTACCAAAAATTCCGGGCTCAGGTTCACTTATTTCCCGCCGTTTGAACAAGGAAATGACATGCATTTCCACCGACACGAGACAAACCAGCTATCGAAGCCTGTCCGTCTCTGTTACCTTTTGTGTACAAATCTCGACCGTTCGTTTTTTATTTTGACGCAACCGACGGCACAAAATTGTTAGTTTTGTTGAATTCATGCATCTGTCCCTATCTGAACCATTGACCACATTGAACCATTGAACCTATCTGAACCACTTGAAGGTGTTTTACAATTGCACGCAAATACAGCCGCACAGACATTCGCACCAAACATTGGCGGGCAATGCCCTTGTGAGCCGCACCTCAAGATGTTTTCTGCCCAGAATGTGCTAAGGATTTGCTTAATACGTGATTAACAGCTAACAGATTAACAGATCGAGCTCGTTTTTTGCCCTTGACAAGCATGGTCTGTAGAAAATACACTAATTCGTCGTCACCGAAGGGAACGACCAACTGGATGGGATGATCATGGGATGATCATCAAAGCCCCATCCCATGATCGTTCCAAGATCATGGGATGGGGCTTTAGAAAGATGCTATCGGGGCGTAAGGCACGTGAAATGGTACTTACGAAAAAGATTGCTGGTGTTGTCTGATGAAATGTGTTACCGTTGAAACCCGGGTAAGGTTGCGCAATGCCCGCTGCGATATTTGTGGTCGCCGTCATCAAAACTGTCGGCCGAAAGCGTTTTTGGGCTGAAACGCTGTGTCAAAATATAATTTTTGTCGCCGACCCTATACGCCAAGTCGGCAAGATTTACCGCTGTATCCAACACACAGTATTGTGCTTAAGGTGGCTCAGATGACTAGTACCGCACTGACGACAAGGTCAGAAATGCATTTTTCACGGACATTAGGGGGGTTTTTCAATCTCCTGCTTCTAACCACCAGATACACGGTACCGTGCCGCGGAGTGCCTGAAGCACAGGTGACTAACCAAAAAGGTTTGAACGACCCATACCGGGTATAAGGTTGAAACAATACTTGCTGAAGGACATCAGTGTATTAAGCAACAATTAGAGAGCTATGTCTGCGCTGGCTTTGCTGAAAAACGCGAGTCAAATTTTTGATTGGCCTCAAGTACAAATATCATTAAAGCCGGATGGCCACCGGTAGAGTTTGAAAAAGCAGATAGGGCATCGTCTGAATGAATCCCTTCTTACCATCACTGATCTGTAGTTTGGTTGGTATTTGTGTCTCCGGGGTCTGAGCTATTTGTACCTTGGGTCATGTACATGCATATTGTGGCTTTCGAGGCGTAACGGATGTCATGTCGACTAACGATGCAATGGTTTCAAGAGTTTTTCAAGGGTTTCATATGAATGCGGTAATGTGAGGTACGAAATTCTGAGACGATCTGCAATTGCAACGCGCCTAAGACTGACAACGAGCCCAGGTACGACTACCAGGAATTATTAATGATTCTCACGGCGCTAGCGCCCTCTTGGAACGGGAGCTTCTTTTGTAACCAATAGACGGCGCTAACGGTCAAGCAGCTCATGACTCACAAGCGGTTGTTTTTCGGCATCGTTCGGTGTAAATGGTTGGGGGTTGGGAATGAGTGAGGAAGAGGGGTGGGAGTAAATTAAGGTTCCGATAACCTAGCCTCTCTCAAATGTGCGTTTCTCAAAAGATTCAGCCCACTTTGTTTTTATCAACGACAATGTTCAGGTTCTTTTGTACCATTTAGCAAATGACGAAATCAGCAGCATTTCAACAGTTATGGCTGTCAGATATCACAAGCGGCATTACTTCACGCGCTACCGGCCGGTAGCACAGCAGCAATGCTGCTCCCAAACAGCCCGACCGTGGTGGGTGAGTTCGAGACAATTTTGGCGCTCGCTTTTGGCCCTTGGCATGTATGACCTGCGGTCGATGTCAGCGGCCGCGCTGAAGGTCAGGTGACGTTAAGGATAGGACAGAATGTGCCGAGCATTTCGAAACGTCAAACTTTCGCCAACAAATTCTGCCGTTGTCTGGAATCGCACGATCGGATGTCAGGAGTCTGGACTCACAGACAAGCACTGCTTAGCGTGAGCTCTGATCCCAGAAATCCATCCATTCCAAAGATTCGGATTGAGTTGTTTTTTAAAAGGAGCCGTGATGTTTGTGTTATGTAATTTAGCATCCAATTTCATAATATTTCGGAAACAAATGCTGATGGATTTAACAACATTGGAGAGGAGAGCAAATCTATTGATTCGCCCTCCTTCACGAAGGGATGGAAGACTCCTGCAAGAAAACACAGCTAGGTACCCATGAAGCTCCCTTCCAGCTTCCTTATCTATTTGTAGCAACTTTGTCGGTAAGTCACCACAAACGTGTGAGTTGTTGTTAAGGACAGACACCACAAGCACGCGGAACCGGAGGGAAGGGGGCAGTTGGGGCAGCTCTCGCCCCAACTTAAAAGCTGGAGGTAGAGGTGGTACCCCCTCCCCCAACTTGGTGGGCCTGTGGGGGTTCATTCTGATATGTTAAAAACCGATTCTGAACTCAAAAGAGGCTATGTAAGCTTGTAAAAGTTCATTTTGACATGCCATAGCCCATGCGGACCTAGGTAGTACGCATTCTGACCAAAAGAGGGAACTTCGAGGCTGTAGAGGTGCTATTCAGACCTGTGCAAGGCCCGTTATTGACTGTGGAGGGCCTATTCCGGCCTGTAGAGGTCCATCGTTATCTGCAGACGCCAATTATTGACTGGAGGGTCCATTCTATCCTGTCGTAGGTCCATTCTGGCCTTGAAATGACCCATTCTAGCCTTGAGAGGAGCCCTTCTGGTCTGTTAAGGGCCTTTACGACCTGTAGGGGACCCTTTATGAGCTGTAGGGGTTTCATTATCGACTGCCGAGGGCCCATTCTAACCTTTAAATGATTCATTCTGACCTATAGAAAGGTGACCCGAGCCGGCAGCTCGGACCGGCCAGAACCGAACCGGACCTGCCAGGCCGGCCGGCCCAGCATCCGACACGGGAGTGACCTGTCACACACAAGCAGCTGCATGCAGGCAGTGGTGAATACCCCCTGCAATCTAATCTTAGGGGACACAATTTGGTATTTTGGAGTTAAATCCCTCGACTTCGAAATAGTGCCCCCCCCCCCCCCCTGGGACACCACCACCTGATTGAGAAATGGTAGGCCACCTGGAACATTTTGCTCCAAAAGTCGCGCCGAAGCGTTCGGTGTGGTCTGCGTTACGCTCTCTGACGTCACTGAGCTCCAGTGTGCTACCGCTGCCGCCGGCCACAGGCCATGCCGGCCGGGGGCAAAGGGCACCTAGATCGGATCAAACTTATTTTGCCACGGGAGGGTGAATCAGAGAGCAAGCACTCTTGACCCTAACCATCTGACCTGTCGCCGCGAATTTGCTCTCAAAAGACCCTGCTTGGGCGAAAACTCCGACTCAACGCAGAATACTGCACAATTATGCTCTGAGCAATCAAGACGGGTTTTCATGCGAATGACATGTCTTTCTTGCTTCATCACGTTCTCGTGGCGTTAACTGCAGAGAGCTCTCGATAACTAATGCGTAACTCGTAAACTGCAATGACCGGGAAACTGTTCATGGCTGGGCCAAAAGACACCTCAGCATCTGGAGCTATTTTGGAACCCCCGATCACGGCCGTGTGTCACTTCCACACACCGCGTCGAAGTCCGAAGCCTTACGTTACCCTACACAGGACCCGTGCCTCTTCCTAACCCCTTTTACCAGACAGCAACCCCTAACCCAGCGCACGCCGCCCTCGCGCCGCGACCGACGGGTAACCAGAGCCGCGCCGGCGCGCGTCCCTCCCACTACGCATGCGCGGCGCCGCGAGCTATTTTCGCGTCGGACCGGCGCGACCCGCGTCGCGTCCGTCGAGCCCGCGGCCCGCCGGGCAGTCGCTGCCGCTGTGGACACGGCGGGAGAGGCCGAGCGCCGCGGTGGCGCTGGGCGCGGTGCGCTGTGAGCGGTGAGCGGTGAGCGGTGAGCGGCAGCCATGGCGGAGACGGAGGGGGGCTCGGAGCAGGATGACGTCTCGTTCCTCCGCACGGTGGGTTCTGGCGGCTTTGTGGAGCTGGTTTCGTCGACCGGTACTCTTGTGGTTAACTCGTGCCCGAATTGAGCGGCGTGGTAACGTGAGTTGGCACGCTTGTGAGCGCAGGTGAATAAGCAGCGGGCCAAGTGTGTCAGAGATTACACCGACTTCCCTGGAGCCGTAACCTCTTGCCCTTTCCGCATTAAAAGGTGCTGTTCTGAACGCTTTATCTCATCGTTTTTCAGCATTACCTGCTCCTATTTATTTTAGCGAGTCAAGTGGCGTGCTTGAAATAGTGTACATACCCGAATTCACATGCCTATAGACGTATGATCGTCATCGACGCGCAGCCATAATTTATGGCGATGAGCCTCGAAACCTATGCGCTGGCTTTATTATAGTATGATACGCTATATGCCATAACGTAGTGTACTGAGGCTGAATAGCTCGTCATAGAAAAAAAAACATCAAGCCATCAGGCGTTTTTGGGAAAAGGGTTAAGCGTGCTGTTTAGCATGTCATGTGGAACACTGTTAAGGTCATGCTGTGAAGGTAATTCATGTGGCACACTGTTAAGGTTCCTTTCTGAGGCCACTTCGTTCCCCTTTTGACATGTTGCCCCGGTCATGCCCAACTACTCAAAGCCGACATTTACAGAAGGATCCTGTCGTCTCCGATTGAACCGATTTCGTGACATATTGACTTTACGGTGCTATCAGGTGAACGCAATGGAAAGTGTCGCGATGCCTATTTGCCCTTTCTGGTATTTCCTATTTGGCACTCGGGCGTGCGGAATGATATTATCTTCATGATAGGGATATGCTCTCTTGCACGCACCTCACGGCAGATAGCTTCTAAAACCCTTCACAGTATTTAGAGATGTCAGAGAGCAGCCCACGCACATCGTTACGCCCGTGGGTCATGACCCAGCTCGTCACTCCGTTGGCGCCCAATGATCGCGCACTTCTGTCGTCTATAAATACGTCCGTCATCCCGGTGACTTGGCCATTCTGGCGTCGCCGTCCAGACAGAAGCACGGCATCCGTGCAGGGGCAGCGCGGTGGCCAGGCATCTCCGCCATTTGGCAACACTGCTAGGAATTGGGCCCGTGCCACGACGCGCGCGCGGGCCAAAATACACCCCAGTGCCGGGGCCGGCCGCGGCGCCTTGTGAACCCCGGTCCCATGTCACCCAGCCCTGGTGAGCTGATGCAGGCTTACCGTCCACGCGGGTGCCGGTTACGTAATATTGCTGTGGCTCACTCGTGCAGGATATGCCGAGTTACACATGGAGTGCAGGTAGCACCGCAAAAATCTGCTTAGACTTGTGGAATAAGTATTTTGGCTATTTTGCCTGTCAGGGGTTATGTCGCTGACGTGTCCGCCGGTTACCTCTCCGGCGGACGTCGGGTGTTATTCGGTGTTGACAATTACCGAGAATGTCTGGCGCTTAACCATATATGTACCAAAGCCTCGGTATATGCGGGAACCACGAGCTTCAAACTGCGATCCTACCGATTGCAGCCCGACAATACCACCATTTCACCATAGGCGAGCTGCTGGGGGCGCGTTTCTAGAATTGCTATGTGAGTTCCGATACCATGCCACGTTCCCGATGCTGGCTTTTTGCACTGTACCGATATTTTCAAGACTGGCTGGGCCAGGCAAGTCCAAGGCAGAGGAAATTGCGCATTGGTAACAGAACGAATTGGCTTTCAGTGTTACGGAATGATCGAGATGCGACATTGATATCGCTACACTGACACACCAGATGAGGATGATAATCCGAACAATTATTTCACCCCTGCATAAAGTTCCATCGACAACAGAAAACATTACTTGAGCAACGCGTATGTAGCCACTAGTCAGCAGTCTATCAGTCAGGCTATCGAGCGACGACTCAAGGAATTGTGAGAAAAAAAGGAACCAGAAGTACTTACCAGATCCAAAGTGCAGGCAGCAGAACCAACATCACAGCAAGTTTTCATATATGTAGAGCCTACCGAAGATCCACGCGACCGCTGCACCTTTGAGACCAACAGTCAGCTGCCGGGGTTCAGTGGGCTATCCGCTGAGCCGGGTCCGAATCAAGACAATCATTTCGCAACCTAAGCTGAAACTCCTCATCGTGCGGGAATCTAGCCTTACTGATGAAGAGTCTTTCATCGCCTCCTGGCATGCAAATGATGAACTTCAACGTCCGAGTCAGTATTAGCTTACCAACAAATGAAGCCCAAACCGCCGTCCTGAGCAAGCCGGAAAACGACGCCTTGCCTCCCGAAAGAACAGCAATGTTAACGGACATCACAGAGGCAGACACCAGCATACTATACGTTACGAGCCTTCCAGTTCGACACCTTCTTTATACCAGCTGAAGGAATGGTCATGTCGTCTATTGTCGACCGTTCCACATTTTTCGGTGTCGGTGTCAGTCGTCCGCTGTCAGTGGTTGCCAACATATACATGAAACACTTTGAGGACGTGGTACTGGGAACAACAACGTCAATGTCAATAATGCGGCTTCCATACGTTGACGACGTATTCGTTCATGGCAACACCAGGAGATGTGACCCAATTACTTAACCACATCAAAGGTTTGCGTCCATCGATCCAAGTTACTTGGAGCGAGGGAAAAGCATGATAACGACAGTCTTCGACAAACAAGTGAGAGAACCGAGACCGAGTTCAGGACATCAGTACAAGACATGATGATTATGTACAATGCAAACAAGCAAGAACAGGAATGCAAAAACAGGCCGATGCCTGATCTTGGAACCCTACCACCATGACCATTCCGCTTGCAAAATTGTACAGAAATCAGCTCGGGTGACAATGCCAGGGACTGGGAGACATGCAACCTCACTGAAACGTGACAACAAAACGGCTACTCGAAAGGATTCATGAAGAAGAGTTATTAAAGATTCCTCAGTGTAGAACAACTTGAGGACGAGCCATCGACAACCACATCGATCGCGGACAGCAAAAGCATGTCAACTAAGATCCGAAGAATCTGAGGTCACTTCATCAGCACAGTCATCAGAAGCGTCACAGAACAACCGCGAGCAATCACCAGTCAGACCGCCAACGTCTGCCAAGAATACAGTGACCTGCTTGTTGAACGCTTCCTACAGTTGTGGAAGATCATGTGAAGGTAGAACCAGTTGTTCACTGTGAGCCAGACGGCAGAGTCAAACAGGGGCAAGACGGAAGGGCAAGGCATCTGAAGCTTATTAGGGAAGTCCGCCATACCGCAGCACGCACGCTCGGAGGGAGAACGCCGGCCGACGAATTACGAAGGCGACACTACCGGCAGAGAACCGCACGGGGATCTACGGAGGATCAAGAAAGCGACAAGCATGGCACTAGCTTCAAACCCCACCAGCAAACGTAGAGCAGCCATCAACCACACACGGCTACTCGTGGTTAGAAAATTCTACAGAAATCCTAGAGAGTTTAAAAGAACTTCTCACGCGCCTCTATTTGTCCTCGACGGTATAATGTGTAGAGTTTGTGTACCGTGTATTGTACTTGTACTGTGCACAAATCATAAGATCGTGGGTACAAAGCTCTAGCTGCCGAACGCTCTCGATGCTGTAATACACACATGATTGTGCACCAATATCAGCTGCGATTCAGGACTGATCAGACCCGGGAGACAACGATACTGAATGCGCGTTATTCATGGTTTTTGGTTCCAGAAGGATGGAACATATGGATGGATTCCTTAGCCACACACCACACTACACATTATCAATATGCCGGGCACCTTATGCATGCTCATCTTGTCAAGCATGCCGTCCATGCTCGCTGGGCACGGCTCTCACTTTTACCATTCACTCACACTGCACAACTGATGTCATCGACATGCATTTCCACGAGTGTGCGTGGTCGGATTGCGAGCGCCTGTTGATAGAGCTTGCTGCATCTGCTCTGAGCCCTCCACTCAAGTTGTATCGTTCATCCGTTAATGTGGACTCTGTCGTTCTTGCTCAGCAGGGCTGCGAATGGTTTTGGATGCCGTTCAATGATGTAACGCTCTTTTGTACCGTGTTTACAGCTGGGAGGAAATCAGCAAGTCGGGCGAATCTTGTTCGGATACTAATGCGCTTGGCGCCTCGAGCTGCCGGCGGTCCTACGGACACGGGCCGACGGTCGCGCATTCCACAGACTAATAACTGCAATCACTGATCGCAGACTTGTATGGGAAGAACAAGCGCGATTGTGGAAACGTATGATAAAGATAAGCGCCACTGCTGGAATATTTTCCTTTATAGATTTCAAAGTATTTGCACATCATTTTTTGATGAACCGTAGCGGCCTGTAACCTGTAAGGTTCAACGTTTGTGAGCAAGATATCCACTTTGAAGTTCAAATTCGATTAACGTACGAGACATATAATTTTCTGGTTGCAAAAATGTCATAACACGGACTGGAATCGGACCCAAATGTCGACGGCGGAGCGCTCAAACTTACCAGAAAATAGCATTTTGACGGAGGAGAACACAGATACACAATGGCAATGGCAAGCGTGCCAGACAATGTGTACAACAGGTGATCTCGCGCGTGCGCAGATCTCGCGCGTGCGCAGATCTCGCACCCACCCGTGTTTTAGGCGTTCGTAGAGACTGGTGTCAGTTCCCGACAACGGAGGCGGAGAACGCGAAATGAAAAGCACAGCGTGGGTGTATGTACTGCCTGCAGATTTATGAGTGATTTTGACTTTGCCCGTCCCGCTGGTGCGCCATAAATCGGCCGGATGCGGTCAATGCCACCTTCCTTGAGACCGTTCTCGAATTCAATGCGCTGGGACCCAAATGATGAAGAGGGTACCACGAAAACTGGATACAGGGATGTCTGGTTCACTGTGAGCAATTGTCACCCAAAATATTTTCGTTTTCACTCGAATGTCTGGGTCATGGTCACTAAGAGCGTCATCACTGTGCTGTATTTATTTCGTCAACCGAAATTACCGAGGATGGTCAAACCATTGTGGCCGAGCAATTTCAAGTCAATGTTACTTAAATTTTTACGTAGTTTGATGCGCGACATAGCATTGGTAAGCCTTCGCTTGCTTAACCCAGTTGTTGGACGGTGTTTCCAGCGCGTATATGGCAAGGATTCCAATCGATCCTTGATTTCACCAGGTCAGGTTTTCGTGTTATCTACTTGATGACAAGTTATATGCCTCACGTAGCAATGGCCCTGATCATCCCTCACCGCGTAAGACTGCTTGCGCGTATTTCAAGCCGTATGATAGCATGTACGTACTTGTAAATCTTGAGATTAGGATCCTACAGTGTCGTGGTCTGAAATGAATTGGCAAGTTTATTATGATGAACATATGTTTTGCCCATTGTGCCTCTCTTGTCTTTCTTTTTCCTTATCGCGTTTCTTCTAAACACGTCTGCAGTAAAGCAATTGCCAGTAAACTGAGCGATCGTTGACAGAAAATTTCCTGGGATTCAACAATGACCACCCCTTGCAGTCTCTGGTGGTCTAGCGGTTTGAGCAAATGTCAGTCTTGCCTAACGTTCCATTCCTGTCTTTCTCAACGTCAGAAGCGCTGATAAGTGTCCACTGTTTATGCTCGCATCCTCACTCCCATGGCACGTCTTCGACAAACCTCCACTTCCGTGAAACGCCTTCCACAACCCCCACTCCCGTGACACGCCTTCGACAAACCCCCACTCCCGTGACACGCCTTCGACAGACCCCCACTCCCGTGACACGCCTTCGACAAACCCCCACTCCCGTGACACGCCTTCGACAAACCCCCACTCCCGTGACACGCCTTCGACAAACCCCCTCTCCTGTGACACGCCCTCGACTCCCCTGTATGCACACGCGCTCCACCCTTGGTGTGGTGGTTGCTCTACCAAGCAGCAGCCGGCTCCGCTCGAGCGCCGCGCCTGACGCCGGTCGTGTCCCTCCGCAGGAGGACATGGTGTGTCTCTCCTGCAACGCCACAGGGGAGAGGGTGTGCCTGGCGGCCGAGGGGTTCGGCAACAGGACCTGCTTCCTCGAGGGCATCGCCGACAGGGTGAGCTCATAGGAGGACCGGTGTGGTGCCGGCCCCCGCCGCCGAGCCGTGGCCGCCGGCCATAACTGGCGGAAGGCGCGATGTTACGGGTGGGGATGTGTGCTGCGTTTGGACCCGCACTGGTCACAAGATTAGTTTTTGGGTTTGTGCTATTTTCCCCATGCGGTATTAGCCCATTTTTTGTTACCATTGTCATTCTGCGTCATTTTAACATGCTCGGTAGTCAAGATGATGTCAACGAAAAGCTGCGGTGCAAAATTTCTGTATGTACGTAGCTTGTCAAATTTGGCACCGTTGTGTCATATAGGTGATACTCGTTTTCTTTCAAAAATGTTGATCAGATCTACAAAGAACAAGATGACCACAATCGGGTAAACTCTCATGAGACGGATCAGTACGATGCTAGCGAAGGCTAGCGGTGATTTGTCAAGTACGGCCCCCATGTGATGGCCACCACACCCATAAGACGACCTCTCCCTTGCCCGTCAGCGCGGTGTTCCACCCCCGTGTGTGCCGGTGCGATGGTCCACTTCGCACACATCCGCCTGGTTTCAGAACAAGCCGCCCGACCTGGCCGCCTGCGTGTTCGTGATTGAGCAGGCGCTGTCGGTGCGCGCACTCCAGGAGCTGGTGACGGCGGCCGCCTCCGACACGGTCAGTTGACTCAGCTCCGGTCGCCGCAGAGGTCACTGAGAGGTCGCCGGTGGGCCGCGCGTCACGGACAGCTAGCTCTAGATGGGGGACTTGATGTCGGGGTGGGTTTTGCGTAGATTGGCGAATTTAGCCGTGTTTTCAGCTCATGCTAGCTTTTTCTTGTGACGTCCGCTCTTATGGCACATTATCGATGAACATACACTGTGAAATGTCAAACAAAAGGCTTTGCATGATTTATGGCATGGGATTCGCTAGCCGAAGAAATCAGATTCCTGCGAAGAGCTAGGTCGTGATACAAATGCGACTTCGGTTTCTCAAATATCGTCGCGCAGTTTATGCAAATGTATGTGCCAAAATGCTACCATTGCGAGCCTTCTGAATCAAAATTTATACATATATGCCAACCACTAGAAATCGCCGCTAAGGCGGTGGAATAACACAACCGGCAGAAAGATGGGATATGAACTTCCACGTGGGAAGCGCGTGCACGGCGCTCAATGGCGTATGGGTTTTCTCTTGATTCGTAAGTTCCGTGTGTAAGGAGAACAGCACACTCTGAATGCCAGCGCCTTTGCATTTCATAAGTCAAAGGCCAGTTGCCGGAGGCACGTCGTTACATAAATTGTTGCCAAAAGCCATATTTAAAGTCATTTCCGGGCATCGCTTATGTGGAAGCATTGTCTCGTCTTTTTGTGTTTTAACATTCGCGTTTGATCTCACTAAGCCGTTTGTGTAGTCAACTGACTAGGCGATTTTGCAGTCTCGAAGGCATTTCGTTTAAAAGAAGTCAAAAATCGGGAAACGCCTGGAAAAATATCGTACCCACGTCGTAGTCCGAACAGCGAGCTCTAGAAAACATATATTTCGAGCTTCGTGAAGAGAAGAGTCGGATATTATCGCATTTTGCTGATCTCCATGCAGTCATTCGACCTCAGCCAATGGCACAAGCTTTCATCGGTGGCTTTTCGAAATGACACCGTGCCGTCTAGCTGACCGTCTAGCCTTAGCCCATGTAGCCGAGTCGTCTCTGGTCATTGTGTTTACGTGTGTTTTTGCAACTTGCAGGAGAACGGCGCGGTAGTAAGTACTTGTCTTGTCTGCCCCACACCATACAGACAAACACCACCAGTGGCTGTGGTAGCGCGTGCACCCTCTATCGTCCCTCATAGTGCGTACACTGGCACTAGCTCTTGCCATGTAGCTCGTAGTAACTTGTGGTTCCATTGTTTGTACCAGATCCTTACCCATGTGGGACTGGAGGGAGAGACCCAATGTTGTGGAGTGGTTACTTATGTTGCTCTGATTTTCCATGATGTTTTATGGGTTCATCTGAATTAAGTCATTTAAGCTAGTTCTGGAGCAGTTTTTTCGTTTTTCATCTCGTGTACCTCACTCAGTGTTTTTCGTTTTTGTTCGAGAAGTTCTCCCGTGATGCTGTTTTAAGGACTAGATTCCCATTGACAAGATTCTAAACGTGATGATATAGAACTTATTGATATAAACGCAGAGGCAACAGCTAAGGGCACCTTTTGTTCCCTTGCGGTCGTTCTGAAACGTTCACGTCGGTTGTATGCTGCGTTTGACGAGTGCTAGAATTTGTAATATAATCTGTCGTCTTGCTCTAGAAGTAATGCCTAAACGTGACCATATAATCAGAAAACTTCTTGGCTTTGCTTTCTGCTTTGTGAAAATCCGTACCATTCTTCTACACTGAGATCGTGCGCATCAATTTGGGGAGCGCATTTGTTAGTTACTGCACGTCCATAACCAAATGACATGGGGGTTTAGAAGCCGCACTATGACCAGACATTATGGCTCATGCCTTATATCTGACGTCAACGAAAGAAAGTTGCTTTTTACATACCAGCCGCAAATGATTAATTTTCCCCCGCATTGCGGATCTCACAATGTTCGGCTTACATGAGCTTTCTCAGTCGCTAACGCCGCCCCCACCCCTTCCGCCGTTTCTGTTCATCCACATAATTCGGCTACGCTTCACCGCTTTCATAGTTAGGCTCATCACCTGAGTTCCCCGCAAAACGCCTAGACGGTATAGCATTCTTTTAGGCGACCCGAGTATGGACCCCTCCCGGTGCGCTAATCAGTAACGCTCCAACGTCGCTGCGCTTCGCCGAACTCCCGGGGCCGTCGCGGTTGGAGCCGCCTTCAGGTACGGTATTCTTCAGTCCCAGGCAGCTTCTCTAACCCGCATCGTCACCGAATGTAGAGCTCCTTGCTTTCGCTGCTTTGCGACCCTCCCGCTTTGCGCTGTTCAGTTTTTGGCAAGCACAGACAGAACAACCGTTTTAACTGCTACTCGTCGATGTTAAGTTATATTTTTTTAAACGCAACCTGAACATGCCTAAGTCTGAGCCTGGTTAAAGCCAGCCTTGTGACGTCATTTGTGCAAGCGTACGCGAAATGTGGCTCGGTTCGTTGTGCTGGCTCATACAAGAGGCTCGTTGTGTTTGTGCAGCACTACTACATTTTTCACACCACTAGTATGCGAACACCTGCGCTCCTGGTGCTTTGGGTGTATGTGCTCTGGAATTTGATTGCATTGTATCGTGGTGAGGTCTGCGGAAAAAGCTTTGGTCACTCTGCCGTAGCCATTTAGCTTTTCGTGAACTGTGACGCGCTCTTGATGTGCTGTCTGCTCTTTGTGCGAAGCTATCTCCTATATATCAGTGAAACAAACGGGCTGTCTGCTGTGAGCATTGCAATCTATAGCGTTGAACCTAAGTTTTGCATTTATTCGGTTTTGCATTTTTGCATCATTGATCTACATGTCTTGACAACGCGCACATATGTGAGTGAGTGTGTCTGATTTTAGGAACATGGTCCTTTCGTGACCATCCTGAGCACATGTCTCCCATCGACAACGTGACACGGACTTACTCACACAATCACACATTCATACATACACGTATACACGTATGTGTATGCACCAATTTGCCTTTTGAGTGTCTGGATGTCAATTTTCGGTTACCATACTCCTTGCTATGATTGCAAACAAGGCTATCATTAGTTTTCGAGCTCATTTTATGGATGACTTAGTGATTTCACGTAAATTTTGGAGCCAATACTTGACAACTTGATTTGTTTTTATGTCATGCAGTCCACCTAAGATTGCGTGCAGTATGTGTATCAGGTGAGCTTATACCCATTTTGTGATTGTTTCTGAGCTCAGTCTAGCAAGAATGATGCTGCCAAGGTGTTTTAAGAACTTGGGGTAAGTGTTTTGATCGGGTTGGTTACAACTTGGCCCCATTTATCGGCTCCGACAAAATGAAAACGATGGTAGCAGATAGCCGCCCGGACCAGTTCTGAAACTCATGTCATTCGTGACAGCCATCAGAAGTCTGCCATCTCCAATTCCATCCGTCACTCCTAACAAAAGTCTGCGACCTCCCGGGTTTCATCCGCCACACCCAACAGAAGTCTGCGATCTCCCGGATTCCATCCGTCACAGTCATTAGAAGTATTCCACCTCCCTGGTTTATGACGTCACTTGTGGTTGTGTGGAGATATTTATGCACAGCAGGCCATTTTTTTCCAGTATGGGAATACTGCGGACAAGTGTCGCTATTGCAGACGGTAATTATGTGGTATTTGCAAGGTTATTATGATACTTCGTCCATATTTACATGCAACCACTCATCTGACTTTCAACATAGCCGTCTTATACTGATTTACTTAAAATGCTCAAGATGGTGGTGGCACCCCAATCTTAAATGATGTTCGTCTTCCAGTGTCACTGAAATGTAACCCACACCGGTTACCATTGCCCATCGGGTATATATAAGTTATATGTAAGTTGTAAAGCGTATGTAAGTTGAAAAACAAATCATGTAAGGCATCGTTGTTCAAGCACTAGCTGAATGTTCTAAAAGGATCGACAAAACTTGGCATAAGGGATATTGCCGTCAGTGCCAACTGCCATTTACTTCATATGTTTATTGCGTCGGTGCCGGACACTTCGGACAATGGCTCTTACGGGCAACGGCCGTCTAAATTTGCCTTGCTGGAACCCAGCAATGGCGACGAAGTTTTGCTTCATCGCACGTCCATGTGGTGAGGTAGTGATGCTTCCAAAAAGAGAGGCATCTATGATGGAGCTCTTAAATAGGCATTGCAGCTTCTCCAGCGATAGCGTTCCGGTGAGGTAATGTTGGTGAAGCATCGCAATTCTTGCAATACCTCCTATGCTCTGAATTCGCAAGGGCCAGAACATATTTTGTCATTTGTTGCAAGGCTGCAATTGCATTGCCAGTAAAGCTGGGAAATTTTAGCCCCAAATTTTCATTTTCGTTTCATTCTAGAACACACAGTTGGGACATTGTTACCACGCTTTATCTCGTAAGACTGGAATCGGAAGCCTAGATGAATGGGTTCCCCAGGAATCAGAAGACCAGATGAATGGGCTCTCTCGGAAACAGAAAACAGTATGGATGATCTTCCGGTTCCAGTGCTGCCTCTCTGACGTTACTCTGCCGTATTTCAGGGAAAGGGCACCGGCTCTGGCCATCGCACGCTTCTGTACGGCAACGCTGTGCTGCTGCGGCACCAGAACAGCGATATGGTGAGCTCACCAAACAGCTGCTGGGCCAGACGGCGGCCACTGCTGGGCCAGACAGCGGCCACTGCCAGACCAGACGGCAGCCACCGCTGGGCCAGACGACGGCCGCTGTTGGGCCAGACGGCGGCCCCTGCTGGGCCAGACGGCGGCCGCTGCTGGGCCAGACGCCGGCCGCTTTAGGGCCAGACGGCGACCACTGCTGGGCCAAGCGCGCGACAGCTCAGACTGCGGGTGGAATGTTTGTCTGGCAATGCCACCGGTCCGGGAAAATCCAGGACGGCTGACAATGGGGTTGTGTGTAGTTGGATTGCAGAACGATATAACGCACGAAACAGCTCTAAGTTGTTGACATTTTTATGCTATGAAGCAGTGCTAATTTGGCGTTAGAGGGCACATAGTCTCAACTACAAATGCTTCGCCAACAAAAGATGGGTGCATGACATTAGCGTGAGTGCACTCCACTGCGACCGCGTTTTCAAGATATTCATACGCACGGCCAAGTATAAGCGCTTGGACATTTTTATTTCTGGTGAGGTGCATATCATGGTGCTACCGTGTTCTGTAGATGATTAAACTGCACACTGCTGCCGAATCACGAGATTTCTTCATAAGTCAGGTTGGCGTTTCTTCATAAGCCAGGTTTGTCCTCCGCCCCCCCCCCCCCCCCCCCCCCCTCCCTCCCATTCCACCAATAAGCCTACCACCACGCGTTGGACCTGCATTCCTCGCCCGAACTGGTTGTCGTTTCTTCTGCGCTGTCTGGCAGCGCCGCCACGCCGCGCAGTCGCCCCCCTCCCCCCTCCCCCGCGCCGGGCGTGTCGCGCCGCCCGGCCACAGAGCCCCTCCCCCTCCCCCACCTCGGGCGCCGCGGCGCTCGCCGTCAGCTGGCCGCCGGGCCGGGGCGCCCTGCCAACTATTTAGGCCGTGACCCGACCCCGACGCCCGGAGGCGCCGCCGCCGGGCGTACAGGGGTTCTCCACCGGGACGCCGGGACGCTGTCAACCCATGCTCGAGCGGGCTGATGTCTACTCAGTTCGCGCAATTGCCGTTGACATGATAATTGAACACTGACACGGTGTCATTGACGTAAGTGATGACATGACAGTAAAGTGAATGACATGACAGTAAAATGAATGACATGACAGTAAAGTGAATGACATGGTTTGTGTCATTGTCATTGACATCATAATTAGACATTGACATGAATGACGTTGACTAATTGAATGGCATGATGTTATTGTTGTGGCAAAAGCTGCACGATTCATACGTTTTACGTCAATTTGCAATTAAGCGGATGCAACCATTGATTAGGCGCGAAAACTTTTGCATTTTGGGGGAACTGGGGTCGGCCGGGGGCTTTTTTGGGAGAGGTACTCAGGGGCTTTGGGGAGGGGCTGCCAAGCCGTCCAACTTTTTGTGAAAATTCATAACTAGATTTACAGCTGTGTATGAAAGGAAACTGCTTTGAAGTAACTCTCAGTCACTCCCCCAATCTGCACAAGCTCCGGCGCTTATGGCTACAAGTGTGCTCAAAGAAAAGCGTGGGAGTGTGCGTGAGAGTGAGAGTGTGAGAGTGAGAGTGAGAGTGTGTGAAAGTGTCCAGCTGATAATGCGTCTTCATGCATTCTCTTCACGTCCGTATCATCTTTCTGAGCACGGGGCACAGGGTCATGCAAGCGTGTACTTTTAGCATGGTCACATCGTGCAAAATGCACATGGGTAGTTTGGTGCAGGAGACGAAGTTCCAATCTGGTGGGCAGCTGCAAACCAAGCCGCAAAGCGCCGGATCCCGGAGCCGATATCATTCTCGTGGCCTTCAAGCCGTTGCAGATGTGACAGAACAGATGTGCATTTGCACGTTGCTGTATCACAATATACCTGGCATGCCGACTCCTCTGGTGTCGCATTGTGGCCACCGTTGCGCTGTGGCCCGCCGGGAGCTCCGGACCGCCAGCGGCCCCAGTGACAGCCCCTCCCCCTCCCCGGACAGCTGCGCTGGGCGCAGCTCCAGCGCCACGTCACCGGTCCTCCCCCCCCCCCCGCCGGAGAGCCCCACACGCCGCGCTGGGCCGGCACCCGGGCGGCAGGTGACCACGCCGGCCCCAGACGCACCCCGACACCGGGTCGACGCGTCGACAGGGGACCGGAGGCCAGAGCTTAGATGCCTGAGGCGGACATGCGCCTCGAGGCGGCTCCAGTCGTTTGGAGGATGAGAAGAATGCTCTTCTAATTCGGTCAGGACAGTTTGTCGGGTGTTGCTTGAGTCCGGATTGACGGGATGGGGAACGCATCGCCTGTAAGACGGTTGAACGCCAGGTCGGAGACGCGACGTCCCGCGACCCCAGCCGACGTTTCCGACCCCATCCGCGGGTCGGAAACGGCAGCAAATGCGGCTTGGCTCCTCATGTATTGACGTCATTCAGACCACGTTAACACGTCGGGTGCCGTGGGGCTTCCATAACTCTCATAGTTTCAGACTCTTGTATGTGAGTTAGAGTTTTGTTTCTGCGCTCGATTGCGAAAGTGCGAAATGACTCGTAAAAGGTCATTGACGTTGCTACATTTTGCTCCTCGTAAATTGGGCGTCATATATGCCATGTTTGAGAACAGTGACTGAGTCAAGGTTGGGGCTCAGGAAGAAACAAAAATGATGACAAACGAAGATGTGCACATTAGCACACCAATGGGAATTCCAGGCCCTCTTTTGGCATTTTAGAAGTCCAGGACTTTGACGTATCTGTCTCGTCAAGTATGTTCCGTCCATTCCGCCAAGAAGTTTGACGTGGCATACCGCTCTCACCGACGTCACCAAAACGCAGCACCGTCTTACCGTCTCTCCACCTGCCCTCAGTATCTTGCGTGCCTCTCGACCAGCTCCTCCAAAGACAAGCTGGCGTTCGACGTCGGTCTGCAGGAGCACTGCCAAGGTCGGTACCTGTCAGCCAGCGCCTGGAAACATCAGAGCGTATGGCCAGCACCCTCTGCGCTTGAAGGCCATGCACTGTGCGTTGTGCGTCCATGCGTTTCAAGATTGCGGCAGGCGGGTGGCTTCGCACGTCTGGGACGCTCAGCCTTTGATCCAGGCCACTTCAGCGGGCTCGCCGATCTATGTGCCACGGTGATGCAACTCGTTACATTTCTGGATCATATCACAGCCGTTGTGAGCATGCTGGAATGTTTATTCTCGATCGGCTGGCACAACAGGCCCAATCCCCAAAGCGTTTCCTTGCACACATCGAAACTGCCGGGATGCAGCCCTGACGCCTCTAATCGGGTCGGTAAACACAGCCTATAACGGCCGATTGCGACGTCTGGACCAGCCGACCGCGCGTGACGACGTGGCTGTGTTTACGGCAGGCGAGGCCTGCTGGTGGACCATCCACCCGGCCTCCAAGCAGAGGTCCGAGGGCGAGAAGGTGCGGGTGGGCGACGACCTGATCCTGGTGTCCGTCGCCACCGAGCGCTACCTGGTGAGCGCTGCACGGACGTGACTTCTGCACCTGTCGCCTGACAACCGAGCGGGCACCACATGTCGTACGCTGTTCATGGTTCCGGTGCCACCTGGTTCTGCAGGTTCACCTGGTTCATGGGTGGTTCTGCAGCAGGATCCGGTGGCCCGCTGAGTGTCCTAAAGACTTGTTTTCGTGTATCGTCGTGGGGGGCAATATCCGCACGCCGGCGACACAAGGCGTGTTAAGTCCTGTAAGACCGTCAGGTGCAGTCTGACCAACGTCTCCATGACTCCTGCTAGCATTAACTGCGCTGTAGTTGGACGCTGAAAGACACAAGGGCAGCAGGGTGGTGTCGCTCCGTTTTCCTTGGCAGCCGGGGTTGACCCGGCTGTTTGTTTCCAGCAAGCGACCTTGGAAAACGAGGTGCCGATCGTGAACGCCTCGTTCCACGTGACGCACTGGTCCGTGTCGCCGTTTGGGACGGGTCTCAGTCGCGTCAAATACGTCGGTGAGTTACGGGTGATAGTGGTGGAACATCGAAGAAACGAACTCCGTCACAAGCGTCTTTTGGTCATTCCTTGTTCGCATCAATTTTCCCGCATGCACTGCTCTGCGGTAGAAAACATATATGGACTTGCTCTATATCATCATATGATATGTATCATATGACAGCAGTTTTAAATGTTACACCAAGGCACGTTGCAGAGCTGGCGTCCGTTCATTGATGATACTGATGATATGCCTTTCAGGATACCTATTTGGTGGAGAGGTGTTGCGCTTCTTCCACGGAGGAGATGAATGCCTCACGATTCCCTCTAACTGGTCAGAGGACGACTCTCAGAAGTAAGCGGCTTTACGATGACCGACTTATAGCTATAGCACAATGGCGAGATTCCGCGACTTCGTGTTTGCCATCTTTAATTGGCAAGTTTCAAACGGCCGCAGACTAGGGAATGAGTAATATATGATAACGTGACGGTTTAAGAAGAATGTTTGTCAGCTCTGTGGCCGCTTGCCTTAGGATCTGACCAGATGTCACCTGAAACAGCCCACTTGACTTGGTCTGACCTGATCCGACCAGATCTGATATGACCTGACATGACATGACCTGACTCTGACCTGGCTCTGACCTGGCTCGACCTGGCCTGGCTCAACCTGGCCCGACCCGACCCGACCCGACCCGACCCGACCTGATGTGACTTGACCTGACGTGACGTGACGTGACGTGACCTGACCTGGCCTGACGTGACTCGACCTGACCTGACCTGACCTGACCCGCAGTATCGTGGTGTACGAGGGCGGCAGCGTGGTGAGCCAGGCGCGCTCGCTGTGGCGGCTAGAGCTGGCCAGGACCAAGTGGTCGGGCGGCTACATCAACTGGTTCCACCCGATGAGGATCCGCCACATCACCACCGGCCGCTACCTGGGCATCAACGAGCAGAACGAGATCCGACTCATGCACAGGTGAGGCGTGGCCAGCTGGGGTCAGGCGAGGTCAGTTGATCCGGCAGGCATGGCCCGGCGGGGGAGTCCGGCGTCCAGTGGTGTGGGCGAGGTTGAGCTGGCGATGGGCACTTGTCTAATTGTTGTGCTTTGTTGCTGCGAATTCACTGAACTATCCGCATGAAAAAGCACGTTTGTGGTGGTTTGTAACTTACGGTTCGCAGCCCTTGAAAAGAATTGCTGTTGGGGCGTGTTCGTGTGCGCCCTGACGTCAACACTCCTGTTTTCGGGGATGCAGTGGTGAAAGATATGCAACTACAAGTTGACAAATTCGTTTAGCCCGCTCAAAAGGTTTTCTAGGGTCAGTGTCAGTCATGACAATCCGGTCATCGCGCTGTAAGATGAACTGCAAGCGAGTGTCAGTGTCGGCGCTGCTCGCGCCAGTGTGTTTCCCTAACGCGCGTTGCTCTTCGGAGGACCGACTCTTCGGTGGCGTCCACCACGTTCTACCTGCGCGAGGAGAAGGACGACAACAAGGTGATGCTGGAAGACAAGGACCTGGAGGTGATCGGCACGCCGCTCATCAAGTACGGCGACTCCACCGTCATCGTCCAGCACATCGAGTCCGGACTGTGGCTCTCCTACAAGGTCGGTGAGACGATCGGGTGCCGCGAGCGCTGGCGCTTTAGGAGGACTCCTCCAACATTTCAGCGGCGTGAAGCTGTAGCTGTACAGCTCTACGACCTCTTATCTGTGGCTTCACTCAATTCCGTGTTTGGATGACGTCAGTTCATTAGTTCTTCGCTGCAACCCCGCGTCCTGAAGTCATTATCTAGTTGTGATTGTCTTCATGTGGACATAGCCCAGAACGTCTCGCTAACAACGGCGTGTGGCTTCTCGGCCATGGCAGGCGTTTGAGACGAAGAAGAAGGGCGTGGGAAAGGTGGAGGTGAAGCAGGCCATCCTTCACGAGGAGGGCAAGATGGACGACGGCTTGGAGTTCTCCCGGAGCCAGGACGAGGAGTCTCGCACCGCCCGGGTCATCCGCAAATGCAGCTCTCTCTTCACCAAGTTCATCAAGTGCGTGCTGCTTTGAGATCATATGCCCTCGAATTACTGGAGAATGTCGAGTATTTTATCGGGTTTTATTGCCGCACATGAGAAGCCTGAAAACTCGCCATGATTCGACGTTGACGGAGCAGGATTGAATCACGCTTGTTTACCTGGGAAGCAGGCCTGTGCGTTCCTCATCTTCTTCCACACATGAAGGGTGATGCAACCTGTTTTCACGTGATTCGGCCTGAAGCCAGTTGACACCCGAACTTCTCCAAGAGTATGCGTTAAACTTGCCTAGGTAGCTTGCATGCGACGCGCTCAATCTGTTATTTCACGCCCGAGCCGAATATGAACGACAGATGAGGACCCTACCCTTAACGGGATGTGACCCGACCCTCGGTGGGATGTGATCCGATCTTCAGAGGGATGTGACCTGGCCCTCAACGGAATGTGACCCGACCCTCAGCGGGATGTGTTTCGACCCCCAGTGGAATGTGATCCAACCCTCAGCGGGATGTGACTCTACCCTCAGCGGGATGTGACCCGACCCTTGACCCTCGGCGGGATGTGACCCGACCCTCAGCGGGGTGTTTGTCCTGACAGACAGCTGGACCAGATCCGCTCCGCCCGCCGCCACTCGGTCATGCTCGGCTCCATGAACTTGAAGGAGATCGTCATGTGTCTGGAGGATCTCATCAACTACTTCGCGCAGCCTGACGCCGAGATGGGTCAGTTACGTGGTGGCTGGGGCTCTGATGATGATGATGAAGTGGAAATATTGGTGCAGACAAGCTAGTGTGCGGCGGACGATAACTGATAATTTCGACGTGATATCAGCCTGAAAGTTAGAGGACAGGTGACTTCAGACCATTGGCGCTTTGCTTTCCATAAATAGGCGCTGCTGTAGTACATCCAACAGCCCAGGTGAGTGTTTCACGGCAGCGGTCCCAGTTTCCTTTTGCGTTCTAATAATAGCCTGTGGGATTTTTCGTAGTGTTCGCGTCAGCTACTGTAACCGGTCCTATTCGGGACTTCTCGCGTCGCCAAGCTGCCAGAAACTACCCCTTAGCATGACCCCCTCCGTCCCATCCAGCTGACCGGCTGCTCCCCTTTTGCCCCTCAGACCACGAGGAGCGTCAGATCAAGCTGCGGGCGCTGCGGAACCGACAGGACCTGTGCCAGGAGGAGGGCATCCTCAACCTCATCCTGGACGCCATCGACAAGATCACCGTCATCACCACCGAGGGCTACCTGGTGTCCCTGGCCGGCGAGGAGTCGGGCCAGATGTGGGACATCATCAGCAACTACCTGTACCAACTGCTCGGTAAGCGGCCGCCCTGAGGGTGGATGGGTCTTGTCGCAGTGTGGGATATCATCAGCAACTACCTGTACCAACTGCTCGGTACGTGGCCGCCCTGAGGTCGGATGGGTCTTGTCGCAGTGCGGTGAGCACTCCAGCCGCGTTATACCCTTTTCTTTATGTTCAGCTCGATGTATTTGGCACGATTTGACACCGCGACCAGTGTCATTCTGTGATCATGTCTGTGGTGAGTAAAACGTATGGAAAAGCTTTAAAATAATTAAAGCCTTCACACGCGCAATGCCTTTATGCTGTCATTGTGATGTGTGTGTTCAGCGGTGTCCACTGCCGATCGTCCCACATATCAAAACATCAGCTTGCTCTTAGACAAAACAAAACAAGACAAGACAGGACAAGACAAGACAAGACAAGACACGACATGACATCAGCGTGCTCTTAATGCGCATGGCCAGGCCCTTGTCTCGTGTTCCTGAGAAGATTTGACAAAAAGCACACCACCCAAAGTGGCACGACCCGACTTGTCGCGATCGCTGACTGATCGCGCGGATCAGCTGACGTCGTGCCCCATGTTTCAGCGGCCATGATCAAGGGCAACCACAACAACTGCGCCCAGTTCGCCAACTCGATGCGGCTGAACTGGCTGTTCTCGAGGCTAGGATCGCAGGCGGGCGGCGAGGGCATGCTGGACGTGCTGCACTGTGTGCTCATCGACTCGCCGGAGGCGCTCAATGTCATGAAGGTCGGTGGCGGCTTCTGGAGTGGAAACGTGTTCAGGGTATCGAGGAAGTGCTGACGGACGTGACGGTGAGGAAGTAGACAGTAGACGTCGATATCGATAAGCTGCTGGAGGTTTTTCTGGGGGTTCAAAACTAGATGGACTAAGAGAAGGATAACTTCACTCTCATATTTTCGGCAGTTAAACGCTTTTCTTACTATGGTGAATAGGTAAAATCCTTTACCTATGAGACCAAGTGGTGGATGCTTTCCGCCTTAAGGCCCATCCAGACTCAATTATTGCTGACAGAGGCAAGAACACAGTACAGTTCCCTGAGCACAGTACCCCGAAAAACGACCGTGTATCCAACATCAGCACGTGCTATGACAGATGACATGGGCTGGCAAACGACACACGCAGGGACGCACACGCGTTTTTACCCGCGTCTGTAACGCGCCGCGTCCCGCGCACCGCAGGAGGAGCACATCAAGGTCATCATCTCAATCCTGGAGAAGCACGGCCGGGACCCCAAGGTGCTGGACGTGCTGCGGTCGCTCTGCGTCGGCAACGGCGTGGCTGTGCGCAGCTCGCAGAACAACATCTGCGACTACCTGCTGCCCGGCAAGTCGCTGCTGCTGCAGACCGCGCTCGTCGATCACGTCTCAAGGTCAGTCGAGGTCAAACTCCGCCGCATGGCCAGACCGTCGGGGCGTTGTCATGGGTGTGGCGTTGTATTGCTTTTTACGCCAGACGCCACCACATGCCCACGAGCCTCAGTGTGTGCTGTGACTAGCAGGTAAACCTGCACTATTGCGGCGAGTCGTTTTGCACAGAGTTTATCGCTGTGCGGTTTTCATTGTTCCCAAGTATCGTGACCCTGTCATGGATGGGAGTGGGGTCCAAGCCGTTCTTCCTTGTTCCAGCGTGCACCCGAATATCTACGTGGGCAAAGTGCAGGGCTCCTCCATGTACCTGCGGTGGTACTACGAGGTCACCGTGGACCACATCGAGCAGGTGTGTATCCGCTTCTTGCCTTGCCTCTCAAGGATCGTCGCCCTGTGAGTGAGGGCCTTCACCGAACTGCACCAGCTCGGCTTGACAGCTGTATGGTCTGTCACCAATCATCATCACTTTTGTCTTAAACGTGCTCTTGCAGTGCAAACGACGCAGGGCTTTGTATCTAAGCGTAGCCTTTACATAGTGATAAAGATCTTTACAATTGTATACAACCTTTTAAATATGCAGATACGCCTTTACGTATATCTGTCATGGCTGTGCTGGCAAGGTATCTCCACCACCACACCCTGCAGCTGACTGATGCCCCGCCCCGCCCCCTTTCCACCTCTTCAGGCAAGCCACATGGCTCCTCATCTGCGCATGGGCTGGGCCAACACCATGGGTTACATCCCGTACCCGGGCGGTGGCGAGAAGTGGGGTGGTAACGGCGTCGGCGACGACCTCTACTCCTTCGGCTTCGACGGATCCCATCTCTGGACAGGTGGGCACTCCCCCAGGGATTGTGATTTCGTCGAAACGTCCGGCGTTGGGATTTCAGGCCCGCTGTTCGCCCGGGGATCACCAGGCTGCAGAGACGAAAATATTTGTTATACCGTCTGTCATCGTGTTAGGCAATAGCCAGAGCTGTTATGTGCAATCTTTTCCGTTTTTTCATGGCGGAAAAGATCCCGTTGCAAACTCCTATTACCTTGAATTTTGCTTCGTGTCATTACCACAAACATTTCGAAAGAACAGCAGCGTAAAAGCAGGTGAACGTCGTTGTGCTCCGGGAAAGAACAAAACACGCGGTAAATTTTGCGCTGTTGTGGAATGAGCACGATGCATAAGCTCTGTTCATCCTTAAATGCCAGGCTCTGCAAATTCCCCAATTACTGCCTGGTATCTGAATAAGGAAACCTCAGGCGCGACGAGTTGGCAGCGTTTATCTCCCATCACAATGTACTAACCCATTACCGCCATTGTAGGGGGTCGGAGGACGCTGGTGTTCCCGCAGGAGTCGGAGCCGTACATCAGGAAGGGCGACGTCATCGGCGTGCTGCTGGACCTGACTGTGCCCTGCATCGAGTTCACGTTCAACGGCGAGAAGATCAGGGGCTGCTTCCGGGACTTCAACTTGGACGGCATGTTCTTCCCAGTTATCAGCTGCTCCTCAAAGCTCAGGTGCCAACATCACTTTGTTCTTACAAACATAATGAATCTGTGCTACTGGCTGGTGTAAGTTACATGCTTTCTTTATTTCATTTGCCTTACTTTTTGTCTCTTTTCTACCCAGCGGAACGAATGTATTTCAGTTTCTTGGAGGTAATATGCCAATTGCCCCTGAAGTCATCGGTTTACCATTTTATATAGCCAAGGTACATCTACCCGAACTCTTTCAAGCCCGGTCATCTTCGCCACATCTCTGGAGGAGCCAGCACCGACTGATCCCCCCCCCCCCCTCGTCGGCATGCACCGCTCGTCAGCTCGTCCCCACTGATCTCCGAGACATGTCTGGTCAGGTAATGACCTGACATGTCAGGTCAGGGTAATAGGGGCCCTGAATCACCGGGCAGGCCACCGTCTACCAGACCTGTAATTGAGCTGGAATTTGATGCGTCTGCAGCGCGTGGTCAGTGAGGCTGTGACCCTGGTCAGAGCACAGCTGACATGACCTGGCCTGACCCGGGATGGGTCGGTAGCGCGCGTGGGCGAAGTCGCGACACGAACGCTGTGATCTACACACCATACCGTGCGCTACTGTGACCATAGCCAGAGAACAGCTGACGTGACCTGACCTGGTGGCGGTTCGGCAGCGCGCGGTTCCTGTTGGGCGGCGAGCACGGCCGGCAGAAGTTCGAGCCGCCTGAGGGCTTCTCGCCCGTCAGCGAGTGTCTGCTGCCCAGCCAGCAGATGTCCATCGACCCCTGCTTCCACTTTGGAGACCTGGCCAAGGGCGTGCTGGCCGGTCCGCTGGTCGAGCAGGAGGACCCCGTGTTCGTGCCTCAGCCCATCGACACATCGGCAGTGAGTGACGCCGTGACGCTCGTGGCATGGATCGCTACGCCTTTGACTGTAACTGAATGATTGAGTGGATGGGTGAGACGGAATTTGTTTGTCCGTGGCAGTTGCAGATATATTTGGTTGCATATTCATGTGGCATGGTTAGTCAGTAGATGTTCGATATACGCCACTGCCAACGCGACCTTTTTTGATATATTTCCTTTTCAAACAGTAGCACAAAGCGACCATTAGAGCTGCCGTTTCAACAGCTGATACATTGGTCCCTAGCAATGTCCGTGGGTCTACCTTAAATCATCGCTATTTCTGCCAGTCTCTTTGATCGTCACAAGCCGTCTATGTCTCATGTTTCAAAATTAAGGTGAAACACCCTGTGGGTGTCGCATGCGCCGACCCTGGCAGGATAGTGGTCAAGCACAGTTTCCCTCGCGTCCGCTAGGTGACTCTGCCGCACTACGTGGAGCAGATCCGCGACCGTCTAGCCGAGAACATTCACGAGATCTGGGCGATGAACAAGATCGACGAGGGCTGGCGGTACGGGGAGGAGCGCGAGGACGAGTACATGCTGCACCCCTGCCTGACGCAGTTCGAGCGGTTGCCGCCCGCCGAGAAGCGCTACGACGTCCAGCTGGCGCTCCAGACGCTCAAGTACGTCGTGGAAGGGGAGGAGAGGCCGAGGGGTGGCACTGTGACTGCAGCAGCACAGACGGCGCCACAAGCTCACGTTCATTGATATTGCTTGATGGAGGCTTTCTACTCCGACGAAATGTAAATGCGACATGCTTGCTCTCTCGCCCTACGCTTTTTCAATCCTCAGTAACTACCGTGCCGATTTTTGCCGTTTTACTGATTCATGCTGTTTGCATCAACGCGAACATTCTCACCTGTGACAAAAACACCCCATTCCAACGGCTTCGCTGTCTTAGCTCAGCTCAGTTGTTCTTCATTTTATGTCATTTTACCCTCGCCCCATCACCTGACGCTGGTGTAATACTCACTGGACACCCGTGTGTTCTATTTTCACCAGCGCGATGCGAGCGTGGCTGCGAGGTTTTGTACCCCTGCTATGGGCGGCTGTTACGTTGACCGTCTTATTGGTAGGACCATCATGAAGCTGGGCTACCACATCACGCTGGACAAGCCGCCCAATCGCATCAAGTCTATCCGGCTGCCGAACGATCCGTTCATGCAGCCGAACGGGTACAAGCCGGCCCCCCTGGACCTGTCGCAGGTGTCACTTAGTGGTAAGGCACCACCGAAGGCTGACTTTGCTGTTGAAAGTATGCGATGATGAGCATATTACTGATAGTGTATTTAACTCATGGCACGCTTCTGATTTCGCCGTACGGACACGCCCACCGATGCAAATATTGTAGTTATGATTTGTGAACGTACTGACCGCCGTGCTCCACTTATGCGGCGCTGGCATTTATTTTTATGACGTGAAAGTCAAAGTTGATAAAGCCATTTGACCGCAAAACATCCTTGCATCACCCCCAGGCAAGTTGGAGGAGCTGGTGGAGAAGCTGGCAGAGAACACACACATGGTGTGGTCCAAGGAGAGGATCCAGCAGGGCTGGACTTACGGCCTCAATGAGGTGGGCACCCCGAGTGTTCGGCTGGGACGGCTCCGGCAGCACCGCCACTGCGGTGGACGCTGTGGAGGGAGCCGCAGTGGACTCATATGCATGTCTGACACCCCAGACGAAAGCATCGAAGCTCATTGATGAGTCGATTCCGCGCCGAAAAACACACCCCTGAAAGTGCGTTTGCTGGATGAGACAGCTTATCGTGGCCGACACAAACACGGGGACTTTGGTGAATTGTTAACGTAAACAAGATGTTTCTGTGAACGATGCGATGTGTGCGCGACTGATGTTTCGAAATGACTTTGACACTTCACACCGTCGCGAGTCGTGCTGACGCCGCCTGTGTCCAGGACATGGAGATGATCCGTACGCCGCACTTGGTGCCGTACCGCCGGGTGGACGAGGCCATCAAGAAGGCCAACAGGGACACGGCCAGCGAGGCAGTGCGCACGCTGCTCGTCTATGGCTACATCCTGGACCCGCCGTCCGAGCAGCACGACGAAGGTGCGGCTGGAGCGGCGTAGGGCTTCCTCCAGTGGGAAGGCGGCCTGACGGAACGCGATGATGCTGAACTGGGAAGGGGACGTTGTGTCCCTTGAGGATAGGGGGGGGGGGGGGGAGGGGGAGAGAGGGGAGCGCAGTGATGTCGGGGTTTGAAAGAGACGTTGTATGCATTGAGAATAAGGGAGGGAAGGGGAAACGCGGTGATGCTGGGTTTTGAAAGGGACGCTACATATTTTGAGGACAGGTGAGGGGAGGGGACGAGAGTAGTTGCGAAGCTTTAAGTAAAGTGCGATGGGGAAGACCGTTACCTGCACTCCAAAAAAATACGAAGACGAGGCACTGGGAACTACGGGTCAAAGCTTTTTGTAGTGTCCGGTGCGGCAGAAGGTCATCTGGGTCACTAAGTGGCGTAACCGGGAGTTATGGTATATATATATATATATATATATATATATATATATATATATATTTCAGTAATGAGGACCTCATGTGAGAGCCGTCCAAAACAGTCTGTCAAACAGATGGAAGTGTGACGGGGTCCTTTGACTTGCTCCTACGTTTGGTAGGGCCGGCCAGCGATCTACTGAACGGGAGGGCCAACTACCGCACCTACCGTGCCGAGAAGACGTACGCCGTGAGCTCCGGCAAATGGTGAGCGACTCAAGGACTTCTCTCCTCTTTTGGAGTTGGCTTCACGCAAAGTCTTTGGTTCGCCATGTGCGAGTCCCGTTAGTTTCGTATGCTAAAGGACGCGTTGTTGCCAGGTGCTACTCATGGACAATTGCAGGTTGCAATGATATTGGGGCTTTCCTTCATTTTTTTTTTGTTCAGCTTGGTCTAGCGCCTCCGAAGCCTCCTGTAGAATTTGAAAACATTTAAGATTTTTCTGCATCATTCCTGACCTCTGTCCTTTCGATTATATATATGATGAATGATGACGTCTTGATTTCGTCGATCACATTCTCCTCTGCCCCTGATGCCGCTGTGGCAGTGCGTGACGGCTGCGATGCTGTCCGTTCCCGCCGCCAGGTATTTTGAGTTCGAAGTGCTGACGGACGGGCCCATGAAGGTGGGCTGGGCCCGCATCGACGCGTACCCGGGCCGCCAGATCGGTCAGGACGAGTCGTCCTGGGCGTTCGACGGATACCACGTACGTCACCGACTCCCCCCCCCCCCCCCACACACACTTCCACATTGAGTCTTGCACCGTTATCTCTTTGTCGATGAACTGGCGGCCCCTGCAAGTTCAAGGCTGTTCCTGGTGTTTCGACATGTCCTTTATTTCGCAAGCATAAATCTCTCGATGGTCGAAATGAGAGACGGTCATTTTGTTCGTCGTCGTCATGGCTGTTTAAACAGTGTCCTTGGTGATGCTATACCATGCTCTCTCTGGTGCGCCATGTTTTGCAGCCGCGCTTAACGCAGGGATAAAAGGAAGTAGCGGCGGCGAGCTTTTTTATTTTGCCTACTACTTAGTGTATGATTGTGTGTACAGAATAGAAGCATGCTAGCCATCTTATTTACTCAAACAAGACGGTTATATCGGATCACAATCGGCTTGTGAAGTAACGCGTTAACATGCCTTTGTTCTATGCATCGTGCCTCTGCATCAGCAAAACAACAGCCTGATTTTGATCGTTTTACGTCACCGTCGGACCATGCCGTCAGCCCCAACCCTCACACATGTAGCTTATACATCACAAGAGTCTAGTGCGCCCAGTGGATAACTGAGCCGATAGTGTTAGCTGTCGACTAACCTACGCCGCACCTGGCGCTGTGGAGGCCCTGGGGTGCGTCCACTAGCAGGCCGCGACACGCCGGCGACGGTGTGGTAGCGCTAGCCGTCCAGGGTGGCCGCCGTGTCGGCGAGTGCGCTCGTGACCCGCTAACGGACACGGCGCCACCGCCAGGCGTATAAGCACCATAACCACCAGGTGGACATTTTGGGCCGCAAGTGGCACGTCGGTGATCTGGTCGGATGCATGCTCGATCTCCATGACCGCACCATCAGTGAGTAGTGACACGCTACACAGCCCAGCGCTCAGCTGACCCTCTTCTGCCGGGTGCATGGTGTTGGAGTCTCGTTCCCCTGTATCTCAACGTCCGTCCGTGTGTTTTGGTTTCGGTTTTTGGCCTCGTTAGGACGCCACATGTCGTGCTTCGTTTTGTTCCACTCGCGCACTAATGGCCGAAGCCCACTGACGCCTCTGCTGACCCGTGCCCTGCGCCGGCTGGCCTGAGATGACCTGACCTGACCTGACCTAACCTGAGCTGACCCGGCCGTCCAGGAGGAAAAGTGGTGCGGGGGTGCGTGCGAGACGTACGGCCACAAGTGGCACGTCGGTGACGTCATCGGCGTCTTTCTGGACCTGATTGACCGCACTGTCAGTAAGTCGGACCCGGAGGGGGGAGGGGGAGCGCACCGAGGACAAAACTCCAAGAGGTTTGGAAGTCCGGCGAGCCTTTTCCGGCTGTGACACGCGTGATGCAGACGCGCTGTCGTCGCCGATGCACTCCGTGATACAGCTGTGGCTAGACTGGCGCCGGGGTGTCACGTGATCGACTCAATCGTATTCTGTGCACCAATATTCGCTCCACGTTTGTAATGGCTTCTGTTTGATTGCCAGCGGCGCAAACGTCCTAGCATGTAGTTTGCATTTTTTGGATATGTTGTATTGTTGCCGATATTATTCCCCTCAACCTGTTTTCGTATCATTTCAAGCTTTGTCTTCCATCGCTCCGAGCGCAGAATCACATTCTGGGTGCGTGGTGACTTCCGATATTACCTCTTGAAGGGATTTTGATGTACTTGAGCTTTAAAAACGTGTGTAAGCTGTAAAGCCGCTCATGATTTGCAGACTTGTGACATTCCTCATTTAAAAACCAGCTGAAGACTGTCGTATGGTAGCCCCGCATCGGTAGCCCCGCGATTCCATAAACACATAGCAGATGTGATATTGGTAAATAAATCCGCGATGTCATGAAACATCTCTATTTCGGTCTTTTATCCCCTGAGCAGAATTGTTCTGAGTTTCTTCACTGACTGATCATCATTTAGTTTGGTCCCGGCGCGGGGCAAAGCCATGCCGTTGCTGACCTGATGATAATCAGACAGCGATGATCATCCCTCCCACTGACCCGTCACCGGCGCAGGCTTCTCGCTGAACGGCGAGCTGATGATGGACGCCATGGGCGGCGAGACGGCCTTCTCGGACGTGGTGGGCGACGCGTTCGTGCCCGCCTGCACGCTCGGGCTCTCGCAGCGAGCCCGGTTCGCGTTCGGGCACGACGTGAATGCGCTCAAGTTCTTCACGCAGTGCGGACTCCAGGAGGGATACGAGCCGTTCTGCGTGTGAGTGGGCTGTGCGCGTTCTGTGGCGGTCTCCGCTGTCTGACGATCAGACTGGTCTGCCAGCGGACCTCGTGGTTTGTTTGAGCGGATGACTGCTACGAAACTTTTTGTTTCGATTTGACTAGTCGCCGGATAGATCTATGTGTACGCATAACTTTGTCTTAATCGTCCAAAAATATTGCTTCTTTCTAATTGTGGTATTTATCTGTGCATTTTGTGTTCACGGACGTCGAATCTGTTAAAGACTGCTTATAGTCCAGTTCGTCGTCGTCGACTCCGATTAATGGCTTGCAATATTTACGAGTTATCACTCTTAGCAAGCTCTTGCGCTTCACAGCAATTACCTCAATGAATGTGCTCATAGTAATGTTTGCTTACGGGAAACCGCAGATCGCCGGTAGCCACCGACGCGCGCTCATCACGTCAACACCCCAGCTAGCGCGCCGCGCCTCAGCCTGACCCGGTCTCGCCCCTCCCCCCGCAGCAACATGACGCGACCGATGACCTTCTGGTACACCAAGGACCAGCCGATCTTCGAGAACGTCGACGAGGTGGAGAACTCGCCCATTGACGTGACACGCATCCCGGCCGGCTCCGACTCGCCGCCCTGCCTGCGCATCTCGCACGCCACCTTCGAGACGCTGGAGAAGGCCAACTGGGAGTTCCTGAGGCTCTCGCTGCCCGTCACCTGCCAGACCGCCTTCATCGAGTGCGTCCACGCGCGACACAGGGGAGGGGGCAGTTCCAGTGAAGTGTCTTCATTTGTTGCGCTGGCTATGCTCACGTTCATGAAGTGGAGGGAGAGGGGCGGGGACATATCGTCTGTGGTGCGAGCTTGGCGCAGAGCAGCTGCCTGTCAAGGCAAACGACACGTGCTGGTGTGCACTGTGAGTGCGAAAATCATTATAAGCTACCGGCCGCAGCTAGGTGCCGCAGCTTTATTTTTTACCAAACATGAGGGCGGATATCGCACGGCTTCCGCAGTTATGGGGCGACATTTTCACGAGGAAACTTCGTGGCGAAAGGCCCGGGCGGTTTCTGCTCAGAAGCCTCAGAACGTCAGGAGTTGGGGAGACATGCTCACCTGACACTGATCCCCAACACCGTGACCGGCCAGTGAGGCGGAGAAAGAGCGTCGCTGGAACGAGATCCGGATCCGCCAGCATCGGCTGCGGAACGAGGGCAAGCACCGGCCGCCGTCGGCGCTGAAGCAGTCCATGCTCGAGTCCGGCTTCACCATGTCCGACATTAAGGGTCAGTGACCTCGGCGTGTCGGACGTGAAGGGTCAGTGACCCCGCTGTATCGGACATCGAGAGTCAGTGACCTCGCTGTAACAGACTGCAAGGGTCAGTTACCCCACTAGCATATATATTATTTTTGTTTAAACACATACCATCATGGGGTACTGGCTCTGCCATATCCTACGTCACAAGTCAGGGACATCGCTGCACCGGACTCGATAGCCCTGACGTGTTCTCTGCCCGTTTCTCAGACCTGCAGAACGGCTTCGACGCCGTCGAGTCGGACGAGGTGATGATGAACGGCGCTAAGGTGGACGGCGAGACGCCCACGCCGGCCATACCGCGTCGAGGCAGTAAGTGGGACCCCGCGCCGCTGGCCGGCGCGTCCGGGAGCAACTTCGCTTTAGCCATGGGCTTATTAGCTGTCATCTATTTCATCCTAATCGGCGGTCATCTGATTGTAAAGAAAAGCTGTGAAAAGCGGAGCGATGATGAGCAGTGGAGCAGAATCTGCAAAAGGCTACGAAATGAATGAGGTATTTTGTCACGTAGAAGCCGTATGTCTTTTGTGTGCACGTCAGTTTGGTTACTGTGAATTTCCACCACGGCAACGGCAGAAGCTACCCGCGATGGAGTATGGGCCGCGCCTCAGTGTGTCCGCCACACAACATTCCACGGCCGACTGTGTGAAGGTAGATTTTCGACAGGTAAGATGGGCCGGGCGGCGAGCGAGATGGACATGCAGAGAGGGCGGCCCGCGGTCGCCAGGGAGAAGACGCCGCAGCCGGAGGGCAAGAAAAAAGAGCGCGGAAAATCTCCATTCAGGTGATGAGATTGTCAGACATTTTGGATTTCAAAAACATGGAGCGACGCCCCATCTAGTTCCAGGTCATGCATACCGAAAAAGCCCCTGAAATGATTGGCTTCGATTTCGCTTGATGTGCACGTTTCAACATATGAAGTAATTCCGGTGCGCACTGCTTAACCGAGATATTTCGGATTGCCCAAAGCATCGCACGGGAACTGAAAAATACCGTAGTAGGCTCGACAGACATTGCAGTGAAAATCTGTCCCGGTGTGAGTAGCTCTGTTGCCCTGCACCACACACTGAGCAGTGTTCCTTGGTTTGCAGGTTCTTCAAGAAGCGTGACCAGAGCACTGATCGCCTGGGCAAGCGGGGCAAGAGCCAGGACCGCGTGATTCCGACCCTGGAGCTGCCGCCGGAGCGGGGCCAGCCGCTCAGCGGTTTGCAGGTCACCAATCCGGCCGTGCGCATCTCCCAGGTCAGTCAGGTCACCAACTCGGTTGCCAGCTGCGACTGATCGCCATGCTACGAGATGCCAATCTGCATCTCCGAGTAAACCAGAACCACATGATGCAAAACCTTCATTCACTGACGACGTCTGTTGATGTGACCCGGACCTCCGCTGAGCCTCGCCGGCGTCGCCGCTGCCCCGTCCCCGCCGACCCGCCCTGACCAGGCCCGCCCTCCTCCCGCCCCGGCAGGCGGACATGCGTCTGATGCCGCCGACCATCCCGGACCGGCTGACGCGGCAGCGGCTCTCCGTGACGAACCTGACGCAGATGGACGGCGAGCCCGGCGCCGACGACATCGGCGCCGCCTTTGACGCCGAGTGCCTGCGCCTCATCAACGAGTACTACTACGGCGTGCGCATCTTCCCGGGCCAGGACCCGGCGCACGTGTACGTGGGCTGGGTCACCACCCAGTACCACATCCACGGCACCACCTTCAGCCAGGAGGCGGCGCGCAAGGTCACCGTCGTTGAGACGGACGTCTACGGCGATCCGGAGGGAAGGTCAGTGCGGCTCATCCGTCACCTCGTGTGTGTCGGGGGAAGCTCAACTTTGAGCGTTTCACCACGCGTTTTGGGGATAAGCTCAACTGCGGGTATTCAGCAGACGGGGTTTTTTGGCGCGACTGTCTGTTTATATACTGCTTCTCACGATTTGATGAACAAAATGTGAAACTTGCGGTATGAACTTCGATTTATCACCAAGCATGTCCGTGTACAAGGCGTATAACAGCCACAGCCTTCAGTCTCCAGGCAGCGCTCCGCCGGGGTTCGGGTTGTGACGTCTTCCCTTCCTCCCCGCAGCGTGGACCGCCATAGCTGCTACATGGTGCGCGCTGATGACCTGCTGGCCGAGGTGTCGGCTGACGCCTCGGGCAAAGGTGCCTCGCAGGGTATGTCGATCGGGTGCTTCATCGACACCTCCACCGGCTTCATCACATTCACCTGCGAGGGCAAGGACACTACCATCAAGTTCAAGGTATCCCCCCCCCCCGCCCTCCACCCCGATGCCACTAGTTCTGATAAAGCAGCAGCGGCTTTTTCGCAGCGGCGGCAAAGTTTGCAGTGTTTTAGAGCCTCTATGAATAGGCATGGTGATAATTTGACATTGTAATACAAAATGTGCCAAACTCTTACCGAGTACTAAAACACTATTTTGGTACGTGTTGCAAAGAACCAAAACGCTTCTTTCAACTTGCCCTCCCCATAGACTTTTGTGGTGTTTATGCTTCGGATAGGATGTTGGTGACCGCATCTGTGTCCAATGCACCACATCGTTGTTGGCGCGCGTGCGTTTGACGTTGGCACTACCAGAAGCCGCGGACATCAGGTCGTCCCGGTCTCACCGCCAATGTCCGTGACAGATGGAGCCGGGGGTGAAGCTGTTCCCGGCCGTGTTCGTCGAAGCGACGAGCAAGGACGTGCTGCAGATCGAGCTGGGGCGGACACCCACTTCACTGCCGCTGTCGGCGGCTGTGCTGCAGAGCTCCGAGAAACACGTGGTCCCGCAGGCACGTACGCCTGGGAGCGGACATGGGCGCGATGGCTGTGAAGTCAAGCGTGGCTTTTAAAGCTCAGAGAAATGCTTCATGCCACCTGAAAGTAATCGCGCTATGGGTGGAAAGTAAGGAGCGGTAGTGACAGAAGGTCATGACAAGTGAGCTAACCAACATCAGGTGGCAGGTTAGGTGACACTCATGCGAGGTCGCGCCGATTGGGGTGGTGGACCGTCCGCCGGCAAATAAGCGATCGTTTGCGTTTAACATTCTTTTTCACAAACACGTGCTGAGGCTTATGGCTTCTCAGTATTACCTTTTCCGATCCGTATGACCTTTGTATGAGTATCAGTTCGTCAGTCTGTATGCGATATAGTACCCACCGGTAATCTGGTTCTTTTCTTCATCTTGCTTTTATGAGTGCACTACTAAAACAATATCGTCGCCATGAGAGAATATATTGAATTGATATGCTCTAATGTTAAATCCATAGTGCAATAAGAATTCGCATAGCCTTGCACTCCTCATTTACTCTGACGTTGACGTTGATCCTGTGCGCCTACAGTTCCCGCCGCGGCTCAAGTTCCAGCTGCTGAAGCCGCATCAATGGGCGCGCGTGCCGAACAAGTCGCTGCGCGTGCACGCTCTGAAGCTGTCGGACATCCGCGGCTGGTCCATCTACTGCGAGGACCCGGTGCCCATGCTGGCGCTGCACATCCCCGAGGAGGACCGCTGCATCGACATCCTGGAGCTGATCGAGCACGAGCGGCTCCTCAGGTCAGATCGGGCCGTCAGGTCAAATCGTGGCCCGCTGATCGCGGCCGGAGCCGCAGATCAATGGTCCGGATCGTCATGGGACAGATCCATTGATCGTCGCACTCGCTTCAGCGTCTTGTAATGTCAAGATTGACGCAGATGGACGTTGTTCGAGCGGGATGCCGGTCTGGTTGCCGTGACCACGTTTGTAAAAACATGCCGACCTGCCGATGAGGCTGCTGCCGATGCGTCTTTGATTGCGGGATTATTTTTGGTATTCAGTTCTATTGATACCAGCGCTGCATTAAGTTCATTGGCTGCTGTATTTCTAGTCGTAGAAGATGTATATTTGACTATTTCCACAAAAGGGACATTGAAAAACTTTCCGAAGCCAGTGTCGGACCCAAATTAACTCCCAGTACCGCGCCATCGCCGGGTAGCAGTACGTGACGCGTCTCCCTCCGGGGTCGGCAGCTTCCACGCCCACACCCTGGAGTTGTACTGCGCCGTGTGCTTCCAATCCAACTACCGCGGCGCGCACATCCTCTGCCACCACGTGGACGACAAGCAGCTGCTGTACGCCATCCGAGCCGAGTACATGTCGGGCCCGCTGCGCACCGGCTTCTACGACCTGCTCATCGCCGTGCACATGGAGTCTCACGCCAACACCATGTCAGTGCCGGGGTCTGGGGAGCGGAGGAGGGAGGCGGCTGCTAGGTTTGAGGGAGAGGGAGGATTGAGAGAGGCGTGGCCGATTCCAGATTATTTGAGAAGGTCGGTCGTAAGCACAGGAATCCGTTGTGGGAGAGCTTGGCTGAATTTATCTGAATGGAATCGTCTGAGATTTAGGCGCTCGCCGACCGCTTGCATATTCTGGCCAAGAGGTGATATGCGGTGCGTAACACTGCGCTCGTTTGAGATCGGCTTGAAAGTTCGTCATGCCATGAAAACGCGTTTTTATTTCGAAGACGTCACGGGGAACTTTCAAGGTCGTGGTCCAGTCCACGACTGGGTGTTCAAGTTTGCGTTGTCAGCAAATCAGCGAATGCCATTCAGCCAGCCAGGCTCGGCAGCTCTGTGCGCTCCACCGTCCACGTGACCTGACCTCGTGTCCCGCCCGCCTGACGGCCGGTCCCGTCGCCAGGGAGGTGACCAGCAACGAGTACGTCATCCCACTGGGGCCGGACCTGAAGGCGCTGTACGAGGAGCCGTCCATGGCGCACAGTCTGAGCGTGCAGACCACCGAGTCGGTCCAGCCGGCCATGGCCACCTCTCCCATCTCCGACACCATCGGTACGGAGCGGAGGCTGTGGGGCCCCTGCGGCTGTCTGTCGCGCCCCTCTGTGTATGAGTGAAGAGTGGCGCTTGGTAAACTGCATAAGCGTTTCCCATCTTCCGACGCGCAGCCTGAACGAACGAAAGCATGCAACAGTTTAACAACGTCTTTATTTCAATGTTTTCCCTTGTCACTTGTTTGGAGGGCTTCGATTTGGAGGCAATTTTGATTTGTAAAAGGCGATAGAATTTTGGCTGTTCTAGCCACTGAGTTTCAAACAAATAATTCATTTCCGGCAATTTTTTAAGCCTGGATGTAAGCAATAAATGCCTTGATCTCCGGTTTTTTCGGCAAAATGAGTTGAGAGTTCTTGCGGCGACAGTACCCATAGGCGCTAACCTCACTGTTCGTGGCACCGACTATACGCTGTCTCCGCTGCCAGAGAACATCAGCGAGCTGACGATCCCGTACTTCGACTTCGAGACGGTGCGCATCTTTGTGATGGAGGCCCTCAAGGAGGCCTACGAGAAGAACCAGATCCATAACCGGGACTCAATCGGGGGCAGCAACGAGACGCTGTTTGTGTAAGCTTACCTCGGCGTCAGGTGCAATAAGTGAGGCAGGCTCTAATGGTGCACCTTACAGGAATGAGGCAGCGGAAGAGAATGGTTAACATAAATTTTACAGCAGTCAACGTGTGATAGCTTATTTATACCATAACTAAGTTTCATATGCCCATTTCATTCATATTTATATCACATCAATTCATAATCTCATTCCTGCGGTTGATGGTGGCCCAACATGTGTTGATGACGACACTACCTTTTTATTAGTCTGTCCTTTGGATCCTTCTGGAGTGCTTAAGGGATCTTGGGTGGTACCTTTGTAAAGTCATTGCAATTTAGCATATTAAGTATGCTAAATAGCACTTAAGCACAGATAGCCGAAGGCAAAAGACACGTTGTCTGTTATGAGCATCTTGTCTGTAAGCATTCCGTATATTGTACTGACAGCCAATGTGGACATTTACTGCTGTCTGTGGGCTGGTCACGTGGTCCACTGTACCAATGTACATGTGTCATTCTCCAGGCCGCTGCTGAAGCTTTGCGACCGTTTACTGCTGATCGGATACCTGCGCGACGAGGACATCCAGGACCTGTTGGTGATGATCGACCACGCCTCCTGGGACGTCTCCTTCGATCCGGACGGAAAGGATCAGCACCGGTGGGTGGCGTGGGAGAACGGCCTTGCACGCGACGGGGACAGTGGTTTCCGTCGAATTTAGGTTCGCTAAATGCTTAGGCCATTTTACACGCATTTCCGAACGTGGTACATGAGGGCAAGACCGACAGATATGTCTGCCGAAATAGTTCGTCTGTCTAAGTTAACAGCTAACCCTAGGTTGAGCCTGTATCATATTTTACATCACCGCTGCTATTTTACGTCCACTTTAACTGGATCCGCGCCGCCGCTAAGTCGCCCGTGCTGACATGACCTGGGCGTCCGTCAGGCGCGGCCTGCTGCAGATCAAGATGGCGGAGGGCGCTAAGCTGCAGCTCTGCTATCTGCTGCACCACCTGTACGACATCCAGCTGCGGCACCAGGTCGAGAGCATCGTCGCCTTCAGGTCAGTGTGCCGTGGCGACCCGTGAGGTCCGCGATGGGTGGCGGTGGTGTGGTGCCACGGTAGGGCGTCTCTGGGTCGCGCTGTGGTGTCAAGCGCTGGAGGAAATCCGGCGTTGTCGCGTCCGCTGCTGAGCTGTACCGGGCGTCGAGGTGTCGGTACCATGTGTCGAGATGCCGACGTCGCCACGTATGAAAGCTGGGGACAGCGGGAAATCAGCAAGGAAAACCGGCGGCAAAATCAGTGACAGGCACGTGCGCGAAACGGCCGAGCCGTTCGCGATACCGTAATTGCGGGCGCATTATTCGGAAGTGACTTGGTTTCTGCCAGCCATTGCGTTCTTTGCGCCACTAAGGCAAGTCCGACACCCGAAAAGCTTGGGGGAAATTTCGGCCGACACATGCCTTTCTGCTCTCCTGCAGTCATGACTACGTGGGCGAGCTGCAGAAGGACCAGCTGCGCCGCTACGTCGAGATCAAGCAGTCCGAGCTGCCGTCCTCGGTCACCGCCAGGAAGACAAAGGAATTCCGGTGCCCGCCACGAGAACAGGTTCGACAGGCGTGCGACGATATAGGCTGTGACGAATGCACTGGGATCGCGCGCAGCTGTAATTCCTGATTGCCGTCATGCCGCTGGTAACTGCTGCAGGCATTGGAGTCTTAGCGTGCCGCGGCGACTGGGCCACAAAATGTTCAGCGCTGGGGATTTGAGCCGGACTCTGCCACAGCGCACCGTACTTCTCGCATTCACGCGGCCGCTGCGTGCCGTGTTTGCTGCTCTCAGTCACGGTAGTCACGATCAATAGTTCGGGCAGGCACAGCGCAGCAGTATTCGCACATCAGTGAGCTCCTTCCCGCAGATGAACTCGATCCTGGGCTTCAAGAACCTGGAGGAGATTGACCCGGACGAGGTGTCGGTGGGCGAGGACTTAATCCAGCAGATGAAGGACTTCCACACGGCCCTGATGAGCAAGATCTCCATCTCTGGCGAGGAGGAAGCCGCCGGAGACGGGGAGGTGTGTAGACGGGGTGGGGAGGGGGGTGACTGGCGGGGCGAAGCCGAGGAGGAGGCGCTGGGGACGGGGAGGTGTGTCGACAGAGTGGGGCTGGTTAGGCGGGATCAGCCAAGGAGGAGGCGCTGGGGGCGGGGAGGTGTGTCGACAGGGTGGGGCTGGTTAGGCGGGATCAGCCAAGGAGGAGGCGCTGGGGGCGGGGAGGTGTGTCGACAGGGTGGGGCTGGTTAGGCGGGATCAGCCAAGGAGGAGGCGCTGGGGGCGGGGAGGTGTGTCGACAGGGTGGGGCTGGTTAGGCGGGATCAGCCAAGGAGGAGGCGCTGGGGGCGGGGAGGTGTGTCGACAGGGTGGGGCTGGTTAGGCGGGATCAGCCAAGGAGGAGGCGCTGGGGACGGGGAGGTGTGTCGACAGGGTGGGGCTGGTTAGGCGGGATCAGCCAAGGAGGAGGCGCTGGGGGCGGGGAGGCGTGTCGACAGGGTGGGGCTGGTTAGGCGGGATCAGCCAAGGAGGAGGCGCTGGGGGCGGGGCGGCGTGTCGACAGGGTGGGGCTGGTTAGGCGGGATCAGCCAAGGAGGAGGCGCTGGGGACGGGGAGGTGTGTCGACAGGGTGGGGCTGGTTAGGCGGGATCAGCCAAGGAGGAGGCGCTGGGGGCGGGGAGGTGTGTCGACAGGGTGGGGCTGGTTAGGCGGGATCAGCCAAGGAGGAGGCGCTGGGGGCGGGGAGGTGTGTCGACAGGGTGGGGCTGGTTAGGCGGGATCAGCCAAGGAGGAGGCGCTGGGGACGGGGAGGTGTGTCGACAGGGTGGGGCTGGTTAGGCGGGATCAGCCAAGGAGGAGGCGCTGGGGACGGGGAGGCGTGTCGACAGGGTGGGGCTGGTTAGGCGGGATCAGCCAAGGAGGAGGCGCTGGGGACGGGGAGGCGTGTCGACAGGGTGGGGCTGGTTAGGCGGGATCAGCCAAGGAGGAGGCGCTGGGGGCGGGGAGGTGTGTCGACAGGGTGGGGCTGGTTAGGCGGGATCAGCCAAGGAGGAGGCGCTGGGGGCGGGGAGGTGTGTCGACAGGGTGGGGCTGGTTAGGCGGGATCAGCCAAGGAGGAGGCGCTGGGGACGGGGAGGTGTGTCGACAGAGTGGGGCTGGTTAGGCGGGATCAGCCAAGGAGGAGGCGCTGGGGGCGGGGAGGCGTGTCGACAGGGTGGGGCTGGTTAAGCGGGGTACAGCGAAGGAGCAGGCCGCCGGGGACGGGAGGTGTGCAGACGGGACGAGGCTGGTTAGGCGGGATCAGTCGAGGAGGAGGCGCTGGGGGCGGGGAGGTGTGTCGACAAGGTGGGGCTGGTTAGGCGAGGTACAGCCAGGGTGGCAGCTGGTGACCACAGGCGTGTCGTGACGGGTTGCTGGCGAGAACATTCATGTGTCGGGGCGCTGAAGCTTGGTTTTTAACCCCTTCAACTGCAGTGAGGCCAAGGAAGTATTCTGTGAATGTCGATGCGCTTCTACATTGGTTGGTGGTGTTGGGCTATGAATTTTGCTTGCAGCAGACCATTTCATACACTTTTCTCTCAGGTGACCAGTTCGAAGACTTTTCTTGCCGTCAGCCACTTGGTAAACGTCTCTCTGAGTCTATCAGTTTGCAAACTTCGCTCTTAATTCATCAACGTATCACGAATTGCTTCTCTGGTCAAATATGAAATGGGCGCGTCGTGGTGACGTAGTCTCTGGTGGCCCATGCCACTGCGACCCTTTGTGGCAGCGCCCTGCCCTTGACATGGAAATATTAACATTGGCCAAACCCTCTCCCAGTGATGATGATCCAACTCACGTCTCGCCCACCAAAACCAGCCCATGTCCCGACGTAACAAACTTGTGCAGAATGTATCCCGTCGATGCTAGCCGTCCTCACCTGTGCGTCGACACGCGGATCCAGCTCCAGTGGTGACCTTTCCTGTATCACACAGGATCACTTGACCCCTGCCCCGTCAGCGATGATCTTCCATGACCTGCGCCCCGTCAGTGTTGACGTGACGCGACGTGACGTGGCGTAACATGGCGTAACTCTGTTCCGTCAGGCGGAGGGCGGTCAGCGGAGCTCGATGGGGGCTGCCTTCCTGAGTGTCATCGGCGTTGTGAAGCAGGCGCAAGCCATCGAGGTGGCCGGCGACGGCGCCGAAGAGGGGCCCGAGGACAAGTTCCGCAAGGTGCTCGTGCCCACCATCGTCCGCTGGGCCGAGGAGAGCTTCATCGAGGACTCCAAGCTCATCCGCGAGATGTTCAGGTCTGTGGCAGATGTGTGCGGTGAATGTACGTGTTCGCGATAGATGCTCGGATGGCATACAGGAACAGGTTGTGGGCATGCGATCTGTGGGAAGATGTCGTTTGAAAGTTAGTTGCATTGCAGAACCGATAACGATGTTTTAATTTAGGGTACGCTTTGACGGCAACGGTCATTTTGTGCCCAGCATTACACAACTGATTAGGTCTAGAGAAGATGTACGCCTGGTTGGATGTGTGATAAATGTCCAACCATCCAAGCCTGTTCGCTCTGGGAGGTGCCGCTTGCCACTTGTGTAGAGGTGTCTTTCGTCTTTCTTTGTCTTTTTGTGCCTTTCCTTTCGTCTTTCTTTGTCTTTTTGTGTCTTTCCTTTGTCTCTTCCGGACGCATCATTACCAAATGGTGGCCTAGAGAACAACATTCTGCGATATGTTATTACCACCACTAAATGCTTTTGTAGCTAGCGCTTGCATGCTCAGATATTCACAGGTATCTTCTGGTCATGAGTACCTCTGAAACCGCGTACCTGCAATGATGAAGCATTCCATTTATGTGCCGCAGATTGCTGCTACGTCAGTACAACGCCGTGGGAGAGCTGATGAAGGCGCTGGAGAAGACGTATGTCATCAACGCTAAGACGCGGGAGGACGTGGCGCTGATGTGGCGCTTCCTCTCCAAGATCCGCGCGCTGCTGCCCGTCCAGATGTCCAACGAGGAGGAGGAGCTGGTCAGGAAGCTGCTGTGGTGAGTGGGGCATTTGGCGTCGTAGTCACGAGTGCGGACAAACAGGCGACGGTGGCAGAGGACAGTTGCGCGGCGAGGGGGGGGGGGGCAGCCCCGCTCCGGTTCCCCCCCCCCCCCCCGTTTCAGGCGTGCATTATTTACATTTTAGCTCAATGACGTGATCCTGACAAATACAAAATTAATGCGCGCTTTAGATTGGACAGTACAGTGCCATAACCATTGACCAAGATGTATGCACTAAAAACAACTTTAAAGTGCTCCATTTTTCGATTTGCTTACCATCGTTCTCACTGAAACCTCTCCCTCGTAACAGGAAATACTGGCTGTGCCCCAGGCGTAGGTGGTGACATGATGTGCATCAACAGACATGATTAAAGCCGTGCATCTTTGGGGGACACGGCCCTCTTGATGTTTGCCCCCCTTCCGTGTGAGGGTGAGCTCACACTAAAGTTGCTGAAAGCTCTGAAATACTGGAAAGGAGCTGTTTATGCGTCACGTTTCGCACAGAGGGGAGATAAAAATATATTCGAATGTTTTAACGCCTCGAAGTCGGGCACCGCAGGGTCCTTGGCTCCTACCATTAGCCCGATTAGGGACTTAACGGAGGTTCCTTCCGGATGTCACCTGTAACGCAGCGTAGCCAGGGGGACGGGGGAGGGTCCCAGAGCGTACCCAGTGCGTGTCCGTGGGGGAGAGGCTAAAAATTACAAAAAGGCGTAACGTAATTTATGGTTGTCTTCAGACTGATGTTCTTCCTAGAAATGAGGTCTTCGCTCCCGAAAAAACTTTTAAAGCCCTGTCCGTATCAACGAAGTTCCTAAAGATGAAAAAATGGCTTTTGAAACTCTGTTCCTAAAAGCGAAGTTCCTAGAAATAAACGTGACAAAAATTTTGAAAACGACATACCACGTAGCCTGTAGTATACAGTCCTTCAGTTTTTTACGTGGTATGATGACATATCTACTCGAGAGCTACTCTGGACTATTTTAGACTGCTGGACTTCATGGGCTGTAGAGCTATTTTTAACATGGGGCGTTCGCCCATGACCGGAGGGGGGGAGGGAGGCAGGTAGGTATTCAGCCCAATAGCCGAGCCAACCTGACAACGGTGGAAATCAGACCGCATTCTCCTACCAGCTAGCACCCCACATCTACCGCCTGCACCAGCACGGCCAGTCTGCACACTGCTTCCTGCGTGCGTTGACCCCACAGCGTCCTCCGACCGTGGCCGCGCCATGGCCTGCAGTCAGCGGCGGCGAGCCCCGATCGACCTGCGCCGGCGCCGGGCGGCCGTCGGAGCCGCCATCGGGGCCAAGGTCACTGTGCTCGCCCGGCTGCGCGTGCTTCGCCCGCGGCCCGGATGCGCCAGGGTTATGCCCGCCGGCGGATGGCGCGAGCTGGAGCGCGCGCCGCCAGTTTTGCACGGGTGTGACCTTGGCCGGGGCGTGCAAGGCCACTTCCTGTTCTGCAGCTGCGGCGCCGGTCCGCCGGCGGTGGGGTGTCCTGCCGGCCGCTGCTGGTGTGCACGGGACCGGCCCAATGGGAGACGCAGGGCGGAGGGTTGTGCTGCACCGGGTCCTGCCGCGTCGAGCGCGTTTATACAGTGGAACATCAAGGCCGCATGAACGCTCTGATGATGTCACGATATGATCGTCGCTCCACGCAAACTGATAAAAATAAGAATAAATGGTAGCCTAATTTCCTGTAAAGTGAGCATGGATGGGAGAAATTCGTAAGCCGTCAATCACACTTGCGGAGAATCCGTCAGTCGTAATGATCTAAGCGGGGCAGGGGCGTAAGCGAGTTACCGAAATGGGATGACCTAATATCACAAGGTCGCAACATAACATGTTTTATCGCGTCAGAGAAGCATATAATTTGTCCATGGCGCATAAGACAATCGCATGTTATCAATCTACTTATCTGTACATGTATATATAGGATTGCTAATTGTTGACAAACATTCACATGTATTTTACAACGTGCAACAGTTTGATAGGGGCCGCGCGCAGGGGGCATCCAGGGGGGGGGGGGGGGCGCAGCGGTGTCATGCCCCTTGGGCTCGGAAGGGACTCATAGGCTCTGAAAGAGCTCAAAGCCGGCGGAACAGATGCTTTTTAACACAAAACGTAACAAAGCTGGACACTTTTGGGCTCCCACGCGTCCAAGACCAGTCGCAAGCGAAAGTGAAGGGCCACGACCATACAAAAATTATTCTTCACTGATTGTGAGGTTCGTGATCGGGATGCCATAGGGCTCATTACGCCTTATGATTAAGGCCCTACGCTGATTCTGGGAGACCTATATGCTCTTTTGTTGGGTCAGTCCAATCGTGGAGGAGCATTCCACGCTGCACTTACTTTCTTCGCATTTGCCCGGAGGGCCTTGAGCTGTTGCTGGGGCCCTTCCTGCTACCGTGCCGAGGCGCTCTTGTCAATCAGGAGCCTTTCACGGATTCTTTCCATTCGCCCGAAGCGCTCTGTACGCTATAACCGGGAACCACATATGTTAACCTGCCGGAATATTCTCGGTTGCTCAGAAGCCCTTCACGTTGGCCTCGCTTAGCCTACCGACACACTCGCGAGACGCCCATAGACTCCCCAAACTGGTCTAGGGCCTTTCAATTCACTGTCACTCACTTAGGGCCTACGCTCTTGTTGGGGCCCCATCTTTTAACCTGCTTGGGCACACACGGTCGTCCGGGCCTCTCCCAGCTGGGTCTTGGGCATTTACTGTTTCAATGGAGGGCTTACACGCTTGTCGAAGCCGCCATCCGTTGACCTGCTCGGGCACACAGGATTATTTGGTAGGCCTTGCACAAGGAGTATTTGAATGTAGGTAGGTTTATGTACGTAATTTTACGTGCCACTGACATCCTGGGCGTATGTATATACATATATATATATATATATATATATATATATGCACATTTATATATATATATATACATACATATATATATATATATATATATGTATGTATGTATATATATGCATGTATATATATATACATATATATATATATATATATATCATTTGTCTTAAAATTCAATAGAAGGATTATGGGCCTTTTGGAGGAGTCCCAGACTCTAGTTAGCCGCACAGTGTTGCATGGCCTCTCCCTTGACGAAATATTGGATGCGTCCCTAGAGGCGCGTGCCCCCTGGTGTCTTCCCCTGTATACGCCCTTGAGTCGAGATGTAGTGTAACAGGCTCCAGAGTATGAGTCAAGTCGGATGCTCATAATATAACCACGGTAAAATTAAGATCGGTTTTTAGTTGAATTATTTCTCGCCCGCAAAATAATATGTTGTAGGTCATCGCTTCACTATGAGCCTAGACGACGGCCCCTCGCTGTCAACGAGGGGACGTCTCATCACCGCTCATTACGTGGAGCTGAGGGGCACCGTGACGCGTTCGGCACTGACGTGCGGTGCGGAAGATAGAAGCGTGCGATGGCAATGAAAGTAGCAATATCGAACGGATGTTTGCAATAAAGACGAAGTGCGTAAATGCTCGCGTGGTTGTGCAGAATGCGGGTGCATAGGTGCAGGTGACCGCGGCAGCCACTTCAAATGGCGTATAGGTAGCTGTTAACGACGATTGGCTTGACACGGGCGATCTGGAGTGGAGATGTATGGAACCATGCACCAAAGGGCACATGAGGTACATCCTCGCCTTGAGGCGGAAGAAGCGACGCCGTCGCTGAGGGATTAGTTTCGAGTGTGATGGCGACGAACGTCCAGCAGCGGCTCGCCCCACGCACGGCCTGCCCACCCTGCTTTGTGCCACGGCATCACGTTTTGCTACGTCGGTCATTCAACGTAGAGTTCATGTAACGTCCGAGTAATGTTTCACGTCGGGTGTTCTGTCGTCATTGTATCTCGATGCATCATCGTCATTTATTGTATTTGCGTCGCATTGTGTTATTACGTGTCCGGGCCACTTCTCGTCATTAAACGGCTCGTGTTTCATCTCCTCTACACCGGAACCACCGTTTTCTTGCGCGTCGGTCACAGCTACCGAGTTCTGCCTACCTCGCACGCCCAGACGCTCCGCCGGCAGCCAGACGCGCCCCGCTCTCGGGCAGCGGCGTCCCACACGCCTCCTGAGAACGTCTGCCGGTACTGAATGGCCGGCAGGTGGTCACGTGTCGGGCCCGGCCAATCCGGGTGGAGCCCGCGCCTCCATGGTTGCGCTTTACGCCACCGAATTCATGATCGGCCAGTAGCTGCACATAACACGGCGCGGGCAATGACCTTGGAGGTGGCGGCCCTGATCATGACACGGCCGAGCATGGCCGCGCGGCTGGCGTCGGCGGCGGAGGTAGACGGCTCAGGGGAGGGAGCAGCGGGAGCGATGCCGGGGTCGATTCCTGCGCGCCGCGCCGACTTTTCGTCTTAGATACCGAACGGAATTTGGTATCCGCATCATTTATGGATCTGTCACGCGACAGGTCGTACGGGATGTTCGAGAAACTACAAAAATATGTTCTGTGCGCTGGGTTCCAACCGCCGTTACACATCCGCTTATGCAAGCGCCTGGGCGTCAGCTCTCGTGGTCGTGCTACGGCCAGCACGTTGCCGTGGCAACCAAAGACTTGGCGTGGATCAGAATGGTCGGAGTTAAGTGCTGCCTCCGTCACGTTCGGAAGGATTAGGTTGGTGGATGTGCGAGGGCTCCCCTGGTCTTGGGGGAAGCCTGGTCTGGGCTAGCACCCGCGAGGCCCCAGTTATATCCCGCGCGCCGTTGCCACATGATCGGAGGTGCAAAGCGTTGGTGCAAAGCAAGATTGCATACGAGTCAGCTGAGCGCCATGGAACTGGGCTGGGCTGCCGGCCAGGCTGCTGGTCCCTTGGCCGGTACCGCGCACTGATGTCCGGTGGTACACGAGTGTACAAGATAAATTTAAGTGATCGGGGGTGAGGCCGTCCAAAATGGGTATGCGTGCACCCATATGAACGCCCGGCGATTTGGATTCTGGTGTTTGGAGCATGTCCCAGTATGCGCATACAGTAGTGCCAATGAATTGGTTCTGCTTTTACGTTAACTTTGGAATTGGGAACCTTATTCTTTACGGTCTCTTGAACAGGACCGGAGGTCAGATTTTCATCATCACCACAGAATCAACCGGGCGCGCCGATGAAGGCTTTCGTGGAAATTCAAGCTATGGTGACATGGTGCCGCGATCTCGGTGAATCGAAATTGACCCTCAAACCATCGATTTCCTTAGAACGTTTGGTTGGAACTAATGCAAATGTCACACTGAAATGGTTGGGATGTTAAAAGCCCACCGCTGCTCCGCCTGGCCTGTTTTGGTGTGGCAGGGAGTCGGTTTTCCCGACCGCTATATACGCTCCTTCTCACTGGCTAACTACTATTATAACGCCGTGGGAGGAAGTTATTGTGATGGTGTGAAGAAGACTCTGATCCAGCCACCCGAACGTGCTGACCTGAGCCATTCTGTTCCGCAGGTCCCTGGTGAACAATCACGTGTTCTTCCAGCACCCGGACCTGGTGCGCATCCTGCGGATCCACGAGAACGTGATGGCCATCATGATGAACACGCTGGCGCGGAGGTCACAGGCCGAGAACGAGTCGGCGGCCAGCACCGAGGCGGACCACAAGGTCAGGTCAGGGGAGGTTGCCCAGCACGGGCAGGACACAAGGCTGGGCGCCCAGCATGGGGACACGTGCAAGGTCAGGTCTCGGGGGTGCTGTCTTTCACATCAGATCACAAGATCAAGTCTCCTGAGGGACGTGGGCCGAGCAGAGTTCAGAACAACAGCCTGTAGACAGAAGTCTGGTCTGAGGGTAGCTGGGTTGGGGAAGGCACTGCTGCACGTCCCCCTACCTCGCTTTCGCTCGCTATGCATTTCGTGTTCTGGCGCGGTGTACGCTGTACATTGCTTGCTTGCTCGCGTGCTGTCCGCTGGTGTGCTGATGTATGGCTTTGATATATAGTATATAGTGATCTGCCTCGCACCGGGCTGTAGCTCCGCCATAGAAGAAAGCCGAGTAAAGCAAGGTTGTTTCATTTTGCTTTCGCGAGCCCTTTTGCGCTTGTGGTATACATCCCGTATGGCGTGTTTCTTAGTTCCAAGCGCCCGTGGGAGTTAACTATGGATTATTGATGCGGTTTTTAATGGTGCATTCTATTTACAGTTCCTTTTACCGGCTATTCGTGCTAGCTTGTTTGCTTGAGCGCCCATTTTTGGTGTAGCTTCCACGCATCCATTGTCTTTTTTGCTTGAACAGACAGTTAATCGCAATCGGTCACTGAGCGCCCTGGTCTCGTTATATACTATTCCTGCCAGGTTTATTCATTTTATTGCCAACTTAACGCATCCAAGTAGGCCCATCTCAGTTGATATGCACATGGACAGAGCACTTTCCTGCCTTAGACTTGTTGACTTTTGCAAGTTAATTTGTCACCCTCGGAGCTTCCCTAGGACTGCTGCTTGTGGCCGACGCCGCCATACGTGGTCCCTGTTTATTTCACCTTTCAACCTGGCGTTTCGTTTTTAGATGGCTCACGAGCAGATGTCGACGGCTAAGGTGAGAACCGCTTTCGCATGAAGGCTCGCTTCTGATTGGCTGTCTCCGCTAACCCCGTCTCTCGCTGGAAGTGACGTCACATTCTTGGCTAGAGATTAGAGCGCTGTTGTAAAGTGAATCACTTTTTGTCTCACTGGCGTTGTGTCGAATTTGGCGGGTGTTGCGTGAGTCTCATGCCTGATTGTTTACCTCGTGCCTTTGCTAAATATTGTTCTTCGATTTGATAAACGATGTTTGCAGTATTTTCATGAGATTTGTGTATTTGAAGTATTTTAGTAGATGTAGACAGTGACACTTGTAAATAAGGCAGGTACTATAAATATCACCGTAGCGCAAATAACTTTACGATTTTGTCAAAATATTCACCAGTTAATGACAAATTCCTTGGCATATGGAAAGGCAACATGCTGATTTTTGTGGTGATCTGTTAGATTTGGACGTAAGCAGCTTTTTGGAATTATCGTCAGTGTAGAAACCGTTTCAGGAAAACAATTATTGACTTGTTCGGAGTAACGGTTCTGGAGTGACGTCTCGAGGATTTTAGAGGATGCGTTACAGGTTGTCTTTCGAGGCATGCAAACCTGCAATCCATTTTTAAACGATGAATGGGCCATATAATGAATGAATGGGATGGAAAATTAAACGCTAGGTTCAGTTTTTCATATCGATGTTGTCTAATGCAATGAACTTGTGAATTGCAACCGCGTGAAGTATGTCGACCTCAAATATTGTAAGACTGAAATTGTTGACAACGCAACGCTTGCTTTGCGACATAGCAGCGACATAGTCCGTTTGGTGCAGCTTTTACCTACCATGGTAACTGAGGATCAGTGGTTTGATTGTCTTTTGCTTTGGTGTTTTTATTGGCCTCTTTCCACGCTATTTCGTAATGATTTAATGCTTCTGTTTCCACTCGACCACAAATCTGCTGCTATAAAACCTAACAAGGTTGTTAGTTCAAGCGTGGCCAAAATGAACGATACAACATTGTGAATAGATTAGAAACAACACTTATAATCCTAACAGGATTCGCTTTTCGCGGTATCACCAGCACATTCAGTTTATTTACGTCAAATTAGTTGGTCTGTCCCGGTGGCTCAGTTGGTTAGAGCGCCCGCCTTCCGATCCACCCACCCGTGGCAGGGCGGGTTCGAGTCGCTTTAGGGCGCTCGCTATTTGCCCTTGGCAGGTATGGCCTGCGGCCGGTGGCAGTGGTCGCGCTAAAGGTCAGTTGACGTCAGGGGGCAGGGCGGACAGTGCCGAGCATTGCGGCGCGTTAAGCTTTCGCCACTAAATTCTGCCGTTGCCTGGAATTGCGCGATCGGATGGTGGGGGTCAGGGCTCACACAAGAAGCGCTGCTTAGAGTGAGCGCTGATCCCAAAAATCCATTCATTCAAAAGGTTCGGATCAAAATAAAAAGAAATAACTGGGATTTTAACTCGCTTGTTGTGTCTATAGGCCATAAAACACCAGGTCATAGGACCCTTATTATTTCAATGCATAGTACATAAATATTCATATGAACAGTTGATACAACACATAAATATTAATAGGCCACGCACTTTGTTAATGCAATACCAAACTCAAGTTACTTCCCGAAGTCACCATGTTGCTTCCAAGGTACTTCCTGGATATTTCTTGCAAATTTCAAACCCGAAAATATATGCTTTTGTGGTGCTTACACGCTAAGTCTCATTTTAAAGGTTTCCGAGGAAAATAATGCCGTACAGGTGGACACACGTGCTCAACATAGCTGTAACATCTGAGCTGTTCTGACTGAGCTAATTGTGTCAGAAACATCACGAGTGTGCCGGTGAGATCTTTTTTATTGCGTCGGCTTATGAGCAGACGTGCACATGTCACGCGCGCATAGCAACGTACAAAGAATGAACGCATTTTCAAATGCAACTCGAAATCCACTGCATTTGCACGTAAGCGTTCATTTTGTACGGTCGTCTGCGCTGACAACTGAGGCATTTCTTGCGAAACTTTTTTCTTCTGTCCACTTCGATGCGGTGGCTTGCTGGTCGCCGCGAGAGGGTTGTATTGACATCACACCCTCACGTGTGGCACATGCGCAGGACACCTCGCACGAGATGGTGGTGGCCTGCTGCCGCTTCCTCTGCTACTTCTGCCGCACGTCGCGCCAGAACCAGAAGGCCATGTTCGACCACCTGCAGTTCCTACTGGAGAACTCAAACATCCTGCTGTCACGACCCTCGCTGCGGGGCAGCACGCCCCTCGACGTCAGCTACTCCTCCCTCATGGACAACACGGAGCTGGCGCTAGCGCTGAGGTGAGTTCACTAACCTCGACGACAGCTGCTCCTCTCTTATGGACAACACAGAGCTGGCGCTGGCGCTGGGGTAAGTTTACTACCCTCGACGGCAGTTACTCCTCCAACACGGACAACACGGAACTGGCGCTAGCACTGAGTTAAGTTCGCTGCCAGCGGAGACAGTGGCTCCTCCCTCATAGACACCACGGAGCTGGAGCTGGCGCTGGGGTGAGTCCACCACTCACCACAGGCCACCTCTTCCTTACGGACGACACGGGGCTGGCGCTGGTGCTAAGTTGAGCGCACGTTCACCGGACCAGAACGAATCCTTTGTCGCTACATCACCTCTCACAGACAATGCGGAATTGGCAATGGCAATGCAGTAAGAGGCAGACAGCTGCTATATGCCATTAAAATGATAGTCTCTGGTGACGAGGATGCCGTGTTTTGTTATGGCAATTTTGTAAACCGAGGGATGTCGCTATGTCGGGGAATCTTCCATGATGACCACGAACACTTCCTTCAACTAATGCAGTCTTTCATCTTTCGCAGTATAGTGATCAGCGAGATACGTTATGAGAAATGAAATACATTTAAGAGCTCTGTCTTGCGTTTTGAAAAAAACACCCGCGATTTTTCTCAATTTCATACAGTTTGGAACCCAGTGAAGCAATCCGTGAAACTGATTTGTGAAACTGACGATGTACGCATGCCCCCAGTGTCGTTGGTGTATGCACCTTATAATTGGACAAGCCTTCAGCCGTGCAATGCAGTGGTGAAGTTCCTCTTAGTTATCTTGATAGCAGGCTTGTTTTATGCAGGAGACCTCGGCTTTTTCGGATGTAGGCACACGTGTTGATGGATAATGTCCGTGTTGATTGTTTGGGGTAAGAAACGTTGACGGAGTAGGTGACGAACTATCACTAATTTCACTCCGTATGACAGTGGCGCGAGACGTTCCCACCCGTGACCGTCACCCGGCGTCCACCCGCAGGGAGCACTACCTGGAGAAGATCGCCGTGTACTTGTCGCGCTGCGGCCTCCAGTCCAACAGCGAACTGGTGGCGCGCGGCTACCCTGACCTCGGCTGGGACCCGGTGGAGGGCGAGCGGTACCTGGACTTCCTCCGCTTCTGCGTCTGGGTCGGAGGTACGGCGCCTGGCGGGCCGACGCCAGGGACTCCCGGGTGACCGGATACCGCTGTAGTTTGCTGGCAGGCTTTTTGTGGGGGTGGGCTTGGTGCTGGTTTTTGAAGGACGTTGCTCGAAATGCTCGAGCTTTGCCGATGACTCAAAATCAGCAGACACCGGTGAAAGTTAATTGGCCGGCGCATGCGCTGGGACTCTAGAAATAGCGATGATGTTTGGGAGCGACGCTGCTGATAATATCACCGAAGGATCAGTGCTTGCCGCCTGCTGGTGACGCTCGTGACGCTGCTCGCCTGTGGCTCCAGGCGAGAGTGTGGAGGAGAACGCGAACCTGGTGATCCGGCTGCTGATCCGGCGGCCTGAGTGTCTGGGTCCGGCGCTGCGCGGCGAGGGTGAGGGACTGCTCAACGCTATCAACCAGGCCAACAAGGTGAGCGCGGCCCAGGCTCTGGCCGCGGCGGGACTGGGGGCCTGCGCTGCGGAGGGTCGCGGCGGGACTGGGGGCCTGCTCTGCGGAAGGCTGCAGTGGGACTGGGGGCCTGGTCTGCGGAGGGCCGCAGTGGGACTGGGGGCCTGCGCTGCGAAGGGCCGCGGCGGGACTGGGGGCCTGCTCTGCGGAAGGCCGCAGCGGGACTGGGGACCTGCTCTGCGGAGGACCGCGGCGGGACTGGGGGCCTGCGCTGCGGAGGGTCGCGGCGGGACTGGGGGCCTGCGCTGCGGAGGGCCGCGGCGGGACAGGGGGCCTGCTCTGCGGAGGGCCGCAGCGGGGCTGTGGGCCTGCTCTGCGGAGAGCCGCGGCGGGACTGGGGACCTGCTCTGCGTAGGGCCGCAGCGGGACTGGGGGCCTGGCCTGCGGAGGGCCGCGCCGGGACTCGGGACCTGCTCTGCGGCGCCGCGCTGTTCATGCAGGGATCCTTGTGTAGACGATCAGAAGCTGGACGTTTACACAATTTACGACTGTGCAAGCAAAGAAGGCAAGCTGGTCTGTGAATGCATGTGGAACGTTTTCTGCAGTTGTTGTAAAAGAAGTGAGAAGAAGACTTAAAGTGATTTTTCCATGATGTGCGAATGGTTAATATGGTACGTTACAATAACACATTTCAATTATAGTGGTATTTGGATACTGTGCAACTAATTAAAATTCGATATTCCATCTGTTGCGAGAAACTGGTGTTTGATTCACGGCGTTATCTTGTACAATACGAGTTTTTCTATCGCCAAGTGGTAACGATACCATCCGCCGGTTTTCGATGCGTCCAGATGGCTGAGCGCATCGACGCCCAGAACAACGGAGCGATCGAAGCAGATGGGGGCGCCTTCAGTAACCACCCCAAGCCCCTCAGCGACGACGACGAGGACTACATCAACACGGGCGCGGCCATCCTCAACTTTTACTGCACGCTGGTGGACGTGATGGGCCGCTCCTCGCCCGAGGAGTTCCTCATCGAACAGGTACGCTGAGGACTGTCCTCCGGTCGGCCGGCACGGGGCGGGTGGTGTTTACAAGGCGTTCATGACAGCGCTGACGAGCGGTGGTGTTTGACCGTCTGGTCAGGATGGTGTGCGGGATGGTGGCGGTATGGTGGGTGGTGGTGATAGCCGGGGTGGCGATCGATATTGCGACAGGTTTAATGGTTTTAAAGATTTACGCCGTGTAGTCGTTTTGCGTGCTGAAGAGCTATTTGCGGAACGTTGGATTGTTTACAGATGAATCCGTTCTACAACCTATCTGATTCTTAGACGACATAGTTGTTCAGGCATGATCGAGGAATGTCTCGCACATCGAACGAGTAGAACGGAACGTAAAATACTGACTAAACCAACGAGTATGCTCGAATGGCCTTGCCCGCTACCAGTATGTTTGTTCGGACCCGCGTCTGACGTGTTCGTTCTTGCCCTCCCAGGGGAAGAACGAGTCTCTGCGAGCTCGCGCCATCCTGCGTTCGCTGGTGCCACTGTCCGACCTGGAGGGTGTGTTGAGCCTGCCGTTCACCCTGCGGGACGGCGAGGCAGAGGACGCCTCCAGCAGCGACATGCCCGCAGGTCAGGCCTCGGTCAGATGAGGTCAATGATGAGGTAAGGTCAGGTCACCCTTTGCCTGACCCAGGGACCTTGAAGACGCACAGTGTTGGTAAGGGAGAATTTTGACGGACCATCCCTCGCGTAAGGGATCAGAATTGACAAATATTAGCATTTTCGAAGCGCATTCGTACATCTTATATGCAGCTTTCATGACCAAGAGCTTTCAGGTCACCGTATCACCAGATTGCGACTTGTGACTCGACTCCATGTCGGTGCCCTTTCAGGCCTGATCCCTTCTCACAAGCAGTCGGTGGTGCTCTTCCTTGAGCGCGTGTACGGCATCGAGGACCGCGAGCTCTTCTTCCGCCTGCTGGAGTTTGCCTTCCTGCCCGACCTGCGCGCTGCCACCGTCCTGGATAAGGTGACCAGCTTGCTGCTCCGCCAGCATACCTGCCACTGGTGGTACGCCGCACGGGCTGGATCGACAATGTGCTGAATTGAGCTAGGTAAAATTGCAATGTCGTGCTTGCTCCGTGGACATCGGAGATTGGTCTTGTGCTCTGATGTGCTGTGGAAGACTCCGTCGTGCCCATGTGCGATTTGCCCCCCCCCCCACCCCTAAAGAAGATGCTTGAAAACGATGAGCTTGTGTCGGTTTTTCATCACCCCGATCAACATAGCAACCACTAACACTCATCGACCCGTGCTGCCTCGCGCCACTCCGCCGTCACTCCTGCTGCCTCCGCCCAGCCTAAGGCCCAGGTCATGACGCCGCCCTGCTGCGTCGGCAGAGCGACGGAGGCGAGTCCGACATGGGCCTGGCGCTGAACCGCTACATCGGCAATTCGATCCTGCCGCTGCTCATTAAGCACTCGCGCTTCTACGCCGACGCCGACAACTACTCCAGCCTGCTGGACGCCACGCTGCACACCGTGTACCGGCTGAGCAAGAACAGGATTCTGACCAAGGGCCAGCGGGAGGCCGTGTCCGACTTCCTCGTCACTCTTACCAGGTCGGTCGCAGTGCGGGCGTGTGGTGACGACCGGTGGTGCGGTGGGGGTGAACATATATTGCCGGGTATGTGTAGACACGTGTGTAGTGCTCACATTCTATGTGCTGGTGCTCTAAACGCGCTTCGGGAGGCATTAGCAGTTGACAAATTTGCGCTGTTATGTTCATAATCAGGCTTTGTGTCACTACGCTTGCATCTCTACAGGATGGTGTATGGCCCATCAGAGCTAACGCAATCGTGTTCTACAAATATGACTGTGCTTCAGAGAACTCCACCCGGGCATGATGCTGAAGTTGCTGAGGAAGCTAACTGTGGACGTCTCCAACATCACCGAGTACACCACCGTGGCGCTCCGGGTAGGACAAACGTGCCAAAACTGCTGCAGGCCCAAGGCCGTTTACCTCTGGTCATGGCGCTTCATGATGGGGAAAGCTGCTTTCCTTAAGGTTCATGCTGTCCACATCTTAAAATATATAAATTTGATGCTTTGTTTGAGGCCTGGCACAGCACGATGTGGTCTTTGATTCACCAGGTAAGTTACTGGGAGTGATGAACCATCTACAAACACACCAGAGAAGTGCGAAGTACTCGTGAACGCTGTTGCTTTCCCTGCCTGCATGTGTTTTGTTCTGATGATGTCCATTGCGGTCTTGTCAGTCAGTTTCCGCGATCGGTGATGCTACCGACGCTCATTGGTTACGCTGTCTCCTGTCCGGCCCGACATCTGACCCGGCCTGATCTCTGACCTGGCTACGTCTGACCCCGACCCGTCCCGGCCTGACCTCCGACCCGGCCCGGTCTGACCTCTAGCCCGGCTCGTCCTGACCTCAGACCCGACACGGCTTGACCTCTGGCCCGGCGCGGCCTGACCCCTGACCCTGCCGGCAGCTGCTGACGCTACACTACGACCGCTGTGGCCGATACTACGGCTCCCCCAACGGCCAGGGCGCCTACGGCTGCGCCAGCGAAGAGGAGAAGCGACTCACCATGATACTGTTCTCCAACATCTTCGACTCTCTTGCCAAAATGGTGCGTTTGCATGCCTTTTTATGTTAGAGGCATGCTGTAAAATGGATGCATTATAAATGCGGCACCTTGAGTTAAACCAGCAAGTTTTGATTTCTTGTTTTAAAATCCATTATCTTTTTACCCTCACCAGTCAACAGTCAACAAATTATGGCCGTGAATTATTGACGCCTCGCATCTGGCTGCGAGCGGATCCACTCATCTCGGCATCGGTTCCGCCAATTGTCATCAAGTCTGCACGATAGCGTCAAATTCTGCCGGACGGCGGGCCACCATGATCCACCGTGACCCACCGACCCGTCGATGAGCCGGGCACGGCCGTGCGCGCGCCCAGGCGTGTCGGACCGTCGTGACGCCGCCTCGGCCCTCACCAGGAGTACGATCCGGACCTGTTCGGGAACGCGCTGCCGTGCTTGACGGCCATCGGCTGCGCCCTGCCGCCCGACTACTCGCTCACCACCGGCTACGAGGACGAGCTGTTCCGCCAGAGCACGCGCACCGACGCCAAGTATATTCCCCAGCCGATCGACACGAGCAGGTGAGAGGCGTGTGTGGGTGGGATGGCTCGGCGCGCGTGACGTTGGAAGAAAGCATTCCTTTGATGTATTTGAGTCAAGTGCTCGGAGTTAAGCGTGTTTGCAGCCAGGTGCAACGGATTCGTTTTTCAATATACTTGTGTTTTCTGCTCCGTATGAACTCCACTCAAACCACGACCATTGCTGGAGATCCAGGTCTGGTATCAAATGTCCCTTGTGACGACAGACCGTCAGCTAACGCCCAACCGCGCCTTCGATAGATAAGCGTTTTGTACTTTGTACCTCCCCTCATCGCCAACGTTTACGCTGCTTTCCAGTGTCACGCTGACCAAAGAGATGAATGACGTCATTCAGAAGTTCAGCGACCACTACCATGACGCCTGGTCGTCCCGCAAGTTTGAGAACGGCTGGTTCTACGGCGAAGAGTATAGTCGGGACGAAAAAACGCATCCGCGCTTGAAGCCGCCAACCATGCTGTCCGAATACGTACGGAATCCAGATGACATACGAAGTTGACAGATGACTGGGACGGATCGTTTGATCGGCGTTCATACCGTTTGCTCCAAAAGCTAGTCTTGTACTCATTTCCTTTCGGGAGGGCTCTGTGCGATGTTGTGTGTTGTGTGTAGAGGGTGATGTGCAACTGGGTAATGCGATTTCCCGGCTTTTTATCCGGGATGTCTTGGTGGTTATTTCAGGGATGATTTCCCCAGTCGTGTAGCGGGAACGTTGCCGTTGCCCGACGGTGCTCCTGGCCCCTGGTCGGTGTTTCAGGAGGGGGAGCGGTACCGGGACCCGGTGCACCAGGCGTTGACGTCCCTGCTGGAGCCCTTACTCGACGGTGCTCCTGACCCTGATCGGTGTTTCAGGAGCGAGAGCGGTACCGGGACCCTGTTCGCCAGGCGCTGACGGCTCTGCTGGCGCTTGGCTGGACTGTGGAGTACGGCGAGGCGGACACGCTCAGCCCCAAGGGCTCGATCCGGCGCAGCTCCTCCCGACAGGACATGGTGCGGCACGTGTGACGTCACCGGCTAGAGTGACGTCACACGGCTGAAGTGACCTGTTGGTCGTTTCAGCTATGTGGTGGTGGGAATGTTCGTGCGGTGTGGATGTTTTGGCTAATGAACTATCTGCGACATTGGCGTGGTTAGTGCTGATTTAGATGTGCGATGCAGTCTCGAGTCTACACGTGTGTGGTTAGGTGGACTGAGTGGCTCCTGGTGGTGCCCTTCCATAGAGCTGCGAGCCTGATGTGGTCAAGGCAAGAGAGACGTGTTTCAGAGGCGTGGACGACATGCATTCTTCTAAAAAATATCTTGTTCTGATCGTGCTCGTGGTAAACTCATTATGCCACCGCACGACATACGTGAATGATGTACTGGAATGTACTGACCCATCTGGAACGATCGCTGAATTCAACGAATCTATTCCTCCAGACCTTCGCTCTATCAAATAGTATCCCTTATCCTGAGGTTGGCGTATCGGACCTGTGTGAGGGGCGCACTGGTGCGGCGCGTCTCGGTCCTGACAGCCGGCCGTGTCCGCGCCAACAGCCGACAACGCCGGACGCCCTCAGCGGGAACCCGGCCAACTACAACCCGCAGCCGGTGGACATGACCAACCTGACGCTCAGCAGGGAGATGCAGAACATGGCCGAGCGACTGGCCGAGAACGCGCACGACATCTGGGCCAAGAAGACCAAACACGAGCTGGAGGCGTGCGGTGAGCAGCCGCCGCCGGGCCGCGGAGGCTGGAATGCGGGAGGGGGAATCAGTCTGTGATTCACGAGCTGTGGAGAGCGGGCTGGCCTTCTAGGGCCAAAGCCTTGTCGACGCATCTTCCGGGTGGATGGAACGGCGGCTGTTCTTAATGTGGAGAGTTCGTGTTGCGGAGCGGCGTCAATTCATGGGTTTAACTACAGCATGCGCAACGATACAGCAGTTAACCGATTTGGACTGCATGTCTGCGGTACGGCCCCATGCGCAAGCCAAAAACCCGCGAGATACACCAGGTGGCAGCATTGAGCCGCCATCCGTGCGATAGATGGCAGCGCTGATAGTGCTGCGAGCCTTCGCTTGATGCGAGGAAGAATGGCTTAGCTATGCTGTGAAAATATATGATAAGCAAATGTCGGACGGTGCTGCAATGATATTACAGTCGATGTTCCCTGTGGAGCAGATCCCTGGCAAATCTGGGCATTGTATGCACCTTTTTAAAGGCTGTTGTAGGAAGCTGTGAAATCTAGGCCTAGACGGATGTTCTGACATTTGGAACTAACTTTTGTGCCCGCAGGTGCTGCCGTTCATCCGCAGATGGTGCCGTACGACCTGCTGACCGACAAGGAAAAGCGCAAGGACCGGGAGCGGTGTCAAGAGCTGCTCAAATACCTCCAGTTCCAGGGATACAAGCTGGCCAGGTACTTCCGTGCTGCCAAGTGGCTTTAAAGAGAACGTTTCACATTTTTAACTGAAATAGCCATCTTGAAGATCGTTTGGTGCAGTTCACAGCCCTGCTCTTCTTGAGACCTAAACCCCTCTAGTTTCTAAGCTACCGTCCACCAAAAAGGGGAGACTATTGCGGGGAGGGTAATTCAAAGTCACCTTGGCATTCATGACGTCACAACGACGTTATTGAAATCCTACCATTTCTTAACCTTGCGGCGATCAAGGAAAACCAAAATATGATGGTGGAATCATTCATGCCTGGCGCTCGTGAGCATGATTTCCATATATAACTGCCGTCAATTGGCTCTCAATGAATGTTGTGCAAGATGCGATGACGTGATCGAGCGATAGCGCATCGGGGAGGATTTTCACTGAACCGAGAAATTGGGTTGTTTAGAACAGTCTTTGCTACTTAAATGTATGCCGATAGTTATGAATGAGCTTTTTTCATCATATCTGATGTTTCCTTCAATATCTTGAAATGTAAAGCATTCCCTTAAATCGCCATGCGGGAAAACACCAGGTGACGCCACAATGTGTGTCTATCTAAATTGCTGGTTTTTTATTCGTTAGAGGATTTTGTGCTCATGACGTCTTGATTTTGTGTTTCATGTCATCCGTAGAGTCTGGGTGGAGCTGCGCTAAGTCAGATCTACATAAATGACTCCGACCTACTTCCCTTCTATCCACAAACTGACAACAATGTGTCAAGTTGACCTCTGTCTGCCTTTTCAGGGCTCGAACATCTCGCTCGGATAGCGAGAGCCAGGAGAAGGCAGCGGCGGCGGCCACCGAGCGTCGCTTCGCCTACAGCTTGCTGGAGAAGCTGCAGCAGTACTTGGGCAGCGCGGCGCTCAACATGAAGGTGCTGGTGCCCAGCCAGAACCTGGGCCACCGTGTCAGCTTCAAGCGGCCGTCGCGCGACGTCAAGTTCTTCTTCAAGGTGGTGCTGCCGCTGATGGAGAAGTACTTCAGCACCAACAGGAGCTACTTCATCGCCGTGCCGACCGTTACCAACATGGTCGGCGCCGCCTCGCTCAAGGAGAAGGAGATGGTCGCCAAGTGAGTGGTTGGGGGAAGTACACAAGAATCACTGATGTAACTGCTGTGAAAACTCCCTGGGCTCAATTTTTACTTTCAGGCGACTTTGAAATTCTCACTGATCACTCACTTTACAGCCGACAATTTGTTTACTTATGGATTTGTTTTGGTTTCTAACCGAGGAGCTGAATATCGACATCAAGAACGAACTTGCAAGCAAGCCAGTACATAAAAGGCGCGTACTATTGCACTGATGTCGCGCCTCTTCCGTCGCATCGCCCGGCCAATGCTCGTGCGTCACGGCCGTTCGTGTGACGTCACTTCCCGCACGGCAGCGTGTTCTGCAAGCTGGCGCACCTGCTGCGGATGAAGATGTCGTCCTTCAGCAGCGATACCCGGCTGGCAGTGCGCTGCCTGACCGTGCTGGTCAGGGCCGTCGATGCCAGGTCAGTCGCGCGGTCCGGCTCCCTCACCGGTCGGACCTGACGTCCTACCGCACCAGCTGGAAGACGTTAAATCGGAGGGGACGGACCTTGCAGGGTCGTTCAGACGTCGTGGTCCGTGTGGCAGGTCGCTTGGGTCGGGTCGGGTGTGGGTGACGTGCAGCTCCTGCACGGTCTCGGGGTTCTGTCGGAGGTTCTGGTCTAGGGGTTAAGCTGCTGCCGTTCCCGCGGTTTGAGCGAAATTTAACGTGTTGTTATTTAATGTCACTGCCTTTGTGCCTTATCACCACTGCAGCCAGTGTGCGGCCCATGTAGCGGCGCTTAACCGAACCCACCATGACCTCGCAACAGGTCCCTGGCTAAGCAGTGTCCGGAGTTCGTGCGGACGTCGATGCTGACCTTCTTCAACCACGCGGCCGAGGACGTGGGAACAACGGTGCAGCATCTGCAGGAGGTGGGTGCTCTCTTTCCGACCCGGGCCTCCCTGCATTACTTGTCCACGAGACGGTAGACCTAACGGCGTCATCCTGTTGGCGCTGTCGGCTGTTACTGTAGCCAGGGGGCGCACGTGGACAGGGATTCCCAGCCGCCTGACTCGCATTATTATGCAAGGTTGTGTTGTAGATGTCGTTGACTGCAGAGACTCTCACTTTATTGCGTTTGGTCTGCGTTAGTGGATTTGCTGTTTATATCTCATTTGAGGTTATTTCCATTCACGCGATAGACACCGTTAATTTCATTTTTGTGGTGCACAATTCATTGTAATGTTTTTGTTTTTTGTTGGTTGAAATATGAACTGCATGAAACATTGCCGACGAACATCATCGTTCTAAAGCCTGTCGCATATGAATGTTCTTCTCCTTGTCGTTACAAATGAGGCTCTTTTAGGTGTCCGGATATTTGCCAAAAACCACGGTATTTGCAACGAGTCGTCACTGACGATTGGCCGTGCCAGACTGGCTTATTAGCATCCAATAAAATAACTTTTGGCTAGCTGTTTAAACTTGTAGCTTGCATAAAGCTTTAAATGGCTTCGCGTCGCAAGACATAGCTTAGTCACAGCTTATTCAACGCATACCGATTTTTGCGTAACGCCTCATCACAGACGCAATGTAGGGATTTAAAGACGTTGCAAAACATTTTTTGCATCTGCTGGAATGCGGAAACATAAGTTGGTGAACACAACAATTTATGAATCAAAACACAATACATTTACGCATATGTCAACGTTTTGGCGAACAGAACTCAAAACGCTACGAAGCGTCCATCGATAACGTGCAGGATGTTGCTGTTTCCCGTGAGCTCGTCATCGACTTGCTGTACTGAAAGTTGTCCTGGTCGGTCAGTGTCTGGTGAAGTGGGGGCTTCTCAACATAAACGTTAAAGAGCGCGGCGGAGTGATACAGGTAGTGTGACTGGCGGACGCCTTCTGAGGCTCCGCCCATAGAATTTGCACCCTCCGCCGTTTGGTTTAGTTGAATATTTCTCCCAAATGTCAGCTTTCCTTAAGACTGCAAACAGCGCACCAGTCAATCTGGTGTTTTATTGAGAGCAGCCCAAAGAGCAGCTGGCTTCAAAGCGAGACCTGACATGCATGCTACGCCCGCATGGGTCTGCATGCGATTGTTGCCGTCGTTGTTGCCATTGTTATTGTTGCCGTGTGCCCTTCTAACCCTTGAGTTGCGCTTTGGTGTGTTTTTCACTACTGACGACTGATTCTACTGATTATTTGGTAAATAAGTGCAAATCATTCGTATTGCTAAAAAGCTTGGTCATTATCATTGTCTCCTTCGAGTCTCTGTGAGCACGTCTGTGGCTCACCGCAACAGACCCTCTGGTCTCTCTCTCTCTCTCTCTCTCTCTCTCTCTCTCTCTCTCTCTCTCTCTCTCTCTCTCTCTCTCTCTCTCTCTCTCTCTCTCTCTCTCCCTCTCTCTCTCTCTCTCCTCTCCTTCTCTCTCTCCTTTCTCTCTTCTCTCCTTCCTCTTCTCTCTTCTTTCTCTCTCTCTCTCTCTCTCTTTCTCATCTCTCCCTCTCTCTCTCTCTTCTCTCTCTCTCTCTCTCTCTCTCTCTCTCTCTCTGCTCTCTCTCTCTCTCTCTTCTCTCTCTCTCTTCTCTCTCTCTCTCTCTCTCTCTCTCTCTCTCTCTCTCTCTCTCTCTCTCTCCCTCGCTCTCTCTCTCTCTCTCGCTCTCTCTCTCTCTCTCGCTCTCTCTCTCGCCCTCTCTCCCTCCCTACTCTCTCTGTCTTGTTATCTTTCTCTGTTGTTCTGGTTCTGGCAGTCTCGTTACTCACCGCTAGTCTCTGCCGTCTGTTCGCGTCCCTTCGCCTCTTCTAGTGCCAGTCCTGACCACGTGCGTGACTATACCCAGGAGAAGTACAGCTACATCCGCGGCACCCACCTCAAGACGTCCTCCTGTCTCAACTACGTGCAGCTGGTGCTGTTCCCCGTGCTGACCGCCTTCTTCGACCACCTCGTGGTCTGCGAGTACGGCTCCGACCTGCTCCGTAAGTGACGCGGTATGCTGACGTCACCAGGGATGAACTTGGTCGGAACTGCGGGCGCCAGCGCGGATCTACGCCAAAAGTTTATCTATTGGATGCTTCCTTGTCTGCTTTAAGGAAGTTTTCGATGACGCATGGTGGTTGTTTTTTTTTTCTCACTTAACTTTGAACGCCTTTGGTAGAGCTTCCAAAGTGTGCAGCCGCTGCCCGCTCGACAATGACCATACACCTTATTGTGAATGACATACGAAGCTAGAAAAGAATGGGCTGACTGACAAAACGCTTCGGGTTTCGTGCACGTTTTAGTAACTGAAATGGCCGGATAAACACGTCTTGTTCATGGACGTGGCTGCGAATGCCCACTGAACTGTCTTCGCATGTAACGCACGCTCATTGGTTGACCCGTTTCAGTGGACGAAATTCAGGTGGCCTGCTACAAACTGTTCCACGGCCTGTACCAGCTGGGCACCGACCCAAACCTTTCCAACCAGAGGTACGTGCACGTGGTAACGGCGCTGTCACCTGTGACGCGTGACTTTGATTATAGCATCGAAAGTAATGTGAGTTGCGCGGTTGTCGGTATGACCACGATGTGTCCGTATGATTGTGTCTGTACGGCTGTGTCTGTATGATGTGATGCGATGTGTCTGTATAGTTTTATGTGTTCGTAGAGTCGAAGAAAGAAATTGTTGCAGAGTTACAGAGTTAGTGATTGCAAAGCTCCACGTGATTACAGATAGCACATCGCTGCTAACTTGGAGAGCAACAGGCTTGCTTCACGGTCGTACTTATGCATCTGAAAAGATACAGCAGCCAGATCAACCAGTGCGCTAGATTGCGTCCCTTGTGACACACTTCCCTGACCTCGGCTGCCTTCGCGCTTTCGGTTACTTGTGCCCGCACCCCGATAGGGTCCCCCGGTGGGCTCTGATGCCACTGCCACGCTCCCCCGGCAGGAAGTTCATCAAAGCTGAGCTGGACCGGCACCGGCCCTCGCTGGGCACCTGCCTGGGCGCGTTCGCCGCCTGCTTCCCCGTCGCCTTCCTGGAGCCCGACCTCAACCAGTACAACCAATACTCCATCCACGGCCGGCTGCAGGAGCGCTCGCTGGAGGCGCAAGGTGCTCGGGCTGGGGCGCGTCGGTGGCGGGGTTTTGGGCTGCAAGATTCCTGGGAGTTTCGGTGTCACAAAAAACCGCATGTTTTTTGGTTTGCGTTAATTCCGCTGCAGTGTCACCGTATTTACTCATCATCCTTACATCACGCCTAAAATTCCCGCTACAAAAGTGGAAAAGACGTTTGAACGTCGTTTGACTCGATTAAATTGCCCCCATTATGCTTTATTTCCGGCGTTTCGGAACTACTCAACTTTGCTCTCACACGTGCTAGATTTTAACGAAACTTCACAACCACACTACACACAAATTCTCACTTGGCATCCTTCATGCCTTTGGTGTGGGCCCCAGTCCTCGCCAGGCGTCCAGTCAGTTAGCGCCCCTGCCCGCTCTGGCGCGCCCCGTCCTGGCAGAAGTGACGACCCTGTGGGTGACCTGAGATCGGTAGTCACCTGTTGTATTAATGACAGGTGACGACATTATTTTGACGGAGCAAATCACGTCTTCGATGCTGTCATGCAACTGATTGGCGAATAGAAATCGTCTCATCGGGTTAAAGTAATTGAGGAGGCTGGTCTTTGGCCGGCTTCGGCTTGGGCACACCTACGCTACCCACTCATTTTACCTATCGGGCCATGACATGCCACAATGCGAGAGATATGGCGAGTGTCTGACCTTTGAGTATGTCCTGACCTGGTGTCGTCTTTATGCCACGGACCATCCGGGCTGTTTCTTTCCAGCGTCCCTTTCTCAGGTCATAGGTTGGGACCCACTGTCGTGACTTTGTTGGCATACTCGCCTTCTAGCCCATCTTGACTTCAAAATTAATTATTGCCGTCCAAACTGATAGACAACAGATCGAAGCGCGGAGTATTACATAGCTGGCATAGTTTTGGCCGAGTGGCACGCGGTCCGCATATTTGGAGAGGGCGCGAAGTGGCCACGTAGTCGGCGCCCCTATAAACCCTAAATATCATCCCCAGAGGTGATGGCTCGGCTGGAGGCGGCTGTGCCCACCCTGGACGAGATCCTGAAGATGGTGGAGAAGTTCTCCGATAGCGGCGGCAAGTACGACGAGGCGCGCCACATCGTCGACTCGCTGCTGCCCATGCTCTGCTCGTACCTGCCGTTCTGGTGGTCCCAGGGCGCCGACAACGTGCCCAGCGAGACGGGCGCTGAGTGAGTCCGCTGGGGGCAGCTGCCGCCGGGGTGGGTCGGGCGGGCGGCGGTGCAACTCCGCGCTAGTTCGTGTTATGGAACTGGAGAAACGCGACGATTGCTGGGAATCTTCGGGTAAAGTGGGGTTTGATTAACGGAAATTTGACTTGTATCGTGGTATCTGCTGGGTGGTATTTCCGTGAAATGATGATGCGCATATTTCGCAGGACCGTTGTTTTATCTATGTATTGAAGCAATTATTTTATCGATTGACTGATATAAAACAAATCGCCATAATGATCGTGGTGCCCTCCTCACCCGTTGCCCCTGCACCCCCCCCCCCCCCTCGCAGGACACACATCACCCGGGTGACGGACGGTCACATGAACCAGCTGCTGAAGAACATCCTGAACCTGATCAAGTCGAACATCGGCTCTCCGGAGGCGCCCTGGATGACGCGGATCGCCGGCTACGCCCAGCAGATCATCGTCAGCTGCAGCCAGGACCTTCTGTACGACCCGTACCTGCCGCTGGCTGAGAAGGTACGGGCTGGGCTGGACCGCGGCGCGGCGCGGCGTGGCGCGGCGGCACGTCCGCGGTGACCCGGCCTCGCTCGCCGTGGCGCTGAGTCGTGGGGCGCAGAAGTCCGGTGACCGCCGTCGTCTTGTCCCGGTGTCGCTGGCCAGGGGGTCTTTTGCAGCTCCCCATGAACTTTGCATCGCGTGGATGTTGTTCGGCGTTTCGTAGAATGTTGAGCAGTCCGCTGAAGCCGCTGGTGCCCGCAGGTCCGTCGCCGCACTGAGGCTATGTACCACAAGGAGGAGAACCTGAGAGGATTTCTGAAGAGCACCACCGAGGACACCTCCCAGGTCCGTGTGGAGCACTTTTCTACATCGAGATAGCGTCCTTGAGCGTGCGGTAGTCGATGTCCTCGCCATAGGCGTGACTGTTTGTGGCTGAGTCAGCGAGCTCTGCCTGTTGAGACTGAATAAATTTTGTTTTTAGCACATGTTTACGTCTATGATTTACGTCGGCTTTTAATGGGCGCCTGCAACATTTTGCATTTTGCTTCACCTGTATACCGTGCAGAACATCTGTGTTGCAGTTTGACTAAAGGACATTTCGTTTGTTTCATGATAACACCAATTGTGTGGTAATGCTTGTCTGTTGAGATATATTCTGTTGATGGCCTTTTGCTGCCGTCAGATATAACATTGAGCAGCGGGACTACTAATGCCCCGGCTTTTCGGCGTCCCTGACCTTGACCTTTGTCCTTGCTGCCATAGGTGGAGGGGCAGTTGCAGGAAATGTGGTACCTTCTGGTGCGCGACATCTACGCCTTCTACCCGCTGCTGATCAAGTACGTCGACCTGCAACGGTCGCACTGGCTCAAGGACTGCGTGCCTGAAGGCCGAAGACCTCTACAACCACGTGGCTGTCATCTTCGAGATCTGGTCCAAGTCTCAGGTGCGTGCTGTGTCTTCTCTTGTGTTCCCCATGTCTTCTTACGGCTAACCATCGGTCGGGCACCGTACGGACCCATTGCAATGCATTTCAAGCAGGCGCGTTAGGCTGTTTCTTCCGTGCTCATATGCAACTCATATGCTCATTGCTCATATGTAACTCATATGCAAATTGCAGTGAATTTAGGTGACTCGTCATGATTCGTCACTTTGTAACCAGCATTATCGACTCGGGTTGTCTATTTTTATAGTCGTAAGTAAAACCTAATATAATGTCAAAGCACCTTGAGCAGATTGCATTCACTTGATTGAACGTGTGAAGGTCTGGCCGCTACCGTGTGGTCACTCCGTTGCAGTACTTCACACGCGAGGAGACAAACTTCATCTCCCAGAACGAGATCGACAACATGACGCTGATCCGGCCCACATCCACCGCTCGGCGCTCGACCGCGGCCACTTCGGAGCCCTCCCAGGGCCGCGGCAAGGTGGGTCAACCCGCCGAGGCGCGGGGGGGGGAGGGGGGGGGGGCAGGCGACGCGGCCGCGACCGCTGGCTGGCTGGGCTGGGCTGGGCTGGGCTGGGCTGGGCTGATTGAGACGTTGGACACTACAAGCCACGTCTCCCTCGCGGGTCCCCCTCACCCCTGCTGGCACGCTGTCTGCTCACAAGCGTGCCTGGGGTCCACAGAAAAAGAAGAAGCGCGGCGACAAGAAGAAGAGCAAGGACAAGGATGTGGCGTCGAGCCTGATGGTGGCGTGTCTGAAGCGACTGCTGCCTGTCGGCCTGAACCTGTTCGCCGGACGGGAGCAGGAGCTGGTTCAGCACGCCAAGGATAAGTACCTGAAGGTGCGGAAGGTGCCGCAGGGAGGGGTAAAGACGCACCTTGCAGGCACAAGGTGTGGACTCGTGGGAAATGATGTCACAGATTGCAGAGGCTATCGAGAATACATGTTTCTGTATGTTGAAGGCAGAATCCGTCTGGAGTTACTGCAGGCTAATCCTGGGGTCGTGGCGACCCTTGCTGCGTCTGTGGGTGGACGCGCTACCCGTTGGTGTCACTGCCTTTGGTTTGGTCTGGCGGGGCCAGCGGTCTTTTGGGCATGATCGGCCCTTTCAAACATATCCGTCCCAGAAGACGATGCGATGTGTGTGTATAGGGGGGGGGGAGGGGTAATGCGATGACCGTGGCCCACCTCCGGCACTGAGGTTCGGCCGGCACGGGGTTGCGGGGTGCCGCACATGTCGTGTGTTGGGGTGCGGGTGCTCCGGCGGGCCCCCACCCAGGGTGGCCGCTTGACTGACTCGCGGAGCAGCACGCTGCCGGTGAGATCGGACGCGGCGAAGAAACAGGCTGAAGCGGGCACCTGCGGCCGGAGGTTAAACGGTGTTGGAGCTATTTAGCGCAAACACGAGCACCGAGCACGAGCACGAGCACGAGGTTTGTGTAGGTAACCTATACTAGTGCACCATAGCAGTGGAACGGGGTCTTAAAACTGTCGTGAGAGAAAAAAGGTACGGAAGCAAATTCTGCAGACCTCGTGTGAAAACAGCCCTGAGCGTTTGGGAACCTGTTGCTCTGGCTCCAGCTTTTTGTTTTTGTTTTTTAGACTCCGCGGTATCAGTCGTTTGCTGGTCAAGACGCCGGACTATAAACCAGTCATATGACGTCACGTGCACCACGAAATGTCAAAGTGATGGGCTCGGCGTCACCGGATCATGGATGCCGACGGGTAGCCTTAACGAAGCTGGCGGAGAGCTGGGCAGGAGAGTGGTGGTGTAATGGCATGCGCGTGCCCGTTGTATGTCCGCCGCATTGACAGATGGCGCCTCTCGACAGAGCATCGCCGAGTACGAAATAATGGAAACGACCAAAGCGGAGCTGACCATGCCGGATCGGCTGGATCCAACCGACTCGAAATCGTGGCAGCACCACCTCTACAGGTCTGCTTGTGGACGTGCGCATCCAATGTCTTAAATGTTCGCGAAGACGATCAAACGCTATTAAATGCAAATTCTTAATCAGTCCGTGTATTGTTTTATTTTCTGGGATGGGTGTAAGCCATGTTGCAAAGGGCATTATCATGTGCTTTGTGCTTGAAATATGACTTTTTTCCTGCTCAATTTTAAGTTCAATTGTTGCAGTATATTTCGTCTAGTCGCGTTTTGGGCGTTTTGTAAACTAAGCAACGATTGTAAACAAGCAACATTTTTCCGGTCGATATATCCTTTTAAGGATTAGCAATAGGCAATCGCTATTCATCAGTTTGAAGAAAAAAAACGTTTGGAGCGTGTCGATCGGGAGAGATGGAATTAGTTTTTCAAAAGCTTTCAGTTCAACAAGAGCGGTCGATCCCAGTCAGTGATTTACTACGGGCAGATTGTGGAAGGCTTGGAAAAATTCCTAGCGTCCCGACCGGCTTGGGAAACGCATTCGAGATTTGCCCTACCCACCCCCTTGGGGTGCGGTTGGGGATGCCCCGGTAGGGATCAGACGTTCTTCATTGCGTGTTCACCACAGGCAGATTGCGAAACGCGCGGTTTTTTTCCAGCCGGCCGCTTGGGGACAGGGCATGAAGTCCCGATCCGGGTCAGACATCTGCATGCGCATGCAGGTTGGGGATGGGGAAAGGTTGGGAATCCCGATCGTGACCGGACTTTTGTCGTTATAGAAGACTTGAACAACTTGCGGGGTAACCCAACCGGCCTCTTGGAGAAAGTTGGGAAATCGTCCGGAACTGGGTGGGGAAATTCTAACCAAAGTGTCTCACTTTCGCAGCTTATGTCGAACGTTATGGAACCGACAAAGTTTGGTCGGGATCAGACCGAATCTGTGGGATGATATCTGGGTACGACGCGCGTGGCTTTTTTATTGCCGACCCGATCAGATTACCTCCATTAGATGGCGATTTTAATGAAGCCCCGAACACCCACCATTTTCCGAGTTGTGATGATGATGATGATGATGATTTGGGGTTTTGGGGCGCATCGACAGCTCTAGGCCACACAGCGCCCACTCCAAGTTCTGTCCCCCTATCGAGGTAGCTGGGAAGCAAACAGGTGCAAAGTGGCTAATGGTCACGAAAGGGAAACATAAGAGTGAAGCATTTTCCGCGCGATCTAAATTTGTATTCTCTGTACTGCGAAGTGGCGGAGGGAGTCCATCTCACGCTTCTGTGCTGGCTGCAGTAAGCTGGGCGGTGGTGCCCGCAAGGCGGTGATGGAGGCAGACAAGAACAAAATGGGCGAGAAGAAGATCCCCACAGTGGACGACATCGTGCAGCGTATTGTGGACATGGCCAAGGTTCTCTACGGCCTACACATGGTACGTGACATGGCCAAGGTTCTCTACGGCCTACACATGGTACGTGACATGGCCAAGGTTCTCTACGGCCTGCACATGGTGCGTGACAGACTCCTGAGATCCAATGAACTTGGGGTGAACATGTGAGAGTGGGGCCCGGTTGCTTGCAGTGACCTGCTGGATGTTGTCGTGATGGGTGTGGTCAAGCTGACCACTGCCTTCCACATTCACTGAACGTAAAGCTGACCCAGTCGCATGCGATGATCGGGTAACATCAGCTGTCCGCAACAGAAGGGATTGCAGTATGCTCGAGTGCATGCTACATTTTCACGAAGAGTTGGGCGTACGTCTCGGAAATAGCTGGAAATGACGTCGTGTTTCGCTCATGCCGTTTTACCGTCTTAAATCCGCGCATGTGTCTGTTTTCGTGTTCTTTCGTCGGGTCGTTTCTCTCGTGACGACTCGACTCGGGCCTTGTCCGGCCCAGGACGCGCGGGCTCCGCGATGCCGTGTCGCGTTGTGCCGTGCGCTCAGCCCAATCAAATCGCAGCGTTGTGTACGTGCGCCCCGTGCAGTGTGACCTGCCCTGACACCCGCGCCGCGATCCTGGTCATTAACAATTACGAGTGGCTGACGCAACAGCAGCACGCCTGCCCCTGACGTGGGACAGCCCTCCTGGCACTCGCTGCGTGGTCGGCCCAGCGCTGTCCGCCTCATTAACCCACTGGCCTCTGCGCCCTCACGGCTGGCTCGCGTGCAATTTTGCTGTCCGTCCGGTGTACATCTGAACAGCTTCAGTAACGCGGCGTGTGAGGAATCAAATTCACAAGCACATCCCACCTCTCCACGGCAGATCGAGATGCTAAATTGCGCCATTTGCCATGTAAATTTGCGCCAGTGGTGACCTCTTGGGGCCTGAGAGCATCGATTTCGATTGCTGTATCCGTCAGTTCCGCACGATCCCTCCGCGAGGTAAGGATTCACACGGCGAACACGTACCCCGGCTGAACTTGACTTCTCGATGCACCGCCCCGGCACCTCAGATTAACAGGGAAATTCTCTACATTGGATTGACAATATCCAAAGCCGCCCTAGCACAGGACCGGCCGTCTCCAGAGGCGCGACCTGCGCCCGGGGCTGGCGGTCTTCGTCAGGCGACCTGTCGCCCTAGCTTACCGCACTCTCTGAGGTCTGGGTGACGGGGCCGCTCTCTGCTCTCAGATTGACCACCCCCAGCTGAGCAAGCAGCAGATGCACAGATCCGTTCTCAGCGTGCAGCGCAAACGTGCCGTCATTCAGTGTTTCCGCCAGGCTTCTCTGCACCAGATGACCAGGTTAGGCGGCGCAGTTCCTCTCCCCGCAGCGTTTGCTGTGCGCCGTCCTTCTTCCGGCGGGGGCGGTGGTTTGCTGTGGACCCTGTCGCCGACTGCGGGGCCGGTGGCTTCGAGGGCACGCAGTCCCGACGCTCGTAATCAGTTGCTGAACCAGACTTCCTTCGGGCGGTGGCGTAGTTCGAACGGCTTCGATGAGCTATGCTATCTCGGTTTGAACCTGGGTGCATTTGCCGTGACCCTCCTACACAGACCACACATTCTTGTGATAATAGAGCTGGCTGTATGTTTTCCACTAACGCGTTTGTGCGATGTTGGGTTAATGCCGGGTCCACGTACACTGCACGTATCTCAGACACGCGAACACGGCAATCACCATCGTCTCTCAGTGATCCAAGCTTTGCTGATCAACTATGCTAATCGTGCACACAATCGCAAGTTACAGAGAAGGTGTCGTGCGCCTCACGCTGAAGAATCATAAAAAACATATTAACGAGTACAACGGGGATATTTATCACGCATGACTCACTCATCTTACCGGCAAGTCAGTTTTTGTACTACTTCAGCAGGTTACAGACAGCGAGCGTGTGCGTAGACGTCATTGGCATTTTAGCGCTATAGCAAAGCATTATATTGCCACTGCATTTTCTTGATAGTTTCCCACACCAGCAAAACTAGGCGTGGGCAAGCGGTTTGGTCCGATTCCATTCAACAGGAGGATTCACATTGCACTTTTCCACCTGCGCATGGTTCTTATTAACGATTGCAAAGTCAACTAACATCGAACACTAACTTCCCTTGACCTGTGCGAGGGCAAAAGCCTTCGCTTGTGCCTTTTTGAGGTGAGTGCGTGACCCTTACCCCGAGCACCCGTCCTCGGAGGAGGGGCGGGCGGCCACCCTTGACCTCTGGCCCACCCCGCTGTTTTAGGCCTTCTCCGCCGCGTCCGGAAAGCCGGCCGAGTGGAAGAAAATGATGTCCACGCCCAGGAAGATGGCCGTGCTCAAGTGTTTGCGGAGTACGCCCATGTACACTGTCGCTAGGTACAGACAGGGAGTATGGTCTGCAACGCATGGTGCGGCAACCCAGCGGCGGGTACACGTGTGCGATATCACTCCGTGATCACAGGCCATATTCGATATTGCACGCGAGTGCTTTGCTTTGTACCCAAGAAGTTAGCAAGGCATTTTGCATTTCACAAGTGACTTTGCTGCTCTGAAACTCCATGGGAGAGGTGCAACAGATTCCCCGCGCTGTCTTGGCACGTGACTTAAGATCACATGTTCAGCAGCAGAACCTCGACGGAGGCCTTCGTCTGGTTTAACATCACACCACCAAGAGTATGCCACACAGCAGTAGGGCATATGTTGCCGTTTGGTTAGGCATATGGCGCATGCCTCCCAGCCTGGTCACAGTCTGTGTTGACAGTAGCGGTCTCCGTGACCCCGGCCAGTGTAACCGGGTGGTGGTGTCTTCCACGCAGGCACCGGGCCGTGAACCTGTTCCTGCAGACCTACAGCAATGTCTGGCTCTCTGATGAGAACGTCGGCCAGGAGGTGCTCATCGAGGACCTCACGGTGAGCTGGAATTTAGCTGCAGCGAGCTCCGCCGTCGGTGGAGAGCACGCTGGCGGTGATTCTGTATGTTATAGTTTGTGACATGTCTTCTTTGGTTGGATGGGTGGATCTTGTCATTGTTTGTTAAATCGAAGGTGTAAGTGACATCAGGTTCTCTGCGGTTTACGATTGCGTAATTTCGTAACTAAGCGCCTATATGATGCGGCGTAGTGGTGTGTGTATTGAAGTAAATGACTGGACATTTTTTCTACATACCTTAGATAATGAAATGTTAAGCTGTCATGCCTCAGACTCACGCAACATATGCTGTGTCACCCATAGCCACCAGCGTTTAACGCCTTGTGTTTGGCAGCAATCGTTCGAGGACAGCGAGAGGAACAAGAAGACGGCCGACGAGGAGGAGGAGGAGCGGCCGGACCCGGTGACCCAGCTGGTCACCATGTTCTCGCGCCAGGCACAGATGGAGCAGGGAGCGCAGTCGGAGGACCCTCTCTACATGGACTACGCCGTCATCATGGCCAAGTCAGTCGAACGCTACACCCGAGAACACGAGAGCACTAGCAGCGGTGCACGCATTGGTGTCAGCGTGAGTCTCCATGTCGGGGATGCTTCTCGCAAACGCACTCATAAAACGACGACGGACATCGTAAAACAGCAGCAAACAGCATAACAACAACAGCGAACAGCAACGTCATGGTGCACGACGTGTGCCCCTCAGCAATGGGCACGGGGCATGCGGCGTCGATGCTCAGGGGCTGCGGCCTTCAGTTATGTGGCTTCGTTTGGTCATCAGAGTTATGGGACTTCAGGTGTGGGCGGCAATGGCTGCCAATTGTTGGCACACTGCGAGTCTGACGGCGCAAATCCAGCTCGTCTATCCAGTCGTGGCAGATGTATTTGATTCGCGGTGCCTTTGCTGAGGTGAAAGGTGTTTGCCTCGACGATTTACGGCTGGTTCGCGGGGGAAAGTATCATTCCGATTACGTTCATTTCGAGGCGACGGGTTATGTCGACGATATCTCTTCATGTTGATACACACACACACGCACGCACGCACGCCCGCACGCCCGCACGCACGCACGCCCGCACGCACGCACGCACGCACGCACGCACGCACGCACGCACGCACGCACGCAGCACGCACGCACGCATATATATATATATATATATATATATATATATATATATATATATATATACACGTAATCACCTTCTGTGACAGCAATGCCACCGCGGCTAGAGCCAACGGAACAAATCAAGTATGGACACCAGATGACAAATGATGGCCCTCGACATCAACGTCAGTAGCGGTTGAGTTTTTAACTAAGCTGTTCGCAAAGTATGTGCCTTTCGCTCGTCCGTGGCGACGAACATATCGAGGTGTGTTACTTATTGAGTGAGTCTGTTTCAGGTCTTGCGGAGAGGAGGAAGAAGAAGGTGATGAAGAAGAGGCTGAGGAGGGAGGAGACACAGCCGATGCCATGAACGTAGGCAGCCTTATGGCTTAATCGTGCCTGTAGCGCCGTGCAGGGCCTTTCGTTTATCGCAATACGAGATGACTGCATTTGGATATGGTGTATTCAAAAAAATAAATTGCCTGAGTTGATAAACACTGAGCCGATCCTCTAAGATCTTGAGATATTTTCCAAACTCAAGGTTTTATGAGCATGTACATGTCTATGATGCGGGGCAGCCCTGGGATGATGAATCAAATGTGTCATGGGCTATGCTGTAAGGTATACTCATTATTCCGACGACGCTGTCCCGTAAAGTCCTGGGAAGGGATTCCTTAGCTCGAAATTCAGTTGCCTCAGGTCTGGCCGTGCTTTTACTCCGCGCCGTTACTCTGTTAGTTCAGAAGGACACCTCTGCCGCCGATGTAAGGATGTCCGCTCACCGCCCTTAGCCCTTTCACGGGATTGAGAGGCCGAAGCTGCCGTCCCACCAGGAACGGTTGTTGAGTGGAACATCTGCTCCCCCACCCTGGTCATCGTACCCCTCCCCGATTCCACAGGAGCAAGAGATCGAGAAGCAGAAGCTGCTGTTCTGCCAGGACCGGCTGTCCAGCCGCGGCGTGGCCGAGATGGTGCTGCTCAACATCTCGGCCAGCAAGGGCCAGCCCAGCGAGATGACCATGAACACGCTCGACCTCGGCATCTCGATCCTGCGGGGCGGCAACGTCGACGTCCAGATGGTGAGCGCCGTCTCCAGCAGCCCATCCCTCCAGCAGCCCTTTTGTGCGGTCGTCCTACCAGCCCTGCCCAGGGGAGGGAGGGGGGGGGGGGGGACGGAGTAGTGTTATTTGTGCAGTTTGTTTTACAAGGTATGTATGGGTTGGGTACGTGGTAGGCAGAAGGTACAAGGTATGGTACGTGTTTTTCGGTGTCGGTGTTGGAAGCTGTTAGATAGGGTAGAGAAGGATTATGGTATAGCTGGAAAAGAACGTTGAGAAACTCGTGTACTTGCTCAAATTATGATCCGTGTTTGATGAAACTTTCAGGCTATGCTGAACTACCTGAAGGAGAAGAAGGACTCTTCATTCTTCGTGTCGATATCTGGTCTTATGTCCTCCTGCAGGTAAATTTGGCACTGGCGTTATTCACTCGGGGACACTTACCAACTTTTCTGCCTTATCTAGCGTAGACTCTTCTGTGGGCTTGAACTGTTAGGCCTTTCATCGGTACGACGTTACAGCCGGAAGGACTAAACTCCTAGCCTATCTAACAGTGGACGGAGGCATAGGTTTGTTTGTGTGACGTTCACAGGCTACTCATGAACTGATGTGCGTCTTAGCTGTGTTCGTCTCAATTTTGATTAACCATGTCTGCGTTTATTTGGTGCGTCAAGTACTTTCCTCGATGACTAGCAACATGTGTGCAACTTCGCGACCGTTGCGTTCGTTCCTTGCAGATATAGCCAGTTTTTTCCTTCTTTCGACTTTGCCCTGCCAAGTAACGTCCAATCGTTCCCGAATAACATAGTCAACCCTGTGTCTTCAGCGTTTTGGATCTGGATGGGCTTGAGCGCGCCGAAAAACTGAGAGGGTTAGCTGGCTTTGGTTATAACACACACAACGCTAACCAGGGGCATGCCCAATCATTTTAAGCGGGTATGAAAGACATGGTTGTCCCTAGTGCATTTTAAACGAACATGAACATCCCCGTAGGTGTTGACCGCTAGTATTGAGAAGTATTGACGCATCTGCATGCATATGCTGAAAACCTGCGGTGATGTGCCATGCATATGCGTTTCAGTTTTGCGCTTTCTTCTGTTATATTTCGTGAACAGCGTACTTGTAATGTGGAGGAAAATTAAAGCTAAGTCTACGCCGTGGAAATGTGAAATACTTCTGGTACCGTTTTTGTCGGTGCTCGGTACAAAATTGTGTGTTCTGATCCATCATGTGAGCCAAATTTTGACAATTTGTTCAACAAAAGTTTTGTCTGCCGAGCGTATCAAGGTGTTAAAACCAGTTGCCGCCAAGTTCTCTCGTCATCGCGGCCTCTTACATAGCTTGCTGCTGACTAGCAAGGCTCGTAGACAATCGCGGCTGGCACGCGCCGCGCAAAAAGGTCCCGTTTAGCCCCGCGGGATAGCCGGCTGAGCCTTCCCCCGTGGCGCCCAGGTGCACGATCCCAGACGGTTACACTCCCTCTGGCCGGCTGAGCTTCTGTAGCGGACACGCTCACACTACATTCATCGGGGCATGCCCGGCATGCGCTCCTTACACCACCGCGCCGATAGCTGCTGCTTTGGCTTTGACTCCTGGATGCCATCGAGCTGATGGTTGCCGTATGCGTATCTGGCCTCGACGGGAACGTCTGTTTCGATGCCGTCGCTCTGTCCAGACGGTCGTCACCGGCCCATCGTCGGCCGCGGGTCGAATGTGCCGTGAAAAGGCGATTTTCCACGCTGCAATGGCCGACAGGTTCTAATTAGCCTCACTCGTGGTCGAGGCAAACAGCTGTTGCCCCATCCGTGTAAATGATTTCCCTCAATGCATGGCGGTGAAGTGCACGAGAAGTGGCGCGACCGCAATAGGTTTTTTCTTCGTTTTTAAAGGAACTCTGAGAGCTTTGCTGAGGTGGTGCGCTATATAGCTGTTACTCCGGTGTGATGTACATCAGCTTTGACTGATCTGTTGCGCCTGTCTAGTCAGTCGGTGATTGTTTAGTAATTCTTGTGAAAGGATGTCGTTAAGAAGAACAGCGCTGCCTGTCGGTTGCGAATTCTTGTTCGCAGCGTGATATTTTTCTTTAGTTTGGAAGCGTGTGCCTTATTATTTATCTAACGGCTAGGCAATTGTAAGGGGTCTGATCAACTGAGATGCTCTTGATTGACTAAGGTCGATATCAGTTATTGGAAACTAATGAAACGACGTGTTCATTATGCATCGAATAGGTTGCACCTTAGACCCACAAACTTTTTTTTCGTTTTCGTTGCATCATTTGCGCTGCTGGTAGCGCCGGAGGATGCCAGGCGAATCTCCCGTCTGTACCCGGCTATCCGTGCTGTCTGGCGCTGTGCCCAGATCTACCTTGACTCCACCTGGCCTGAATTGACCTGTCCTGACACGGCAGCGTGCTGGATCTGGACGCGTTCGAGCGCAACACCAAGGCCGAGGGCCTGGGCGTGGGCTCGGAGGGCGCGGCCGGCGAGAAGAACATGCACGACGACGTGTTCACCTGCGCCGTCTTCCGCTTCCTGCAGCTGACCTGCGAGGGTCACAACCTGGGTAGGCGGCCCGGCCCGGCTTGGCCGATCGTCGGGGGGGGGGGGGGGGGGGCTGACGAACGCTGTCGATGGCGACAGTTAGGGCTGCCTGACTAAATGTTTTGTGTGTGTGAGGCGGTACTGCTGTTGTAAGGCACAAAGCGTTTTTTTTTGGGGGGGGGGGCGGAAGAGGGCGGGTCTCTGTAAGGAACAGTGAATATGCGCGTGCATTGGAACATCAGCGAAGTGCATGTGTGAAAACGTAAGGTGTGCATGAGCGGTCTCTACCTGAGGTGCGCATTTTGCGTGACTTATTAGTAGTAAAATGGCTGTGTGATACTGCGATTTGCGCAGAATTCCTCATGACTGAAGCGATACTGCAGCTAGTCTGCTTCATTAAGCTGATATGTCCTCCACCGGGGAACATACCATGTCATCTGCGTTATCTGTGTGCATTTCGTCTGACTGGACCTGTTCACGGTGCTCCCAGACTGGCAGAACTACCTGCGAACGCAGGCGGGCAACACGACCACTGTCAACCTAGTCATCTGCACAGTCGACTACCTGCTGCGTCTGCAGGAGTCCATCATGGACTTCTACTGGCACTACTCCTCCAAGGAAATCATCGACCAGGTGAGTGAGGCAGATGGGCCGGGTCTGAGCAGTGGCGCGGCACGTCGGTGACAGCGCGTGCGAGATGCACGTCAGCGTCCAGCCTGCTGGAGGCCGCAGTGTCACACTTGCAGCTCGCAGCCTCCGCCTTCGCTCCAGCTCAGGCGTCTGTGAGCTGTGTCAAGTTGGCTCTCACCTGACGCTCGCCTTCCAGGCGGGCAAGGCGAACTTCTTCAAGGCAATCGGGGTGGCGAGCCAGGTGTTCAACACGCTGACTGAGGTCATTCAGGGGCCGTGCGTCGGCAACCAGCAGGCTCTGGCCCACTCCAGGTGAGCCGACTCGCGTTCTCCGGCTCCGCTCGGGCGCCTCAGCTTCTCTGGCGCTTGCGGGGCGACTTTGAGACAGGGCGCTGATGTTGGTTGTCGCAGGGCGCCGGTACGGTCACGTGTGTATTGTTCGGCCTTTCCACTGCTGTCGCATGCTGTGCTCAAGCGGGCCAGACAATCGCAGCAGAGCTACATGTCGTTCGTGGCTCACTCCTAGTTCGTTATCACGGTTTCAGACTGCCAACCAACCTTACAACACATGCTCAAAACAAAAGACAAAACATGACGCTCTCCGCAAGGGCCCGAAATTAAGCAAGGGTACGTTGCGGATATAACGAAATGTATACCGCCACCTGCTACACCGCCGACACGTTGTCTCCTCGCTCTGCAGGTTGTGGGATGCCGTGGGTGGCTTCCTGTTCCTGTTCTCTCACATGCAGGACAAGTTGTCCAAGCACGCTAGCCAGGTGGATCTCCTTCGGGAGCTGCTCAACCTGCAGCAGGACATGATCATCATGATGCTTTCCATGCTCGAAGGTAGGCGATATCATACGTGGGGAAGTTGGGTTTACATGTCTCGCTCCAGCCGGTCGCAATTTGGCCGGTGCCTGGACTATATTTAGGAAGTTAGTGGTTCAGATACTGAGTTCACTGTTTGCAAAAAAATTCAGGCTACTGTTGCCATGCAGCACTGTATTTGCACCACCTTGATCTTGTGAGACCAGAACCGTCGCCAGTGGTGTAAGCATCAGTCTTAGAGGCGCTCCTCCTTGTCATTCGTTCGTTTGCAATGTAATCATTCGATGTTGCGAAGCTGTCTACGTCTGCACACAGGCAATGTGGTGAACGGCACCATCGGCAAGCAGATGGTGGACACGCTGGTGGAGTCGGCGTCCAACGTGGAGGTGAGCAGGGGCATCAGCTGCCGTGCCTGTGGGCAGGGCAGGGCTCAGAGCCTGTGACACGGGCTGCGACTCCATGGTCTGGTTATGCATTGGAAGCGGCTCGTCTCTCACAGAGGAGGAAACTGATACGACTACCGGTTGTGTTCACCTGACACAATTTCTGGCTATTTTTGGCGACATGTTGTGCCTTGTTCGTGTGTTATAAAGAAAGGCTGTGTTTTCGACATGGTGGTGAGAAGCTTCTGAACACCTCCGTTTTATTTATCCGCGTCTACTGGCCGATCAAAATATTTACGCGTTTTTGATCCGCAGATGATCCTGAAGTTCTTCGACATGTTCTTGAAACTGAAGGACCTGACGGAGTCCACCAGCTTCCAGGTATGTTGTCAATGAGTCTGTGATGCAGTGAGTCTGTAAGTCTGTGATTAAGGTCCAGAGCAGTTTCGGATGCTGTGGTGCACAGACGCACTGCTGTTTGCGGAAGCTGTTTCCTAATTTAACATCGGGGACCCGCATGGCAGAGGCAGAAAGGAGAACTGTTGAGTGGATTGTTATAAAATTTGGTTTCCTGATCGGAATCAGCTTAAATCTACGCGCGAATAGAATGCTACTAAAGGATGCCTAAAAGTGGTATTTTTTCGATCGGCATTGAAAGATGTGCCATTATGAATCGGGGGCGGAACGGCAGGTGGCAGCGTTTCTGCAAAACTTTGAGAGAGAACCTGTATTTCGCGTTGCCCGTCTGTTTCGCACATCGAGTGTGGAATCGACGGGGAGGTCGCACGGACGCCCATTCCCTGAGGAACAACCGAAGCCGGCGGGGGTTAATGCTCATTGTACATCCGCTGCAGGTGCAGGGGTTGATGCCGTCTTCATGAGCACAGGTTTATGTGTTAGTAATGGAATGAACCGCCATTGTTCGCCCGCCGAGCTGCACAATTGCTCGATCATAACGTCAAGCCCGTTAAAACGTGACGCCCATACTGTTGCTTTTCTCGCGTATCGAAATCATCCGTGATTCACAGGTCAGGCAGCGGAATAATCGCAAATCAAACTGTCAGTATTGCAGGCGCAAATATCTCGCCGTTGCGAGCGTTTCGGTTGGTGGACGTTCTCCGCTGTCTTATCCGATGTTACCGTGCTGGCCGGCGAAGTCTGATATGATGACGCCATCGCGTTCTTCTGGAGTCCGGCCGAAGCAGTCGGCCGACTGGCAGGGGCGGATCCAGGATTTCGTCAATGGGGGGTGGGGGTGGGACACGCAAAATTGTGGGCCCATAAAATTAAGCCCCCCCCCCCCAAAGAAAAATCCTCGAAGTTCGGCCATCAAATTTCAAGATTGTTAGCATGATGTTTATGTCCGGAAACCCATCTTGCTGTGCGCATCGTTAGAAAACTAGGCATGAGCGCAGGTGCACTTATGCACTTACTGCTTTGGTTGTTATGAAGCAGTGCAGCTGTTTGCACCTACATGAAGATTATTTATTTTCTTCATAGCGTGGCGAATTCGTCATCTTGGGGCCAAGGTTTTCGGAAAATATTGGCAAAATATGCTAGAGCTGGTTGCTAAATGCCATTGAAATCAAGCACGAACTTGATTCCTAGCGTATTTACAGCTAACCGGCTGGTCGATGCGATCAGCTGGTGGCTGATGACTACTGCGGAGTTTTTGCTTTGGTTGTTATGAAGCAGTGCAACATATCCTAGCCTCAAAATGTATTGTATAAGATGGAAAAGAATGTGATGCACAAATATAAAAGGTGTCACGAATCCAATAACCTAACTAAATATCTCATACGACGTCGGCGGCACGTAAAATTATGTTCGACAATTGCGCTTCAAAATTAATCGGCGCATATCCGACTGCTGCTCTAAAGCTAAAGCACCGAGGCCAACAGCAGCGAAGCCTTAGCTATCATGGGTACCACGGCGGGCCAACAAAGGGGCTTCCACCAACTGGTATGTGGTCCCCAAAGCGAGCGAGAGGAACCCAAGACTAACGTGGTAGGCCCCTGAGCGATCAGTGAGTGCCGCGGCAGGCTGACGTATAGGACCTGAGCCAGAGCATAGGGCCCTTTAAGCAAAAGAGCCAGTGTGCGCCACGATGGGAGTTAAGGGTCCTCCGCAAACGAGATCAAAAGGAAATAACCCTAGGTCAATGTAGAGGGGCCCTGAGCATCGAGTGGCTCAGTGCCTTACCTCATGTTGGCACCAACATCACAAGGCCTTCCAATTAAGAAGAAAGAGCCCGAGTGCAATATGAGAGGCCCTAAGGCCTTTCATATTAGGGTAGGGAAGCTTAGGGTACCCCGGCTGATGGGGCCCCAACAAAAACGGTTAGAGACCTTGGGGCAGATGGGAATAATACGTGGAGGCTCCCTGATCGATCAGGAGTGCCCAGGCATGTTAGCAGATAGTGCCCGAACAGCAGCATAGGGCCCTAGAGGAAAATGTAAGGGGATCATTGTCAATGTGGAAGACTCCTTACCGATCGGATTGACCCGGCAAGTGGATATATAGGGCCCCAACAACAGCGTAACGCCTCTGAGCAGCCTCATTAGTTTTTCTGCTGACGTGCTTCACTTTTGCTTGCGACTGGTCTTGGTTGTCTGGGGGCCCGAAGACGTCCAATTTTGTTGTGATTTGTGTTTGAAAGCTGCGTCCGTTCGCCTGGTCATGAGCCCCTTCGGAGCCTATGGGTCACTTCGGGGCACACAGAGGAGCACGGTTCAGTGTCCCCCCCCCCCCCGCCGCCGGATCTGCCATTCACCCGAGCAGTTTGGCAGATGGGACCCCGACAAGTGCAGAAGGCCCTCCATACAAATAGGAAGTACCCAAGACACAATACGGGGGCCCCCGAACGACCGAGTGGGCCCATGTAGGTTAACAGATGGGCCCCAGACAAGAGCATAGGGCCTTAAGCAAGTTGGAAGGCCGCCAGACCAATGTGGAACACCCATGAGCATATCGTGAGAGTACCAGAAGGTTAACCGTGACCAATGTGAATGGCCCCTGAGCAACCGAGAATATCCGGCATGTCAATATATGGAGCCCCTGGCTCAAGCACATGGAGCGTTTCGAGCGAATAGAAAGAATCTGTGGAAGTTCCCTGATGGGTAAAGAGTGGCCCGGCACCTAGCAGAGGGCCCAAGAAACAGAGTAGGGCCCTCCGAGCAAATGCAAAAATATCAAGGGCAACGTAGAAGACTTCTTAACGGTCGGGTTGACCCTGCAAGTGGGTACATAGGGCCCCAGAAGCAGCGTAGGGTCTCTGGACAGTTTAAGCGGTCTTGATACCTCTCAATCATCACCTTCTCAATCAGTGAAAAATAATTTTTGCTAACTTGGGGGCCGTTCACCTTCGCTTGCGGCTGTAATTGGTCGCCTGTAAACCCCAAAAGTATCCAATTTTGCTACGTTGTGTGTAAAAAAAACTGCGTCTGTTTCGCTGGCTATGGGTACTTTCGGGACCCAGGGGGGGGGGGGGCATGACCCCGTGCCTCCCTCTGGATACGCCCCTGCTGACTGGAATGCGTGTAATGCTTCGTATAGCATAGATACTTGTGTCAGTAGACGCGAGGATACAATCAGAAAGCTTCACCGGAGATGCGATGTTGTTGTAATGGGACGTTTGCGACACCATGCTGAATGTCGATAAATGAATTGTCGAGGTCGAGTCAAGGATGGGGTCAACAGTTAGCCAACCCAGCTGATTGAAAACCCCAGCTGAATGAGCAGTTAGGTTGACAGGCGTGACATCTCATCCAGACACAAAATCGTCCTCGAAGCGTGAAAATAAGGCGATAGTGATTGTCGGTTAGTGGACCGCCCAAGCCCAGATGGCACGCCGCGAACGCTTTAGCGTTCAGCTGTTGTCGTCATGAATAAATAACGTTACGGCCCTGTGATTATCGACCAGTGAGTTCGCGTTGGACGAATGGTCCGCAGAAAGTGTTAATTAACTGTAGAAGACCATTAAGCGTTTTGAATTCATTCCCCGTCCCGGTTCGACGCGATAGCTCCGTTCGCGCAGGGGGACTGTTGTGCGCTCCGTTACGACATCGTAACTTGAGTTATTGTTCGCCGTAAGCTTAAGATGAAACTGCGCGGGTAGGAAGAAACCCTTTTGCTTACACTTAGATGGTTATTATTTTGAATGAATATTTGACGTGATGATTAAACATGATACAAGAAAATCAGTGCAATGAAGTATCCTTTTATAGTTTTCATGGTTAAATTTAACCCACGCCTTCTTATCTGCCAGGAAATCGACGTCAACAATGACGGCATGATCACACCAAAGGAGTTCAAGGACAAGATGGAGCAAACCAAAGCCTACACGCCGTAAGCTTAGTGCATGTTGTCTTGCAGGAATCATAAACATCGCTAGGTTTTACTCTCATCGTGTGACTCGGCGTTTCTTCTTCCTATCGTTCTTTCAAAACTATTTTGGCATGCTCTTAAAGTGAATTCGTCACAAAAACTGATGTTTCTTTTCCGTTTTCAGACAAGAGATCAACTTCCTGATCATGTGCTGCGATGAGAACCACGATGGCAAAATTGACTACTTGGAGTTCACCGAGCGCTTCCACAACCCCGCCAAGGAGATCGGTTTCAACCTGGCCGTGCTGCTCACCAACCTTTCGGAGCACATGCCGAACGACCCGAGGTCAGTGACCCGTGAGGCAATGACGGAAAGACGAACGCGCATCGTGAATCGACGCGGTAATGTGTGGAGAACGCTGCAAGAAGTGAATGATGGCCGTACTTCCACATAAAACATCTCATGTGAAGTAATTATACAGGATTTTGCTGGATGTTGGTTTGGGGCTCGTATCTGCAGTTCATCCGCGATGCTCACTTTTCCTGTCAGGGTGAGAAACAGGCAACACTATATTGCCGCAGCAGCTGAGTGCGTCGTGAAGCCCCAACGACGACGACGACCCATGTGAAGTTCCCCGTTTCTAAAAAAGAATGTTTCCTTTGACGCTTTCACCGGTCCCAGCTTCTCGCATCCATTATTGGTGGCGACCAATACACCGAAAGCTTACTTTGCGAGAAGCTGAGACAAACTTTTAGTATTTGTCAACCTTACGACTCCCATCCTCGGCACCGGGACGCCCCCGCATGTGCTCAGGAATGCACTGAAGCTGCACCTCTGCCTGCAGGCTGGCTCGCTTCCTTGAGACGGCCGGTTCGGTGCTGAACTACTTCGAGCCGCTGCTCGGTCGCATCGAGATCCTGGGCAGCAACAAGAAGATCGAGCGGGTCTACTTCGAGATCAAACAGGAGCACATAGAGCAGTGGGAGAAGCCGCAGATCAAGGTAACCGGCCTTTTCAAAGACGAGACCACCCGAAAACTCGTGAAGTTAATTCGCTGGAAATATTCATGTCGTCGCTGAAATAGGTTTGTCATCATCAAGGTCAAGGTTAGGTTATAGGTTGGTAAATAGGTTTATTATTATCAAGGTCAGCCTACGTCATCGCTGATGTAGGCTGACATTGGTGTGTACGTGATAGAGAAATAGCTTGCCAGTTGCTGAGTATGCGAACTCTAGCCCAGTGACAGACCTGTTCGGCACTTATTGTTGATAGGAAAGTGTATAACGTCCCGCAACAAACCGCAAAGCAAAGGTGACATTGTTTCGCTGATGAAGTTTTTATGAACTACGCGGCAACCTCAATAATAAATAAATGCATACACATAAATATTGGCGTGCCACGTTGAATACCACTGGGGTGAAGCCGGTGATGTTTCATTCTACTGCTCCATCTCCAATGATGATTATGCTGGCGTGCGTGTGACCGTCCCCCCCCCCTCCGAGCAGCAATCGAAGCGGGACTTCTTCTACCAAGTGGTGACGGAGGGCGGCGACAAGGAGAAGCTGGAGCTGTTTGTCAACTTCTGCGAGGACGCCATCTTTGAGATGCAGCACGCCACCAGCCTGATGGGCGAGGAGGAGGACGCCAAACCGGGCGGCAAGAGCAAGGAGACCTTTCGACATCCTCAACGCGGACGAGGAGGAGAAGTGAGCGATCGCGTCCGAAGGGCTTTGAGAGGAAGAGGCAACGTCTAGCTATGTCGGTGCATTGCACTGATTTCGTTTATGTTGTGTTTGTGTAGCAGCTGTGAGTATCTAAACAGTCGTTGACTGGTTTCGAATTGACGTATCTCATGCGCAACATGGATTCTTTTTCATGTGAGAAGTTTTGTTCGTCTTTCCTGTTCTAGCTGAAGGCTTCCTGTGTCATGTGGTTCAGGCCCGTCGGTTGCTTCCTCGGGGGCGTGGGATCAGTGGGCGTCGTCACCATTCGCTGTAACGTGCTGTCCTCCTGTTTCTCCAGAAGTGGGATGGAGCTGGTGAAGTCCTATCTCCGTAAGCTGAAAGATATGATATTCAGCGGGCTCAGCGCCATTGCGCCTGCCAACATCAAGCGGAAGCTGGCAGAAGTCAAGCGGATGACGGCCGGCGAGCTGATGATGGCCATGATCAAGCTGTTCTTATACCTAACCTACTACACCGGCTGGGTTGGCGTGTCCGTTGTCAAGTTAGTCAGTTCACTGCTCATAACATTTATCTCACACATATTTTGTATCCGTGCGGGCGAACAGACACGCGAAACTTTATCTGTCGAATTGCATGCCTTCTTTATGTACTTATCCAACTATAGGCATCCCGTTTCAAAGCCAAGGTCTTCCCCGTGCCCGCCATGTACTTCATGGGCCACCATGATCCCCAGATAAGGCATGTTAAGTTGCCTTCACATTCGGCGCGCATAAGGGGATGAATGAAAAGGGCCGAGGGCACATGAATGTGCTATCTTACGTACCAACCAATCCAAATCTGAACATCACGCCTCCTCTCTCGCCGCAGGTATGTCCTGGGCGTCATCAACTCACTGATGCAGGGAGAGCGACTGGAGAAACGGGAGGAGAAGAAGGAGGACGACGTGTTTGGGCCGATGACGATGGCGGCGACGCCGCCGCCGTCGCCGCCGCTGCCGGAGCCGGGCGGCAGTCCCCCGCGCGATGCCCTCGGACTTCCGGCCGTCGAGGAGAGGTGAGGACGGCTCCTTCGCGCGGGGGGGGGGGGGAGGCGCATGTCAGACTGCGAACAGCACATCGCCGGGTGAGCTATGCGGGGAGCTTTTAAACTGTCTTCAGAGTGTAAGCGAGACCTCGTGATGTCATACTTGACGCGGCCCTGGCGGCTTTGTGGATATGCATGGGAATACCGTCCATTTAATATTCAGGTGCTGTGAACATGGTGGGTGGGTGCCCGGCGAGCCATGAGGACCGCTCCGTCTATGGGCTGGCAGGCTGTCGGGACAGGACTCGGAGGAGCATTACTCATGGTTGACGAGCAGCCTTTGTGCATAAATTCAAAAATTACAAACGCGTGGTATGCAAATGCCGTTGGCAAATCAGCTGGAGTGTGCCGCGTCTATTGAAGCAGTCAGCTTCATGTTCACATATTCATTCGTCACCCATGTATGGCTTGGCTTGTAGCTGGAAAAGTCGATCCTTACGCAAGCTACGGGTGTAAAAGATAACGCAAATCGTTTGAAAAATAGCGTTCGAAAGAAATGGTGGGAATCGTTCGAAAGATAGCGCTTGTGTTAATTGCGGTGCACGGGTGATATGTAGCGTGACCCGACGTGACCTCAGATGAACGCTTGCGGCGGTCGGGACGGCTCTGGTCGCAGCGTCTCTGAGGTGTCCCAGGTCGCGGCCTGACCTGACTTGACGTGTTCTGGCTTGACATGGCCTGATCTGACCTAGCCTGAAATAGCCTGGCCTGACCTGACCCGGTCTGGCTTGACCTGGCCGGACCGGATCTGACCTGACCCGACCTTCTGCAGTGGCCGGGACGGCTCCGACCCCAGCGCCACACCGGCGGAGGGCGGCGATGCCGCCGAGGAGCCGCGCTCCGAGGTGGAGACGGCCAAGGAGTGAGTACCGTCCCCGACCCCTGTCTGGCTCGTCGCTGCTGGCGAGAGGAAGCTGGTACAGCAGCGCTCTGCTGACGGGGCCCGCCACCGCGCGATCCTCCCCTGTCTGACGGACGGACCCCGTCGACGAAACACTCCCTGGTTCTAGAGGTGGTGCTCCCGGTGTTCAAGAGCATTAACACGGCCTGGCGGGTCGCCACTGGGATATGTTGCGCAATGCGGTTGGATTGGTTGGTCTCATTAAACTTTTTTTAAGTGCTCCTTGCCACAGGAGGGAGTATAATGCGCAGTCTATGAAACGTTTTTGCACATCGTCCTTGCAAAAGGTTTAATATATAACCATGCTTTCTTTTGCTGACCCACCCATCTTATTTCATCTTATTTTTACCATTTTTGTTGGCATCTGACATTTATTTGAAATTTAATCAATAGGTAACGACTTCATAACCTCCGTAGTTTTTTTCAAATTCTAGAATCAACCGTATACCAGACGAATGCGTTATTGTACAATGGCTGCGGCCTCTTCGGAAAAAGTATCAAGGCGGGAGAACGATTAGAGTTCTCAGAAATGAAAGCAGACATGTGATGGCCAGCGGAGCAGCTCCTGACGATCAGTGACTGTGAGGTTGATTACTGCAATGGAGCTGTCCTTTCGGGTTGCCCGAAGGGCCCCTTTTACACCGAAGTTGAGTGCCGTTTTGTAGGCGTCTGCGGTAAATTACTGAGAAAGCGATGCTCCTTTTTTAATCGGAGTATCAACTCACCAGTGCACTCGTAAAAGAAAACAGGATTACCAGCCGTTTCCAGTATTTTTAAACCATTCAAAGCGGAAACAGCAGGGGCACAAGACCATTCGCTTCTAGTCTCACCTCGCGCAGGCTGCGCTTGAATATGCTCGCTGATAATTCTCCGACTGATCATCCACCTGCCGACTTGCCCGGGGACTGACCATGCCACGTGTAGGTCACGGTCGCTGCGTTCTGCGAAGCGCGCTCTCGGCCGGGCGACGCACCGCACGTCATCAGTCAGACCGGCCTTGGTCGGGTCCGTGCCGCCCTCCCCCGCCCCCGCACCGTCGCTCTCCCTCCGGCGCGGCCACGCACGCCGTCCCTCTCCGCCGCTCTCTCCGGCGCGTCGAGTCCTCCGCGGCTGCTCCGGGAGCGCGCGGCGGCGGGGCTCGCGACCTCTTTCGGCGACGTCCGCGGCGCGGCGGGGCGCCTCTGACGCAACGGCCGGCTGCCGGCTGGTGTGACGTGATCGGTGGGGGTGGTCGCCGGAGCTGCGGACCGTAATTGATCAGCCGCCGCTGCTGCGGAGGGCTCCGGCTTGACACTGATAGGTGCGCTGGAAGCGTCGGAAGTTGGTGGCGTTGGAATGCTCACGCGGCTCGCGAAGGTCGGAAGAAGCGGTCTCGCCTTCACAGTGGCTCCTCCACGGGTCAGAAGCCGCGAGGGGGGGGGGGAGATAGCGAGGGTCTGGAGACATTTCTCGCCAGGCAATGCCGCAGTGTTGAAGCAATGACCAATGACCCGCAACAGATTGGGACTTATCCCCCTGTCTCTATCCCCCTGTCTCCCTATGGCCATGACCCGCAACATATTGGGACTTACCCCCCCTGTCTCTATCCCCCTGTCTCCCCATGGCCCGCGGTTCTGAGGCCGCGGTTCAGAGGTGATCTCAATCACGCGCTGAACGCGCAAGCTGGCGAAGTGGACAGCGGCAGACCCTTATCATATGCAAACGCGGGTGTGCTTGGGGGAGGTGTGCCGGGCCACTGGCCACCTGTGTCCGGCCCGTCCTGCAGCAGAGTCGTGACCAATGACCCGATGGTCTGCGCTCTCCAAGACAGGCATCTCATTGACCTGAGTGCATTAATTCACCAGGGCGGAGCGGCGGCGGCTATCGGGCTGTGATCTGCGTAATTTCCACACCGCTGTCGTTGCGAAGTGCGTCATCCGCGTCGATTTCGCGCTGTTGAAGTGCTGGCTTCATGGCGAAGCTGCCCAGCGGTCGAGTACCGACGCAGCGCATGTATGCATGCATGGGGCATGCGATCCATGCATCGGGCATTACGCTCACGAGTTCTCAGGCGCTCAGCCTATGCAAGTCATGCAAATGATTTCACCAAAGCTGCGAATCAATACGTGTATTTGAAACAGAGATAACAGATGCGATGCACATTGCAGTATCACACAACAACGAACGCGCCCTAAGACGCAAACACAGAGTGGAACCGAGACATCACGGTCAGCACGGTAGTAGTCGACTGGTCACCTAAACACAGACGCGAGGATAGAGAGCGTGCGGTGCAGAGCACCCGTATCGGTGCTCATGACTGCTGGTTCTCGGCCCAGAAGAGCTCGGGGTGCTCCTGGCGCAGCTGCGCATACTCGGGGATCTGGGCGGGTCCAACAGGCAGGTGCGCACCCTCCGGCTTGAAGCCGCCCTCGTCGGCCGTGTACGTCACGGTGTAGGTGTTGCCGTCGTCGCCGACGAAAGAGTAGGATCCCTGCACGCTGAGGGAGCCGGTCTCGGGCTCGGAGCCGGGGATCACCTGGCCCGACTCGTCCACCTGGTGGCGAAGACGGGAAACGACGGTGACGTCATGATCCCGCATGTGCGATCGCATACCTGTGACCATTGAATTCACTGGGGTCCCGTGAATCCATGTAATGGTTACTTGTAGTATCTGCCGTAGTTATATGAAAGAGTGCGAAATGAGCTTTTCAGCTCCTCCGATCTACCAATGCGAAAGAACACATGTGTGAACTTTTGTTACTCAATCCATCTGGAATGCTTGCTGCTGTGATAGGCCTAACATCATCTGTTTGCAACAAAGTATGCTTATCTCCCGCCACAGTAATAGCCCCCTTTCCTTTTGCTTTTATCCCAGCTCGGTAGCATTGTTCCACAGGGTTTGGGCACGGCAAGGTTCGAGCACGAATGGGACGTCGTCTTCACATGCTGTGTCTCACCTTCTGTCCATTGTCGAGTTCATAAGCGTACTGGTAGCTGCCCTGCTCATCCTGCTCAAACTTCTCGGAGAGCACCCGCACCTCGGGCTGGTCCTGGGGCGCGGCCGCAGCCAGCGCCAGCACAGCGGCAACAACGAACTGAAAAACCGTATCGTTAGTAAGAGACGGTCACTCATAAACGTTCGCCAAGAAGTAAGGCGCCATGGATGTAGTTTGAAGTATCCAGCTGAGCGGTAAGTAAGAAGTGAAGCGGCGTCACATTGGTTGGAGATGTACGGGATGCTCGCAGGACCACAGATAACGGATCGGATCTTAGGTAAAGTAGGAAAGGATCTGAAAGAACCTCTATTTGCTCCCATGCCATTTGTTCCCCGATGGCCACGCGCATAAACCAATTGTAAATAACGAATTGCGTATGCGAGAGGCTCGAAAGTCCCCAAACGCTTCATTTCGGGTGCGTGAGTGAAAGAAAGTGTCTGTCTCTCTCTTCCCATGAAACGCAATTGCCCCTAAGTTAAACTTAGTGAAACTCGCCGACCTGAATCCCCACTTCACCCAAGAGCAAGAGACACCAGTCTCCCTCCCCCTCGCCAGCTGAGTCCATCCCGCCGACTCTCAAGCCGCGCCGGTCGACTCGCGCCGACCCCCAGCCGCGCCGGTCGACTCGCGCCGACGCTCCCGCCGCGCTGACTGACTTGCGCCTCCCTCTGCGGCGGTCCCGGCGCGGCCCACTCACCAGCTTCATGACTCTGGGAGCGGTGTGGACGGGAGCTGGTGCTGACTGGAGGAGATGCGCCGAGGCTCTGATGCCGTCCGACTGGCGGCGCGCCGTTTTATGCGCGCCGTCCGCGCCTCACCCACCTCCCGGGCACAGATGCACCGGCGCCGCTGTCGCAACCCGCCGCTCGTGCATCGCGCACCCCTGTAGGAATGCAGCGGCAGACAGTGGCGACACAGGGCGCTCCGGTGCACGTGGCGACCCGTGCATGGGACAGCGTGATGCAGTGGCTGCTTGGCTGCTTGCCTCACGCCGGCTGGACAGACGATTGCAACTGCTGACTCGGTTGTGACTGTTTACGGGCTCCTGGCACCGGGCCAAGCTGTTCCTATACGACGGGCCACACCTGGTAACGGATGCCGTTTCTTTATTCGCTTTTTTGGTTTTTCATTGAGACCAATTTTACATGTTAAATGTACACCAAGTATCACCCGTTATAGACTCGATTATGGAAGGTTTGCCTTTCTGAGCTCCTAGGTGTAGATGTGCCAGTCAGCAGCCGCGTCCAATATACCGTACATCGTGGAAGACCAGTGGAAGTCCAGGCACCACGTATAACGTCGGCGGGGTGTCAAACTTTCTCAAGTATTGCTTGTACATGTGAGCACCTGTGGCACCCACGTGTCCGTGACCAGAATGGGCCTGTGACTTTAATGGTCCCGTGGCTATAATGGCTTGTGACTGAATTGAGGTCCTTTTGACCGAGAACCAAGTGAGCCTCTTGGCCGTCTCCAAGCTCCTTCACCTATCCCATCCAAGCACCTATCTCGGGGCTCCACTGGCAATCCCCAGTCTGTAGAAATGTGTAATTGCATCATATGAACAGATGATATCACCAACACGCGGTCGGAGCGCTTTCCAAGTGGTTGGCGAGTATGACAAACACGCTACCCAATAGGAACACACGTCACACTTGTACGCTCTAACCAGGGGACACAAAGCCCACGTTTCGCAGCCATAACACCCTTCGCACCCCACGCGTATGGACCAAGTCGCCGAAGCTCGCTGAAAAACCGGGGCCGGAGGCGGCCGGTGACATGTGCCTGCGGCGGCGGGGTCATGTCTGGGTCATCGGCGCAGGTGGTGGTCTGCTGAACGATGGCGGAGGGCGCGGCTGCACAGTTGTGGGCAGAGTTCGCTTTTGATCATCCTCGGACGGGTGCAGTGCTGATAGCCGGAGGGCGTTTGGCGCCGCGGGGCTGCGCTCCAATCCGAGGCGGACATTATGTCACGTGTCTGACCTCGTCCGGGAGGTCAAGCCGGGTCATGGCAGTTGGGTCCGGCTGGTCTTACCCAACCCTTCTACTGTTTAGCATGCATATTTTGACCTTTTGTGTAAAGCGTTACGCATGTGGCTTAGATATGTATCTTGGCTTTTGCCTGTTGATGACATGAGAATCCCTAACTTGAGAACTGAGAGGGAATGAATTATTCATGCGCCGTTTGAACCGTCGTCGCAACTCGAAACTATTTTTCCCGTGTTAATGGAACTGTGTTAGTGAAATTGTGATCATGTCACAGCATTGCAGAAAACGTTCGCCCCATAAAATTCCTTGTATGCAAAGGTTTCATAGCATTGCGCAAACATGTGTGAAGGGTTTTGTCACTTTTTATGAAAGAACCACGCCAGTACGAACATCAGTCGCAATGGTATAACTTCAAACACGTGACCGGCCGGCGCGGGCCGCGCAAGGCCGCTAGCTTTGAAGTTTCCGTCTTATGAATTCTTATGCTTGAAATTAGTGACTTTTACCACGCCAGGACATCCTGGACAAATAAAGCTTTCAAGCAATGACACGCATGAGACGCATGAGATAACATAATTTTAGGATGGAGTAGCTGCAAGAAGACGTTTGTCAGACAGTAGTGGTCATTGAGGTCCAATAGCATTATATATATATATATATATATATATATATATATATATATATATATATATATAGGAATGCATTTTGCGTTTCCTTTCAGGAAATGCATGAGCTTAGAAGCAGTTTAGGAGATAGTTCGTATTTGTGTCTGCCTCTGTTTCGTGGAAGCAAAATGTCTAGCATTAACAACTGTGTCAGAATATTAAGGCGTTTTCCAGTCCTTTGTACCCACATCCGATGTTTTATATTCATATGTTAAGTATAGCGAGATGAGTGAGACACCGCGTCTGCAGAAGCTTGCCTTTGATTTACTTCTGGCGTTTGCATTTCCAGTCCTTTGCATTGACATCTGATGTTTGGTACTCATATTTTGAGTTATGACAAGATAAGTGGGACACCGCGTCCGCAGAAGCTTGCCTTCGATTCACTCCCGGCAGCTGCCTCTTTTTGAAGCTTAGGTTTCTAGAGTCGGAAGTCACTGTAATGAATCACAAGATCTCGTGCGATACTATTTGTGAGGCGATCCGTCTATCTATCTTCCCGATCGGGACATCTGAAAGCTTGACTCCATACGATTCGAGGCCTATGAGAGCCTCACGAAATAGCGTAGAGCACCTACAACCTAGACCTTTAGTCACTGACCTTCCCGCAGATCT